CATTTTCAAGTCCAAATCTATTAATGCATTTATTTATTTATGGTGAAATTTGCAGCCAAACATGGTAGTACATGTCTACAATCATAGTTCACAAGTTCAATGCCAGCCTAGACTACATATAAAGTTTGAGGCTAGCTAAAAAACTAAAATACTGTTATGTGATTAGGATTCTACTGCATGCTAGGCAATTACTAGTAGAAACAGTGAATGAGTTAATGAGAAAAATAATATTGAAATAGATGTGTCATATCTGGGTAATGGAGAAAAATGACCCAAGGAAGTCCATGAAAGCTTACTAGAGGCTGAGTGTGATGCTCTACACCTGTAATCCCTTCTATGAAGAAGACACAGTAGGAGCATCTTGGTCCTAGCTGACCTTGTGTACGTGTAACAATGTGAGATCCTAGCTAAAAATAACTGAAGTTAAAAAAACAAGAAAGACCCAGGAGCGAGCAGTTGCCTAGCAAGCACCAACCCCAGTACAGTCTTCCCTAAAACAGGATTAAGCAGGACCATGGAGGTAAGATGAGGAAGAATTTTCCAGGGAAAATACAGCAGAAGAAAGAGACTCCTGATTGGAGAGAATCTCCTGTCTGAGTACCTGAATTGTGAAAAGAGCATGATTCTTGTCAAGGTCACAGGCAGGCCTTCTGGTCTGTGGGACAGAAAGGAGAGAGTTGAAGGAGTTTCTCTCAGGCTGTTGCGCAGGAGAAATTGGCCAAAGGTTGGAGAGTAACCAGGAATATGTCCAGATTCTCATTTTGTTTTGTAGGAGAGGAAGTGTGAGATGCATCTGGGCCATAGGGTAACAGATGAAGAAGTAGAATAAAGAGCTTCACTTTTTATTCAGCAGAGACTGGATTCAGTGGAAACATCTGAGGGATGAGGGACATGGTTAAGGTTGTGGGGAAAATCCCACGGGGCTTTGTTTTATTCAGTATTAAGTTCTGAGGGCAGTGAAGTCCTCAGTGAGGCTGATCATCTTCCAAGTGCGCTTGTGGCTATTTGAAAGTTGACTCAAACATCACACTGGAAACATGGCAAAGAACTAAACTGAATTTAAAGTCAGTGTTCAACACTGGGCATTGGCTGAGTGGTCCTCTCCAAATTGAATCTAGAATCTTAAAAAAATAAAAGTCACCAGTAATCCAGAGTAGCTAGGTATCTAACATAAATGTCCAATTTTAGTTGTTTATTTAATGAGAATGGCTTGCAAAGCATCCATAGTACCTGCGGTATCTATCCAGATCCAGGGCCTTTATTTACAAACCACTGTTCTCCAGTGGTTCTCAACCAGGGCAACTGAATTCCCTAGAGAGGCATTTAACATTTGTTGGGCCTCACAATTTAGGAATGAGGGAATTCCTACTGCCACCTAGTGGGTAAAGCCTAGAAATGCTGCTAAACCTGCAACATCAGGCAACTCACACAAGAGTATTCGGCCCAAATGGCAATAGTATTGAGGCTGAAAGTTCTGTTTTAGTCTAATCCTTTCACAGTATGAATGAAGAAAAGAGGACCTAGAGTAGTGAAATGACTTTTCATTTTATTTAACGGTTTTTGATTAACTTTTAACAAGGCAATATAGTCAAGGGTTCTAAGAACAGAACATGAGGTATGCAAGACTTGAACAGAAATTTCTCCAAAGAAAATACAGCACAAATGGCCAACAATCACATGAAAAAATACTTAACAGCACAAGATCTAAACCACAATAACATACCACTCCACATCTATAAAGTTAGCTCCAATGAACAAAAGCACACCTCCACAAATATCAATTTTCTTCCTACATAATCACTCTAACATATCAGATATATCTTTACCGTCTATTCTATATTTTTATTTTTTAATTTTTTGGTCTGTCGTGGGGCTTGAACTCTGGGCCTGGGTGCTGTCCCTCAGCTCTTCAGCTCAAAGCTAGCACTCCACCACTTAGCTACAGAGCCACTTATACCGTCTATTCTAATACATCATACCTTCTTCCTAGTTTTCTCCTTTTCCATATTTGCAAACCTTTGTCTGGTTCCAATTGTCACGAATGTGTTGAATCCAGTAAGACATCTCCCATCCTGCCACTGTCCTTCCACTGGGTTCCTCCCTCACTTCATTCAGGTTCTGACACCCTGTGCCAGGTTATTCTTCCCTTTGGACACTCTCCTGTGTCCCTTAGGCTCTAATATTCCATGTCAGGTCCCCCAAAGCCTGCTTCTGAGCAGCCCCTAGACCTGCAAGGCCACCAACACTACCTCCTCGTCTTTCTGCTCAGGCTTGGACATTCTACTCTGAGACATTCCTATCCTCTAGCACAGATTCCTACTTTGCTAGGCTCCTCCTAATTATGTTCTAAAATGTCCTAGAGGAGGAGAGAAGCCTTTGTATTAACAGCATTCACTACCACTCTGGGAGGAAGTGGTTAACTCTATGTAATGGGGTGGGGGGAGTTAGTGAAGGCAAGATAGTCCATGTCTATTTTGTTAACCTCAATAAATAGTTCATGGATAAATAGTTCATGGTCATGAACTATTTATCTTGAATGATAAATTCATGCTTAGACGTTTGTCTACCACTGGAATTTTGGGAGTACTGGTAAACTCAGTTCTTACCATAAACAAAGCAGTGGTAAACTCAGTCCTTACCACACTATTCATCTTAATTAGAAGCTGTTTTCTCTGTGTGTTCACATTATATTCTATCTTGTATTCCAGTTGTTCTGATGGATATTCTATTCAACCATTTGTCAACATGACAATACTTATTAAAGTCTTTGGAAATCATAATGCCCTTTAATCTAGGAATTTTATATTCTAAGGATTTATGGGTAAGAATCAGTATACACTTAGGGATAGATGTACAAGTATGCACAATACCCATTCTTCGTAATAGGGATGGTAAAAGCATATAATTACTAATTACATTTGCATAAGTTTAATGGAGATGTTAAATCATATTTTGGAGGATTTTTTAATTATATTAGTTTGCTCAATATAAAGTGAAGAATATGTTACCAAAGTAAAAAATCCTACATGTATATTTATAGTATACCAAATAAATAGTATATATAGTACAAATATATAGTATATGTAGTATATATATATGTGTGCTACATATATATACTACATATACTATATATAGTATACATAAAAAAAAACACAAAAACTTAGTTTTCTTTGATTGGTGAGATTACCCCTTACTTTAGGCTTATTTTTTTTTACAAGTTTCTATATTTTCCACAAGGTATATATAGATAATATAATACTTGCAATTAAAAAGATATGAATAGTCTTTTTCCCACTTAACTAAAAATAAAATATTTAATATTTAACATGAAACTACTTTAAACACAACTATCTTCACGTAAAATGCTGTAGTACTTTGATTCACTTTATTGAGAAAACAGCTAAAGATACAAGTCAGATTTCTAAAGTATATTTTGAGGTTTTGAGAGGTCACTTTCTACAGTGGAAAAAGCAAAGAACTTTTGGGTTGAATTTGAACTGTGCAGCCCTGATTAAGTTATAAGCTGGACCTGTATCTTATCTTTAAAATAGGGCTGTATCCCAAATTATACAGTAGTGAGATTTCCAAAAGGATTGTTAAGAGTACACAACAAAATCCACATCAAAGCTCAAGATTCATAAAATGATTGACAAACTAAAAGAAAAACCCACTGAACTTTATAGTAAGTAATTACAAAAGCAGGTATAAACTACACACAGAATCTTACTTTAAAAAATTAATGAAAGAAAAATTAGCCAGTTGGGCTCACATCCATAATCCTAGATACTCAGGAAGCTGAAAAGTATGTGAGTCTCTTATCTCCAAATAACCAGCAAAAAGCCAGTACTAGAGGCATAGTTCAAGTGGTAGAGCACCAGCAATATGTGCAAAGCTCTGAGTTCAAGTCCCAGAATCTGCAAAAGGAAAAAAAAAGGTGTTTGTTTGTTTGTTTGTTTTACTATTTCTGTGTTTCCCAACATTTACCTGGGCAATATTAAGATAACAAGTAACTGGGAGAGAGCCAGCGAGGGATGTGGTGACATTGTCCAAAAAGAAATGTACTCATTATGTAGCTGCAACCCCTTTACATCATCTATAGAATAACAATAAAAAGAAAAATAGTAACAACTCAAAAAGGTAACAGTTAACTCACCAACTAAGCTTTTATTTGGCCAAACACAATTCTAGACACTTTTACAAGATTTACTTCTCCCAACAACTGTGGGAATGGTGACGATTTTACACCCCTGTTACAACAAAGGGGTTAGGCGACCATCCAACACCATTCCACGTGACAGACGATGACTGGAGCTCCAGTTGCCACCAAAGCCTTCCTACTCCAAGCCCCCAGACTGACATCCAATGCCCAATTCTAGGTCGATCTCCTCAGGGCTACAAAGAAGCCAGTTCTCCCCGAGTGTGCACTGCCCAAGAACTGCAATCGTATGTCGGATCCAGTGAGCCGATCACCTCTGCAGCGAGGCTGAGAAAACCACGCGACCACGGTGGTCCCTCCGCGTCCCACGCACGCGCCCGCCACGGCGTAGAAGCTGCCCACGTCCTGAACTAAAAGCCCGCGCCGGGTCTCGGCTGGCGATTCGCAGCAAAGCCCCGGAGCAACTGCGAGCCGGAGGCAACCTGACCTGGTCAGAAGTGAAATCTGCGCCCGACCTGGGGTGCGTTTCCCTCCCCAAGCCTTTCAGTAGAAGGGGGCCGAGGAGAGCCCCGAAACGCGGGATCCGTGGGGCAATGGACATGGCGAGAAGCCATGTCTGGAGTACTCGGTACCCCAACCCCGTTCCATCCTGGACCCCGGCAGCGTCGCCGCGCCGCTCAGGACACTAGAGCCCCGTAGGACGGCTTCCCAGAGGGCTGCGCGCCGGGGGGGCGGAGCCTCAGTGTAAATGCCTTCGTTGGTTGCTAGGAAACCCTCCTTCCTCCAATCAGCACTCATCTCTTTGGGCCCAATCGCAGAAGCCGAGAGAGTGGCGGTGAGAGGTGAAAGGTGACGCGGTGCTTTGGCGGCCATTTCTCTCTCGGCTCAGGGGTGCGGGCTCGCAGCAGCGGCTCCGGTCACGAGGGACAGGCGGCGGCGTGGCGGTCGGCGGCGGGGAGCCTGTGGTATCCGCCCGTGTTCGCGATGGTCAGGAGAAAGAGCTGGCGGGGAGGGGAGGGGAGGAGCGGGAGGGGAGGCCGGTCTCGCCCGGGCTGGCGGCGGCGGCCCCGCGCGGTTCCCATTCATCCCCGCGCGGCGCGGCCCGGCGCGGGCCGCCGCCCCTTTCCCTCCGTTCTGGCTCCGGGGTTCCCGGGGCCCTCCCACCCGCCCCCCGAACCCCGCTTCCTCCGCCTGAAGCCTGCGGGGACCCCCGGCTGGCAGCACTCCGAGGCGGGCTTTTCGCCTCCCGCCTGCCAAGCCCAGGCCGGGAGCCTTGGTTTCCTTCGTGGAGCGCCCTGTACCGGTCTGTAGCTGTTCCTGGGGGCCAGGAACTTGGGTTACGAGGTCTGTGCTCCAGATGGACTCCTTGCTGTGTGGATCACAGCAGACCTTTGGAACTGCTGGGGAGAAGGCAGGCCGGGGGCCGGGAAGGGAAGGGGGCGGCTCGGTACTGGAGTGCTGCTGAACGATTGCCGCCCTAGGTAAAGCGGGGTTTTTAGTCTGAAACCTAAGTGACAGGAAGAGCCGGGAGAGGAGAGTACCAAGCAGTCGGAGAAACCGCAGCCCGAGCCTTAGGCTGCTTCTAGAGTAGCAGCTACAAGATGGAGGGGGGAGGACCTTTGAGACCATCGTAGGAAGTTTTGATTTCGACTGCTAGTGCAGTCAGAAGCTATTGAAGCATTTTAAGCGGAGATATGCATGGTTTGATATGCGCAATAGTACTTGCTTCAAGGATCATATAGTTGAGATGCTGGAAGGTTCTGTAGTCCTTAAGTTCTCAAGATCACTCTTGAGCATGCTGATCTTGATTCTTTGGAATGACTTGAGTAGATGGGGAGGGGGATCGAGTGGATCTCACTGGGTTCCTTCTGCAGTTGTGTAGTTGAGACTCTCAATACTGAATTGTTTATGTGTCTTCTAAGATAGACTCTGTGCTTCAACACTCCTCTTGCCCTTTGGAAATAACTGTCATCCATTAGAGCCGAAGCATTCCTTACTTCAGGGAGCCTTTCTGGTTTTGTTTTTCCTCTGAATTAGTGCATCCCCATATATGCATTTTGTAGTCTTCTCATAACATCTTGTAATATACACATTATGTACAAATAAAGCATTGCATATTTGTAAGATGCAGTGTAATTATTTATATACCCCCCTCCCAGGAGAACAGATGAGATTGTCATAGCATCTTTTTTAAAATGTCTATATCTTTTTTTAAATTTTTATTTTTTATTGTGAAAATATCATATAGAGGGGTTACAATGACATGAGCAAGAAAATGAGTACATTTCTTATCAAACATTGTTGCCTCCTCCTTTGTTTCCCCTTCTCATCCCTTCCCATCCTCCCCCTCCCCCCCCATCCTCCCCGTCCCACCCTCCCCACCCCCCCCCACCCCCACACCAAAGTTGTAAAGTTCGTTTTCGACATAACAACTTGTACATCTCATTGTTGCAATGGGTCCACCTGTATCCCTATTTAAACGATTTGTTTTTTCCCTTCCCCTCCACAAATTATACCAACATCAAATTTAGTGAAAGCAGGGGTTATACCGTGGGGGAGGGACATACAAAGCAACAAAGAAATAGCTTATAAATATGTTAGAAACAATCGCATGAAAGAAAAAACATTTGAGGGTTGGGAAGGTGGCTCAGTGGTAGAGCGCTTGCCTTGCATGCCTGAGGCCCTGGGTTCGATTCCTCAGCACCACATAAGCAGAAAAAATAAGCTGGAAATGGCGCTGTGGCTCAAGTGGTAGAGTGCTAGCCTTGAGCTGAAGAGCTGAGGGACAGCACCCAGGCCCAGAGTTCAGGCCCCAGGACCAGACTCCAAAAAAAAAAAAAAAACATTTGAATCCTTATCTTGGGGTTCATTTCACCTAACATCAACTTATCTGACCTTTTCTGCTTGTCTCAGACATATACTAATTATTGCAAATAAGGGAAACCATGGGACCTATGTTTCTTTTTGCCTAGCTTACTTCACTTAATACAATTTTTTCCAAGTCTTTCAATTTCCTAACAAATGGGCAATGTCATTCTTTCTGATGGAGGCATAGAATTCCATTGTGTATATATACCACATTTTCTTGATCCATTCATCTACTGAGGGGCATCTGGGTTGGTTCCATATCTTAGCTATAGTAAATAATGCTGCAATAAACATAGTTGTGCTGGTAGCTTTAGTATGGTCTTGTTTTTAAGGCAAGCACTCTACCACTGAGCTACCTTCCCAGCCCATAGTATGGTCTTGTTTGTGATCATTTGGGTAAATGCCCAAAAGTGGAATTGCTGGGTCTATGTGGAGTCTTTTGAAGAACCTCCATACTGATTTCCAAAGTGGTTGAACAAGTTTACACTCCCACCAACAATGCAGTAAGGTTCCTTTCAGTTCACATCCCTTCCAGCATCTGTTGCTATTAGAGTTCTTGATTATAGCCATTCTAACTGGGATGAGGTGGTATCTCAGTGTTGTTTTGATTTGCATAAAAATATCTTTATTTCTTTCGCACTTGACAGTGAGTGAGAGAGGTATTCAGTGTCTCTTAGGTGAATAATGAATATTTCATTTTGATAAGTTGAAGATGAAAATGGATATTTAAATTTCCCCGATGCTTTTCAACATATATAAGTGAAAATTACCAGGCCCCAGGGGCTAACCTCTGAAATCCTAGCTACTCTGGAGGCTGAGATCTGAGGACCACATTTGGAAGCCAGCTTGGACAGGGCAGTCCATAAGACTCTTATTTTCAATTAAGAACAATAACAGCAACAAAAAAAACGAGGAGTTATGGTTCAAGTAATAGAGTGCCAGCCTTTGGCATAAAAGCTCTAGGATAGTACACAGGCCCTGAATTCAAGCCCTAGGATCGTTACCCCAAAAAAGTGAAAATTATATAGTAAAGTAATAGGGTAACAAAAGTTGGGTATTATCCACAGTTATAGTCCCTGCCCTCTGAGGCACAATTCAAGAGTTCCACACAAGCCTGGGCTATAGAAGAGACCATGTCTCAAAACTATAACAAAAATTAAAAATTTGCTTCATTTGAATGTGATAAAATATTCTCTGATAATTTGACAGAGTGGAAAGTAAACTAAGCAAGAAGGCTCAATTGAATACTTCTTTCTTCCTACAGAGTTTACCTCTCAATCCCAAACCTTTCCTCAATGGACTAACAGGAAAACCAGTGATGGTGAAACTTAAGTGGGGGATGGAATACAAAGGCTACCTGGTATCTGTAGATGGCTATATGAATATGCAGGTAAGCTCAAAAGTTTAAGGATTATAAAGTTGTATTTCTTTTCCTGCTGCTTATTCCACAGTGCTATGTGTGACTAAGAAGAGTGTGTATATATATATGTGTATATATATATATATATATATATATGTATATATATATATATATATATATATATATAAAAGCTAGGTGCTATTGGTTCAAGTTACTAACTTGATTAGCTACTTGGAAGGCTGAGTTATGGAGGATTGCAATTTGAGGCCAGCCTGGGCAGAAAAATCCAAGATTCCATTTCAATGGAAGAAGCTGGGCATGGTGGTGTATACCTATCATCCGAGCTTTTTTGGTAGTTAATTGGAGATGACAGTCTCATGGACTTTCCTGCCCAGGTTGGCTTCGAACCATGATCCTCAGATCTTAGCCTCCTGAGTAGCTAACTAGAACTACAAGCATGAGCCACTGACACCTGGCTTAATCCTAATAATTCTTATAAAGCATAGTTTTAGTCTGAACAGGACTCATTTACTAGGCTATAGAAAAATCTGAAAACTTTAGCTAGTGTTTTGAAATATTCTGGAATTGATGATAGTTACACAACTATATATGGAAAAAGAGTCAACTGTACAGTTTAAAGTGAGTTTTATATTATGGGACTTGCACTCAACTAAAAAAGAATGATGCATGTATTTGCTTTTTGGATTTATGTCGTTTCCTAGAGTTAGAAAATGAACCTTTAAGCTGGGAACTGGTTGCTCACGCCTGTTATACTAGCTGTTCAGGAGGCTGAGATCTGGGGATTGCAGTGGAAGCCAGCCCGGGCAGGAAAGACTGTGAGACTCTTATCTCCAGTTAACTACCAAAAACCTGGAAGTGGAATTAGGGTCAAGTGGTAGAGTGCTAGCTTTGATCACAAAAGCACAGGGACAGTTCTCAGGCCCTGACGTCAAGCCCCAGAACTGGCACACATACAAAGTAACTCTCCTCTCCTTCTTCTTCCTCTTCTCCTTTTCCTCCTCTTTTTGGAGATAAGGTCTCACTAAATTAACATAGGATGGCTTCAAACTTGTGATCTGCTTGCCCCTACCTCCCAAGTGCTGGGATTATAGCAGTGTACCACTAGTCAACTAAACACCTTTTAAGAACCCTTTCTTTTTTTTTTTTTTTAAAGTTTATTAGTACATAAACATTTTTAAATAGTTATTGTTCTGTTCTTTAGCTTTGTTGAGTAATACATTTTAGCCATAGCTTTTGTATAGCTGTTTGAAGACCTCAGAATGATTTAATTTACATGAAAAAATGATTTCAGTTCTTTAGAACCGAATTTTCAGAAAACCTTTTTTTTTTGGCAGGTTCTGTGATTTGAACTGAGAGCCTAAACTAGTTGCTAAGCTGAATGTCTGCCACTTGAGCTATACCTCCAGTAGAATTTTTTGTTATTGTTGGTCATGGGGCTTGAACTCAAGAGCCTGGGTGCTGTCCCTGAGCTCTTTTCTCAAGCTCAAGAGACACAGTGCCACATCCAATTTAGAGGCTGCCTTTCTCCACACACTTTATATATCTACTGGAAATATACAACTTGAAAGGTGTAACAACTCACATTGAAACAAGCTTTATTGTGTATTTACATTCATAAATGTTATTTTATACTGAATGTTTGAAACAAAAGCATTACAGTAGTAATAGAAGCTGATCTTGTGTAGCGTAGACAGATTTGAGTTGTTGGCATAGAGGAGACTCAGTTAATATGTTCTCATCAGTAGGTATATTGTTCTTTTCATGATTAAACTTACATGTATTTTCTTTTTAATTTAAAGCTTGCAAATACAGAAGAATACATAGATGGGGCATTGTCTGGACATCTGGGTGAAGTTCTAATAAGGTAACATAACAGGAGTAATATATGTAAGGTCCTACTGATAAACATTAGAAATGATTGTATAAATAAACAGTGCTTCCGTTTTGGAATTATTTTTTAAAAAATCATTATTTACCAAAGTGCTCTACAACAAAAGTCTTTGAAGTTGTTAAATCTGTCATCGGCATAGTTTGTCATTAAAATGCCATGACAAGCACATGTTATAAGGTAAATGCCACACGCTCTTTAACAAATCTATATAAAACTTAAGAAATAATAGAATCTAGTATTCTGCATTTTCATAATCAAGAAAAGCTAACACTGGTAATACAGATCATAGATGGTTTCAAGTTGAAACAATAAAATGGACTGTTTTTCTGTTTACAGATGTAACAATGTCCTTTATATCAGAGGTGTTGAAGAAGAAGAAGAAGATGGGGAAATGAGAGAATAGCCACTTGGGGGATCTTTTTTATATATATATTTCTAGACAATATTTTTTTCCAGTCCATCTTGTGACAGAAGGTATTGAAAAAAAGATGGGAAATGAAAGAATGGCGCCTTTTTGTGGGTTTTTTTTATATATATATTTCTAGACAATAAAAATTTGTCAGTCTGAATTGCTTACTATTCATATGTAGGTATTTACATGCAAAGCTCATTGTTGAAACTGTATACTGTTGACACATTCTTTTTTTTTTTTTGTAAGGTTAATACTTTTTCTGTAAGAAGCGAATATATCCCTTGAATGGTGTTATAAAAGTGAATTTCAGCCCTTATCTATTAAATGAAACCTTTTAAAAGCAACTACTTTAAGGTTTTTAAGCCACTTTTTACATGTATAAAGTTCAACATTTCTTATTAATACATACTGTATTACTTAGCAAACTACATGCATATTCTGTATCAGTATATGCTAAGCAAATTACATAGTATGGCTAAAGTTGAAACCTCACCTAGAAATTACAGTGTGGAGATAGGACAGAACAGAAATAGTGACCTGACATTTAGGTTCAAAGGGCTGTGCTTTGTTCACTTGAGAGAAACTTTTCTGAACAGAACTTAATGTGAGATGAAAACAGTCTTAGGGGTATGTTCTGACACCATTAATTATCAGAAAAACTCTTGAGACTTTGAGAGTTCTGCTCTGTATCATTCCAGTTTTGGTGTATGTGCTGCTTTGTACACTCTTAATGTACATTCCATACTGTTAAGAGCATACTATGAACTTCCCTTTAGTCCAGTTGAGAAAATAGTATTTAAATTCTCATGTCAGAGAACCGGCTGTTATTACATCTTAATGGTCATTTCCCTATATATAGGTATATCCCCAAGTGGGACAACTCAAAATAGACAAATGTTTAGCCGTATGGAATAGTACTTAAGAATAATAGGAAGCTTCAACAAAAAAAGGAAAATAACTCCGATCCTAAACCTTTGCAATAAGGGTCTGTCTTCCTTAAATTAGGATAGTGTATGTGGCAGGATCTGCCATTACTCAGTCAAAATCTATGAAAACATTTGTAATAAAAATCTTGTTGCTCCTTTTCAACTAAAAAAATACTCTTCCTCCAGTGATTTTGCTCGTGAGTCAGTGACTAGAACTATTTCCTCTTTGTTAGAAGATAGAGGTTTTGAGCGGTAGACGAGTCGTCTTCCCAACTGAAACAAAAGGAAAACAATATTAATACTAATAGCTAGCTCTGTTCTATTGAGGTACATAAAATGTTAATGTTGACTTGGTTTTTACATGAACAAAACTTTAAAATACTACTCACAGTTCCAAGGGATAATCTAATGGATGTCCAACATTCTAGGCAAACTTAAATGGCAAATTGAAAAGGGAAGATCTGGGTAAAGTCAAACATGCTCCAGATAATGGCCAGTCTAACACCATATTAGAAACTAACATTTGATTTCTCGACAAGTGCCATAAGTGAGTTTTCCTTCCATGATTGAGAGAGATTAAAAACCACGGAAAACAGCTGGGTGCTGGTGGTTTATACTGTAATCCTAGCTACTCAGAAGACAGATCTGAGGATTCTAGTTCGAAGCCAACCTGGGCAGGAAAGTCTAGGAGTCTCCAGTTTATCATCAGAAAACAGGAAGTGGCCCTGTGGATCAGAGTGGTAGAGTGATAGCCTACCACTGAGCGGAAAAAGCTCAGAGATAGGGCCAGGCCCTGAGTTCAAGCCCCACAACTGACCCTCCAAAAAACCTCAGAAAACCAAGTACTTTCTTCAGATGAGCAACTATAGTTTTGTCATACCAGGAAGTTTCTTTGTAAAAAAAAAAAAAATGGTCCCATTACTGGGGCTTCACCTCAGGGTGTGGGCACTGTTCCTTAGCCTTTTGTTTAAAACTACCACTTGAATCACAGGCCTACTTCCAGCTTTTTTGGTAGTTAATTGGAAATAAGAAGCTTACAGGCTTTACTGCCCAGACAGGCTTCGAATCCATGAACCTCACATCACAGCCTCTTGAGTAGCTAGGATTAATAGCTAGTGTTGGAGGTTTCCCTCCCTCCCTCCCTCCCTCCCTCCCTCCCTCCCTCACTTCCTGTCATGGAGCTTGAACTCTGGGCCTGGGTACTGTGCCTGAGCTCTTCAGCTGTAAGTGCCACTTCCAGTTTTCTGGTGGTTAACTGGAGAATAAGAATATCATGGATATTCCTGCCTAGGCTGGCTTTGAACTGCAATCCTCAGGTGCCAGCCTCTTTGGTAGCTAGGATTACAGGCATGAGCCACTGGTGCCTGGCAAGGAGGTTTCATTCTTGACATGTGCACATACATATACAATATTTTCGTTTAGATAAGTTATAAGGTGTTTTGATTTTGCATCACAGAAACAGACCCTTGAATACTGTTGTGGCTAGACTCAGTGAGCACAAAACAGACCTTTTTCTTTGGTTGTGCTACGGCTCTTTCCAGAGCAGCTCTTAATCTTTCCTCTTGGTGGCGTTGTTTTTCTCTCATTTTCTCATCACGCAGCCTGTCACAGGAGGGAAGGAATATTTTTGTAAAAATTCTTAAATCCACAGAAATTTTAAAGAGTCTGCATCATTCATATTTGATAACGACCTATCTAAATGTAGGGTCTTCTATAACAATCCCACTTTGAAATGGGAAGGAGTTTCAGTATCATTTTGGAAGAAAAATATACCCACATATTAGTCAAAAATATGAGCAAGTCTTGTCACTCGCAACCTAGCATTTTCTGTACCATATTAACTTTCAGTTATTTTATACATACCTGTGTGTATGTGTGGTGAAATATATATTTTTAAACTTCTTTAAAAGTAACAGAAAAATCACAAGTGTGTAGCACAATGCATTTCCAGCAAAATGTACGGCTCATCTTTTTGAATGATATCCTAAATTCCAATAAGTTCAAGTAGTCTTTTTTAGGGATGTTGTAAGGGAAAAAATAATTGATGCAAATTATCTAGTATAAGATTTGGTGCAGAATAGCTATTCTATGGTCCTTTATTATTATGTCTTCAGTATAAAAGTTATAAAGGGTGGGGTGGGGGGAACCAAAGCTTTTTTTTTTTTTTTTTAGTAGTACTGTGTCTAGAACTCAGAGGCTCATAGCTTGCTAGGTAGGTGTTCTATTACTACCACTTGGGCCATGCCCCTGGGCCCCCTTTGGGTTTAGTTCTGTTTTTCAGATAGGATCTCATGTTTCTGCTAGGGGCCAGCCTCAAGATTGCTATCCTACCTATACTCTCTGTAGCTGGGATCACAGGTATATGCCACCATGTCCAGCTTAAGATAGGGTGAGGTGTCCTACTAGCTTTTGCCCAGAGCTACCTTTAAGCTGTGACCCTTTCAGTTGTTGTTTTTGTTGTTGTTGTTGTTATTGTTGTCGGTCATGGAGCTTCAACTCTAGGCCTGGGTGCTGTCCCTAAACTCTTCAGCTCAAGGAAAACGCTCTACCACTTAAGCCACAGCTCCACTTCCCATTTTCTGGTGGTTAATTGGAGATAAGAGTCTCATGGACTTTCTTGCCTGGGCTGGCTTTGAACTGCAATCCTCAGCCTCCTGAATAGCTAGGATTACAGGCGTGAGCCACCAGTGCCCAGCCCTTCCAGTTTTTTGAGTACCCATACCCAGACCCATATCCACATTTTTAGTGCAAGTCAGTATACTGAGGACACTTATGAAGAGAACAATCCTCTTCCAGATATTCTTTTTTAAGTTTGTTTTATATTCAATAGAATTTCATCAGATCTTAATATATTCTGATTTCATTTCTACAATATATGGGAGAAACTATCCCCAATAGTAATATAGTAAAGAAGTAACAAACATTAGTGGCTAGTATCTCAGACTTTAGTATGTGCTGAGTGGTTCCCTCCCTGCTTTTACATGGATTAATTTTTTTTTTTTTTTGGTCAGTCATGGGGCTTGAACTCAGCCTGGGTGCTATCCCTCAGCTCTTCAGCTCAAGGCAAGTGAGTGCTCTACCACTTGAGGCACAGCGCCACTTCTGATTTTCTAAGTGGTTTATTGGAGATAAGAGTCTCATGGACTTTCGTGCCTGGGCTGGCTTTGAACTGCCATCCTCAGATCCCAGCCTCCTAAGTAGCTAGGGTTACAGGTGCAAGCCACCGGTGCCCAGCTATACATGGATTAATTTAATCCTCACAACAATCCTGTGGGATAAATACCATTATCACTGCCATTTAACAGATCAATGGAATGGCCTGCCTTATGCCACCTACCTGAAGTCTCCCAAAATAGTAAATAGTTGAGCCCAATAGGCAGGTTTTATGTCCATGCTTGCAGTTGTACTATCCTGCCCCTTATGTTTTTTGCTAAAGCCTAGACATCCCACTTCAAAACTTGACCTGTACACCACCTTGTTCTAGTGATTATATTTGTTATAATCATTGTTCCAAACAAGATACATAATGTCTTTGTTTAACTTGTAGAAATCTAGATACCAGTGTATTCTAAAAGACCCTGATGAGGTATGGGATGGGGTTTAAGGAATGATGACCCGCAGGAGATTGTCTTGAGGAATAAAAGAGTCAGTGAGTAAATGCTCTATCAGTGTTGCCAGTTTGGCACCTCCTTGTGTGGCTCTGACTCTTAGGAGTTTTGTTTTTTTGTTTTCTTGGGTCCAGTCGGTCGTGGGGCCTGAACTCTGGGCCTGGGCGCTGTTCCTCAGCTCTTCAGCTCAAGGCTAGTGCTCTACCACTTGAGCCACAGCGCCACTTCTGGCTTTTTTCTTTTTGCTTATGTGGTGCTGAGGAATCGAACCCAGGGCCTCCGGAATGCCAAGGCAAGCACTCTACCACTGAGCCACCTTCCTAGCCCCTTTTAGGAGTTCTTTCATAGAAGGGGGTCTCCCTATGTTTCCCAATGAAGGGCTCCTGATGCTATGCTTCGGGACCCTGAACGTAAGTGCAGCCCTTGTATGTGCTAGCTATTCAAAAATGTTGCTATAATGAGAGTTCACACTGAAGATTTATGTTACCAGGCTAAAGGGTGAATTCACCTAGCTCTTATACTGTGTTGGTTATCAATGGTAATAAATAACACATTCTTTTCTAAGAACATTTGATGAGCACATACTAAAGAATAGCCCTCTGAGGAGAGCACCACCGCCTCCCTCTATGGCAATCCTTGCCATCCAACCAACTGCTCAAGGTGGAATCCAGGCTAAAGCAGCCACGCATGAGGTCATTCACTACACTTCTATGAAAAGACATTGACAGTACTTTTGCCGTCTCTCCTTCTGCTTTATCCTCTCAATCGCCTCCATATTTTCTTTGGGAATGGACTCGATGAGATCACTCAGTTCCACCAGGCGATTCTCTACTTTGACCAGTTTCTGAACTGCTGTCATGCTGCCAACCTCAGCTTCTCCAATGCACATAGTGTACACTTGATTGATTTTTTTACTAAGTGACTGTATCAGCTTTTCCTGAGATAGAGAAGAAAAGAAAGAGCAGAAAATAACTATGTCACTATGCTCACTCAATAAATGCAAGATTCCATTTTATTACGTTACAATGAAAAGTTCTATAGCATTAAATGCATCCTTTTCTTTTGGTGCAGGAGGTGGAACCTGTATGTTAAGTGTACGTTCTACCACTGAGCTCCACCCCCAGCCTCCTAGATGTTTCCTTTGAAAAAGAAAAACTTTAACATCATAAAGATCAGTGATAAGTGGTATTTATGTCATGGTTTACACCATGGATTATTTTCTCAAAACATTGAAGTGTTAAGTATAAGAAGTAATGGAAGCTGGGTGCTGGTGACTCACACCCGTAACCCTAGCTACTCAGAAGGCTGAGATCTGAGGATCAGGGTTTGAAGCCTCATATTTCCATATCTTCAGTTAACCAGCAAAAAGCCAGAAGTAGACTTGTGGGCTCAAGTGGGAAAGTACTAGCCTTGAGCAGAAAATGCTAAGGGAGATCATATGGCCCTGAATTCAAGTCCCAGTACTGGCACATACACACACACAAAAGGTAATGGTAATAAGACAAAACCTTGTGGCTCAGACATTTTTATCTGACTACCTAAACATTCAAGCACAGGCCATTACACATTTTAAATCTATCTGTGCCACCCACGTCATGTGTGAGCCCCCACTTTTTAAAATTCTAATGGCTAAAACTATAATGATTCTGGGTGATGGTTATTTGCATACATGCCCTGTCTTTCTAAGCACCTAGAAGAAAAAGGCTACTTGTAATGTTCATAGTTACACCCAAAACAGTGCATTGCACATAGCTACACACTTAATAAATGTTTGCTGAATAAATGAAAGTATTCTATTAGAGAAAACGGTAAGCAAAAGAATTTCCAGGCTGGCCTGTGAGAGCCTTTAAAAAATTTTCATGGCTCTCCATTGGAAATCCATTCTAAAGAGGTATTTGGGCCAAACCTTGCTGATCCCTGTACCTCGACAGTGTGCTGTTTAAACTGTCCATGGAGTATCTTGAGTGTGGAAGTAACATGTTTCGGGACCATGAAAACATTCTCATTCTCATTTTCATCCTCGCTCTCGTTCTCATAATCCTCTGTAAAACTGGTGTCAGATGCTAAGAGGGTCTCAAGAAACTGCTGGGCAAAGCAAATTGTTCTCCAGGGAATATTCTGCCCCACTTCCTGGTTCTGCTCAAGAAGATGAGAATCACCATAAAGCTGAGAACAAACAAACACCCAAGACCTCCATGATGCCTACTTCTGTGGACAGCCCATTCTGGAACCACACATGCCCTCCAGAGGCACCAGCATTCAATGAAAATCAGGATCTGATACCAAGAGTGGATTTCAACAGCTTGTCTCTTCCCCGCCTGCCTTACTGAGCATTCTTGTGGTTCTATTTATCATAAAGTTCCTTTTTTCTCTCTCTAAATACTTAGTGTATTCCCTATTAAGAAAATCTTGGAGAAATATGAGAAAAATCTTGAAATATAAAATAATACGTAAAAAAAAGAAGTCTTATTTGCCATTAACCCCCTCAAAATAACACACATTTCCTATTTATATAACTACATATTCCTTTTAGAAACCTTGGAGATCTATAGAAAAATAGAGGAAAAAAAGTAAAAGCCCAGTGGGCTGAAATCTGCTATATATGGCAAAACACAAATCCTTAAAGCAGGAACAAAATACATGGCAGTTTTAAAATAGATATTCAATACTAGTTTTGGGGAAAAGCAGCTTAAATATGAAAATGGCTGTGTTGATGGTGACTGGTTAGAGTTTTAGAGATGAACAGGCAGTAACTTTTCACAATATCTTTTCTCTATCTTCCCCATCTAAAACATGCTTCCTTATCAAACAGGAGAGGAAAAGTTGTGGCATTTTCTTCAAATAACAAGGTAGAAATAACATTAAGTTAGTGATGGGAACGAGATTAAGGAAGATAACTTATGTGTAGAAAACAGATGTGACCCAGCAAAGCTAAAGGACAGAGAAAAGAACCAGGCAGAGACCAACTAGTGACAGCAGGCAGAGAAGCGTGAGGCTAGATATCTGCTCTTGCCACCAGATGGCAGGCCTAGCCCAGAGCAGGGTGGAGGCGAAGCTGACCTGGACAGCTGCAGAGCAGGACTATGGATTAGAACAGCAGGGTGAGAACTCCAGCCCAGCAGTAAAAGGCAGATGATGTGACCAGAGCACTATTTTAGACTGAAGAGAATGCCATCACAAGTTCTTCCCAACCCAACAATTCTGTAATGCTACTCCACACGTCCCAGACTTCCTGGCTGATGTACAAAGGACTAGAACAAGACAACTGAAGCTCCATTTCATGTCCACTGGAAACCAACTGGAACCAGATGGATGAAGCTCACAAATGGTGAGAGAAAGGAGGACACATCACATGATTCCATGTCTGCAAAGTTCAGCGGATGGTAGGAGAAGCCAGGATGGTATGGTAGTCACCTCTGAGGAATGATGGAGACTGGAAAGGGGAAAAAGGAAGACTTTTAGGGGCTGCTGATGATAGTCTATCCCCTGTTGAATGGTACATGACTATGTTGAGAAGTACCCTAATTGTTTATGTATGTTTTTAAAAATTTGTGATCCTAGAGTTTGATCTAAGTCCGGGTGCTCTACCACTAGAGGCACACCTCAATGCTTTTTGCTGAAGTGTTTTGTTTAGTTATTGTTTAGTTTTGTATTTTCAGTACTTAGGTTTTAGCTCAAGGACTTGAACTCTACCATTTTGAACTATACTCTTTGCCCTTATTGTTTTTGTTATTTTTCAGATAGGTTTTGATTTTTGGCCAGCAGCTGGACTGTGATTCTCTTATGTACACTTCTTGTCCAACTGGGATGGCAGGTGTATACCACTGTGTCCAGCTTCTTATTGGTTTGAGATGGAATCATTGGCTTTTTGCTGGGACTATCCTTTTGATTTCAGCCTTCTGAGTAGCTACAAGCCACTGTACCCAGCTTATTTGTTTTTCAGATAGAGTTTTGTGATGTTTTGCCTGGATGGGTCTGGATTACAGTCTGTGTTTTTACACTTACTGAGTAGCTGGAATTATAGGCATGAGCCACTAGATCCAGCCTAAGTTTTACTTTAAAATAAAGGGAAAAGATGCAGGGATTAGGTACAATTAGAAATGTGACCATTTTGAAAGAATGAAATACTTGTAATTATCATAGCTCCAAGTAATCATTTTTTATGAATATCAAAAATAGGTACCTCGGGGCTGGGAAGGTGGCTCAGTGGTAGAGCTCTTGCCTTGCATGCATGAGGCCCAAAAAAAAAAAAGCCGGAAGTGGCGCTGTGGCTCAAGTGCTGTAGAGCGCTAGCCTTGAGCTGAAGAGCTGAGGGACAGCGCCCAGGCCTAGAGTTCAGGCCCCATGACTGGCCCCCCCCCCCCAAAAAAAATAGGTACCTCACATATATCAGTAAAGATAGAAAACAAAAAAATGAGTTGTGACTGTGTATTTGCTGACAAAGGATTATGTTTTGTATATTTTGAGATCTGAAGGGATTGGGTTGGAAATTGGTAGGAATTGGTAGGGAAATTGTAAGAAAAGAATCCTGTGCTCTTCTGGGCTTTTTTTTGTTTTTTCGGGGTCCAGTCGTGGGGCCTGAACTCTGGGCCTGGGCGCTGTCCCTCAGCTCTTCAGCTCAAGGCTAGTGCTCTACCACTTGAGCCACAGCGCCACTTCCAGCTTTTTTTCTTTTTGCTTATATGGTGCTGAGGAATCGAACCCAGGGCCTCAGGCATGCAAGGCAAGCGCTCTACCACTGAGCCACCTTCCCAGCCCTTCTGGTTTTGTTTTTTTTTTTCAACTCTACTTTCTCACTCTATGCTGAAGAGTTCTGGAAGACTATAAATTATCAGCCCATTGTCCAGAGTGTATATATACATTGGGCATAACTGTGACCAAAATTTTAATGGCTAGCCTTCAAAAGGTAATTTTCTCTTCTCTAGGGATCTGGTGGCCTCAATGGTGAAGAGAATTAAAAATCCCACTTTCTTCCAAAGTTGAATGAAAGGGGCTCACTTTAGTGGAGGTTTGGTAAATGTCATAGATATTTACCTTACATTTCTTCAGGTCAGTCAGCTTCAGAATTACTTAAGATACAATTGAAGAGTGCCATCAACTGAAGAATGGGTACACGAAATATGGTAGCTATGATCGAGTATCACTCAGTCTTTTTTTTTTTTTTTTTGGGTCCGTTCGTGGGGCCTGAACTCTGGGCCTGGGCGCTGTCCCTCAGCTCTTCAGCTCAAGGCTAGTGCTCTACCACTTGAGCCACAGCGCCACTTCCAGCTTTTTTCTTTTTTCTTATGTGGTGCTGAGGAATCGAACCCAGGGCCTCAGGCATGCAAGGCAAGCGCTTTACCACTGAGCCACCTTCCCAGCCCTCACTCAGTCTTAAAAGGAATTCAGTTCTGATACATGTTATGTATCAGATGCAGTTATGTAAAATAAGCTAGACACCAAGGGTCAGCTACTGTATAAGTGCACTCAGGTGTTACCTAGCAGAGCCAAATTCCTAGGGATGGAAAGGATGGTGGTTGCCGGGGAACAGAAGAGGAAGGGGGAGAAGTTAGTGGTTCCTGGAGTTTTGCTTTTACAGTATGGAAGAGTTCTGGAGATTAGTTGCAGCACAACACAAATGTACTTAACACAACTGAACTGCATTTGTAATCATTAAGATGTTAAAATGCATGTTGAAATTTTGATGAAAACCTGGAAAAGATAGTAGTGATGGTCATGCAACATGGCAAATATACTTAATGTTACTGAATTACATTTATAATAGGTGGTTTTATACACACACACACACACACACACACACACACACACACACACACACATAATCTGGCAGTACTGGGAATTAAACTCAGGACTTCATACTTGCAAGGCAGGTGCTCTGCTACTTCAGCCACACTCCTATTTTGTATTAGTTATTTTCAGAGTAGAGTCTTGCTGTAAACCTAGCTCAGTCTGGGCCAAGATCCTTCCTCTCGTGCTTCTGTGTCACTGGGCAGAGAGGTGCACAATGCTGTGCCCAGCTATTGTGTTTCCCCTACGCTGGGATAACAGGTGCACGCTACAACACCCAGCCATTGGTTGAGATGGAGTCTTGTAAACATCTTTTCTCCCCCTGGGATGGCCTCAACCTGTGATATCCCACCTCCCAAGGATCTAGGATTACAAGCTGGAACCACCAAGCCTGGCTCAAATGTATGTATATATGACTATAATTTTTAAAAAATGGTTAAGAAAGAAATCTTGTTATAGCTCTTGCTACAGTTTTGCATGAGTCCAGCTCATGCTAACTCAGGTTGTAATGCCCTAGGATGAGAGAGAGAGAGAATTTAAACTGCTTCTGCTTGTTAATCTAGTAGGCAAGGGGGGATAGTCATCTTTTTCTGATGAAGTTCCTAAAATCTATCTGAACTCAATCTGTTTGAAAAATCAAGTGCATGGCCATAAATATATTAGCCTCAAAGATTCACATTGAATTGTTAGTTCATTTGAGGACATCCAAGAAAAGTAATTTGAGATGGAGGTCTGAATATTAACCTCAGCATTCATTCAGCAAACATTTATTGAGCACCAGATTTATGAGGACATTAAGCAATAAGGCAATCTTTGCACTCAAATCCCTGCCAATTTGAATTTTTCCAGTCTAGTAAATTGACCATTTACATCCTGGCAACAATGATGCTGGTTTTTCTTTGGACTGGCGATTGGTTTAAACTCCTCAATTCTAATGCTTAGGCAAATGATGATGATTATCTTGAGCCCAAGTAACAGGCATTGGAAAAACAACAACCCAAAAACAACAACAACAACATCATTACCTGAGTATCTGAATTAAATTCTCCAAAACTGAAGAGCCTGGATCTCAATTCCAATTCTGCTGCTTTTTCCTCCTCTCTCACACACTGGACCTTGAGCATTTCCTTGTGCTCCAGCAAGAAGGAGACATTGGCATTTCTATTGTAATAGAAGAGAGGGATCCTCGTCTCTAAGTTGCTTTAACGAGGAAAGCAGCAATCTGGAAGCTTCAGCCCTCTTTCAGAATGCATCATCACTCGCAACTAGCAAGTCAGACAGGACTTTGTTTTGGAAGACATGGCCTAAAGTGCTCAAGTTACAATGAGGAAAACAAACAACCGCTGCCTTTTGCTTCCATCAGGAGTCATTTTCCCCTGTCTGCTCTTACGGTTCCCTGAAGATGCCCAAACACAGAGCAGCAGAATGGCAGCTTCAAGAACTCAGGCTGTAGTGTGTGTTCTCAAGCTAGGTATGTGTTCTCAGATCTGGCCAATTAGAAAAACCTAAGGAGCAAAGGAATCCCTCCCTTACCCAGAGATTAGATTCTTGGAAAGAACCTCTGGGTCACAGGGCTTACCTTCTTTTCCCTATCTGCCTACACCTGTCTTATCCCAAAAAAGTATGGGGGGGGGGAGGGCAGGCATCACACACTATAAAGACTGAGAATAATACAGGATTCAAAGGACATGTAGTGGTAATGGTGGCTGGGTTTTGGACAAATTAATTTGTTCTGAAGATACGTGTAGCTTGATTCATTGTAAAAAAGATTTCCATCTTCTGGCAGGAAATGGTTCTCAATGCCTGGCTTATGAAATCGTAATCCCTTTGCACAACACAGTAATAACAATAAAATTATATTTAAAAGTTTTACCCATTTTTTTCCTAATGGATAGAAATAGAGATCTATTCTCTGCGGCTATTTGAATCTCTTTTGTGAAACAATAATAATATAAAATTTTAGAGTAAGTATGCAGCCTCCTTCCCCTGACATAAGTCTTGATATGAAATAGCCCTGATATAAAACGGTATAAGCCAGGCGCCAGTGGCTCACGCCTGTAATCCTAGCTACTCAGGAGGCTGAGATCTGACGATCATGCTTCAAAGCCAGCCTGGCCAGAAAAGTCCATGAGACTCTTATCTCCAATGAACCACCAGAAAACTACAAGTGGTGCTGTGGCTCAAGTGGTAGAGCACTCACCTTGAGCTGAAGAGCTCAGGGACAGTGCCCAGGCCCAGAGTTCAAGCCTCATACTATTTTTCTTGTTATGGTACTGGAGTTTGAACTCAGGATCTCACACATTCGCTTTTGTTATTTTCTGATAGGGTCTTGTGTTAGTTTTCCTGGTTGGCCTAGACTTTGATCCTCCTATTTACTCTTCCCACATAGCTGGTACTATAAACATGCACTACTTCACTCAGCCATGGTTTCACTAGCTTTTGCCCAGGATAGCCTCTTACTTCCACCTTCTCGATTTCTACCCAAGTAGCTGGGTTTATAGGCATGAGCTACCATGCCTGGTTTAAAAGATTATACTACTAAATAATAGAAAGTTATTTTTCTGAGAGTCACAAACTAGAGAAAACGCACTTATTAACACCCAAAACATGACATGATTTAATTACAGAAATGATACCTAGCTATGTGATGCGGTAAACATTATACTGGGAAAAAAATTAAGGCTGTAGAGACATTGTCTTATTTTTAGTCTTCTAAACTATCGTTATTACTAGCTAGGAAGACATGTTCACAAGGAAAAGGAAGCGGGCCAGGCTATTCTATGCAAGTACAGCTTCTCCCTTTCACACCCATAGAGTAAACTATTATTAATTTTAAAACATCCTACCCACATCCTGAGACGTCATGAGCAAGAGCCATCATCAATGAGCTGGACATAGCTTCTGGTCAGGAATTGCTTCATAGATTAAATACTGTTGTTTTTAATGACTTACATCTTATCCTGTATAATTTTTTCTCTTCTGTTGACCTCATCAAGATTTTCATCTATTTCTTGGGAATACTGGACCAGATTAAGATTTTGCTCTTCCAGCTCAGTGAGGACTTGAAGTAACTCTTCTGGTTCCTTGAAGTAAATCTCAGGCTCCTAACCAATAATGAAGAATGCAAGTCATATATACATATACAGATACATACATACACATACACACATGTAACTCATCTGGAAAATGGAGTAAAGTAACACTGGTGCTAGCCAGATTGCCATCATTGTGACAAGAATACCTGAGATATCAACTCACAAGGAGCAAAGGTTTGATTCAGAGTTTCAGGGGTGTCAGTCCAGACACTTGGCCCATCACTTCGTACTTGTGGTGACACATCATGGTAGGAGCACATGGTGGTGGCAACCTGTTCACCTAATGGTGGCCAGGAGGGAGGAGACATGGGCCAATGTCCCAGTAACCCCTTCAGGGGTACATGGCCAATAACCTAACTTTCTTCCACTAGGCCCCACCCCTAACTTATCTTTACTACCTCCCAAAGCATGGGCCTTTATGTGAACATTCTTTGGGTGACCGTAAGATAGACAGGGAGAGAATTGATGGGAGCCTTGCATATTTCCAAGTGGGAGATGGCTCTTTGGAAAAGGACAATTTAGGAATGAAAGGAGATCAGAGACACTAGATAGAGTAAGAGAACACACAAAAAAAGAGTGCAATCAGGAAAAAAGAAAAAAGAAGGGGTATAGCAGACAAGAAATCAAGGACAGACATTATGTCGAAAACAAACTTTACAACTTTGGTGCGGGGGGGCGGGGGGGGGGAGAGGGGGAGAAGGAAGGATTGGGGGGGGCAGGGGGAGGATGGGAAGGGATGGGAAGGGGAAACAAAGGAGGAGGCTACAATGCTTGATAAGAAATGTACTCATTATCTTGCCCATGTAATTGTAACCCCTCTGTACAGTATTTTCACAATTAAAAAAAAAAAGAAATCAAGGACAGAAAAGAGGGAAAGGGAACAGCAAGAAAGAAGAAATAGAAGACAGAGGTTAAATGAAAGTGATTTTCTCCTCACCTTGCAATTATTTTCTTTCATATTTTCCAAAGTTTTAAGAATAGTTCGTATGACTTTAAACATTTTTTACAAAAATGACTTGTGTGTTCACATATCTATTTTCATCATTATTGACAAGGAGCAGAATCAACCTTGATGTCTATGGATGGCTGAATGGGTATTAAGAATGGAATAGAGGAAATGTAATGCAGACATATAATGGAATATATTCAGACTTTAAAAAGGAGAACTTGTTGATGGCTGAACTTTGGGGAAAATGTTATATGAAAGAAGCTACCTATAAAAAAGACAAATACTGGGCTGGGAAGGTGAGTCAGTGGTAGAGTGCTTGCCTTGCTTGCATACATGAAGCCCCCGGTTCGATTCCTTAGTACTACATAAGTAGAAAAAGCCAGAAGTGGCACTGTGGCTCAAGTGGTAGAGTGCTAGCTTTGAGCTGAAGAGCTGAGGGACAGCGCCCAGGCCCAGAGTTCAGGCCCCACGACCAGAAAAAAAAAAAAAAGACAAATACTATACTATTTGTATGAGTTATCTAACATAGCCAGTCTCTTAGAAAGAGCTAGAGAAGTTGGGAGAGGGGGGTGTTCAATGTGGGCAGGGTTTCAGTTTTGCAAAAGGAACAAGTTGTGTAAAGATCTTTTCTCAACAATGTGAATAATTAATGCAACTGTGCACTTAAAATGCTTAATTCTGTTTATAGGTTCACACAAAACACAATTGTTAGCTGGGTGTTGGTGGTTCACACCTGTAATCCTAGGTACTCAGGAGGCTGAGATCTGAGGATCATGGTTCAAAGCCAGCCCAGGCAGAAAAGTCCCAAAGCCAGCCCAGGCAGAAAAGTCCCCATGAGACTCTTTTTTTTTTTTTTTTTTTGCTGGTCATGGGGCCTGCATTCTGGGCCTGGGCACTGTCCCTCAACTTTTCAGCTCAAGGCTAAAGCACTCTATCACTTGAGCCGCAGCACCACTTCCAGCTTTTTCTGCTTATGTGGTGTTAAGGAATTGAACCTAGGGCCTCATACATGCAAGGCAAGCACTCTACCACTGAGCCACCTTCCCAGCCCTCCCATGAGACTCTTATCTCCAATAAACCACTCAGAAAACTGGTAGTGGTGCTGTGGCTCAAGTGGTAGGACGCTAGCCTTGAGCTGAATGCTGAGGGACAGCGCCCAGGCCCAGAGTTCAGGCCCCATGGCTGACCAAAAAAAAAAGCACTCCGAAATACACATGTATGCTTTTCACAAAGCACATTATGTAAATTGAGAAATAACACCTGGTTACCAGAGCAAAGTTGATGTCATTATCTAAAATGAAATCCAAACTGTCTTCAGAGCTGCTACTCTCAGGCCGGCTGTAAAAGAAAAAGAATTCTTTGTGACTTTTCTGTCAACATATTGGCTTTCATTGGGCTCCAACTGAAACAGTTCTTTTCAGCAGCCTACCAGTTAGCCTGTTAGGAAACTGCTCATTGCAGAAATCAGTGTGGTGGGGCTGGGAAGATGGCTCAGTGGTAGAGCGCTTGCCTTGCATGCCTGAGGCCCTGGGTTCGATTCCTCAGCACCACATAAGCAAAAAGAGAAAAGCCGGAAGTGACGCTGTGGCTTAAGTGGTAGAGCGCTAGCCTTGAGCTGAAGAGCTGAGGGACAGCGCCCAGGCCCAGAGTTCAGGCCCCACAACTGGACCTCCCCCCCAAAAAAGAAATCAGTGTGGTTCCTGAGAATTCAAAAGAAATTTGCTTAGCATCATCTTAGCATCATCTACCTAGATATGACCATATTAGATGATGCTAAGTGAAATGAACCCCAAGATAGGGACACAAGCGATTTTTATCTTTCTTGCTGTTGTTTTTTAATGTACTTATAATCTACTATGTGATTGTACAGTATCTGTACAATTATATATATATATGTATATATATATATATATATATATATATGAGAAAATTGGGTTCAGTTCCAGTAGAGGGTGTGGCTACAAATGGGCCATATAACAAGGATCCTCTATGGATGTTTTGGATTTGCTATGTCTGTGTCAATTTGCTGACTGTGGCATTGGGCTACACTTTTGTAAGATGGTGTGCTATTGGGAGAAGTTGGGGCAGTGGAACATGGGATCTGTCTGTACTATTTTTAGAATTGCATGTGAACCTATAGTTAGCTCAAACTAAAAGATGAATTAAAACTCTAGTGATGGGTGAATGCTGCAGAAATAGAGTGGCTTTGGGGCCCCTAAAATTCAGAGTCAAGTGTCTGAGTAATCATTGTGGGCACTGTAATGCTGCCTCAGAGCTCTCCTTCAGGGCTAGTAACCTAGGCATACTATATTTTCTTAAGTCTCCCTTGTCAAAGCCAGAGTTGAAAACGAGCCCTTTTACAAAACAAGTGTACATGAATCAACAGTCCAGACTACTGTAATAAACCATAGGACAGTGGATGGTGAGAGAGGAAAACCCCAGAGGCAGGGGACTGGCACTTTCTACAAATCAGACTTGCAGGTCCTTGTCAAAGAATTCAGATGCCAGAGAGCTGGGTCACCTCAGGAGCACACAGAAGCAGCTCCAGTATTTGTCCTGATATCTGGGACAATCTGAGATGGGGGTCTCTGTGTGGGGGGAAGAGGGCTAACAAGAGCTACTTTCTAAAACTCGCTCTCAGCTTCAATGCAGGTGACTAAGTATGTACTGTACCTGAATGATTTCTTGGCCTCTGGGATTAAATTGGCCTTCTTGAGGTGCTTTCCTGTTCAGAGTGCCCGGGGAAGTCGTCCCATTGTGATGGTATAGGGAGAGAAAGAACGTGGCTTTAGAAATTAGTCTTTGCCATTTGGGATGAGATATTCAATTTCACTTCACATTACTGTTTCAAGTTGTGATCGTTTTATCGTCAGAAAGATAATCATATGGAAAATGGAACTTCTACTGAAACTGGGATCCAAGAATAAGTATAAAATCAAAGGCATTTTGGCTGCGATGGTGGGGGACATGATTTGTCATAAGCATGTTGTAACTACTATTGGAAGTCACAAACTAGGGACCAAAACTAAGAAATGCATGTTAATAGATATATATGTGTGTGTGTGTGTATATATATATATATAACTAGTATATACATGTTCATGGGTTCCTGTTTGTATATGTATATGCACATATGTGTATGAAAGAGAAATTAGATGTGTTATACATGTATGTACACATAACACACACACACACACACACACACACACACACACACACACCCCACGCTCACATCCACACCTGATAGGGCAGGTACTTCCAAAATGGGGAAGTTCCTAGCTTGAGCCCACACTACAGATCTTGTGGTTTTCATAGGAGGATGTTGATTTTTAAATGTCCAAAAATCAAACAAGGACAACACACTGGAGCCAATTTCCTGGCCTGTGGTTGTAGGGGCCTGTGGAGGGAGGAGGGGACCATCCATCTAAAGGGGATCATGGCCTTAAAGAAAGTTCTGGAAGTTTCTATGCTTCCCAAGAGAGATTTATCTAAGTCACAGACCAATGGCCATCACTTGATTGCCCCTGGCCTGGTGTCCTGGACTGTAGCTAGGCCTTCCTTTTCTACTTGGAGGAACATTCTCCAGTTTTCCTTTGGGGAATTAAGTCACACTTCTCAACTTTTACCTTTGTTCACTTTTACTGTATAATGTTCATCTGATGATGTTTTTTCAGATCCATCCACCCGGTGGTGTTTTTTATGTGAACTTCCCGTGCTTTCTAAAAATGAAAAAAAAAAAAAAAAAAAAGGAGGAGGGAGAGGAAATATTTTGTTTGTTATGTTTTTAATGTAGAATGCCTATTATAGAAGTTAACAGTTTTTATAGATTGCGATGAGAGTGTCTCATCATCAGGGGAGATTATTTTTTGTAGAAACTTTCAGACTCTGAAATACAAGATGGAGATCTCTTATTCTGCAGGTGATGAAGGTTGGTCTCTGGCATAGGCAGAATGGACTTTGGGAGATTGAGGGGCTCCATTGGTCCTATCAGTCTGTCATTACCTGTGAAATTCCAGTAATTGCCACTGACACTTCTTGACTAAGTGGGTTCTGAGCATTCCTCTATTTACATATGCGTCTAGGAGGACTAAGTCTTAAGCTGTCAAGTGCTTGCAAGTAACTTCTTTATTTTGATTCATATTTCCCTCTTGCTCCATTTTTCTTTTTCCTTTTCTTTCTTTTTATAGTACTGGCATTTGAATTCAGGGCCTTGTGCTTGCTAGGCAGGTGCGTTACTGCTGAGCCATGCTCCAGTCCTTTTGTTTTTAGTTTGTTTTACAGATAAGGTCTCATGCTTTTGCCTGGACTGGCTTCAGATTGTGATCCTCCTATCGCTACCCTACCTATAACACCATACCCGGTCCTACTTGTTCAGTACCCTTTAGTGAACTGTGAGCAAGTGTCAGTACACACACATACATACACACACACACACACACACACACACACACACACACAGGAGAGATGAGTGGTAAAATGAGTAAGGTAATCATCAGTGGTATCCTGGGAAATGCTTAACAATCAGCTCTCTGAAAAACACAATCTCCTTTACTTGTGCTTTGCTTGTGTCTGTGATGTAAATGCTCATCTCTCAGCTGGGCTCCACTGTGGCTCTCTGTCTTTTGGGACATCCTGGAAACACCCTAGGAAGAAAGCTGTTTGCTTCATTGCCCTCTCTTCTCCCAGGGATTACTCTGCTTGGTGCTTGGTGGGCAAGGTCTGCAAACTCATATTTCTTACATTTAACTAGCTTTCCAGAATGTTTTTCAGGTGGGAACATGTCTAGTCCTAATTACCACATGTTGCTGAAGTCTTCCATTTTTCTTTCTACCTCCATTTTTGATCACTGATGAAAGTGTTTATAGAATGAGATCAATTTCTAGTCCATTGAGTTGACTTCCCTACCGCTATTCTGCTTACTGAAATGGCATGACATTGTAGTATATAATATGCTAAAGGAATAGTAACTTCCTTTATTACTTTCTCACTTCAAAGTATTTGTTTCTAGGTAACAGTAGCTCATGGTTGTAATCCTAGCTACTTAGGAGTTGGACATCCAGAGGATGACAGTTTGAAGCCCCAGACAGAAAAATCTTTGAGAATAATAACCAAAATAACCAACCAAGTCAGGATGGAGGTGCAGCTCAAGTAGTAGCGTTCCAACCTAGCAAACGGGAAGCCATGAATTCAAACTCCAGAATTGGAAACAAAACAAAACAAAACAAAAAAATCAGTACTTGTTCATATTTCTTTGGGTAACATGTATACATTCATTTCAGGAAAATTGGTAACTTTATAAACTAATCTTCCTATCTGAAAACATAAATCTTTCTGTTTGTCAGACTAGCAGGTCACATACTTTAAGGGTTTTTTTTTTATTTAATTTGCTTATATATTTATAGTTAATAAGATCAGCTTATTTAAGATAATAGGTTAATAAAGTATATAAAGATATAAAGTATATAAAGATATAAAGTCAATTGACTTTATATCTGTTGACTGTATAGAAAACTTTATTATATTTAATAGTTTTTGAGACCTTTAGAAGGATTTCTATGCTATTTATTTCATCTCAAAATAATAAGTTTCTCTTTTCTATGTATATATTTTTATGGCTTTACACTTGCAATGAACCTGAATTTCCAAATGAACCATTTATAGTAAGAGGTAGTAGGAACCAGGCACCAGTGGCTCATGCCTGTAATCCTAACTACTCAGTAGGCTGAGATCTGAGGATCGCAGTTCAAAGCCAGCCCAGGAAAGGAAGTCTATGAGACTCTTATCTGCAATTAACCACCAGAAAACCAGAAGTGACACTGTGGCTCAAGTGGTAGAGTGCTTGCCTTGAGCTGAAGAGCTCAGGGACGGTGCCCAGGCCCAGAGTTCAAGCCCCATCACCACCACCAACAACAAAAAAGAAGTAGTAGGAATCCTTGCTCAGGTTTGTTTGTAAAATTCTAACTATTCAAATAAATACCACCCAATTGAAGCAGAATATTTCAGAATCAAGGCTATTTACTTAATTAAAATTAAGACTACATGACTTACTTGGTACTATTTTTGGAAGAACAGTATTACTTTTTTGCGCCTGCTCTTTTTTTAGTGTTTGTTGTATTTGCCAGTGTTTTGGAGATAATTTCAACAGAAAATATCCATATTGCATGTACTCCCTGAGAAGGAATTCTGTTTTTGTTATGTCACTTCAAAAGAAACAAGAATATGGTTAGTTCCATCAGTATTAAAGCATATAAAATACTTAAAATTAATTCTCTTGATAATATACTTATATAACAACGTACTCACAAAATTAAAAGTGTGACTATAAACATACAGGCTTCAACAATGTATGATTAGAAAGATACCTATAAGGCTGTTATCTGAATAAAATATGCTAAAACTAGCTGGGTGCCAGTGGCTCATGCCTATAATCCTAGCTACTTTGGAGGCTGAGATCTGAGGATTGTAGTTTGAAGTCCATCCAGGAAGAAAGGTCTGTGAGACTCTTATCTCCAATTAATCACAGAAAAAGCCAAAAGTGGCATTGTTAATCAAGTGGTAGAGTACTAGCCTTGAGCAAAAAAGGAGCTCAGGGACAGCACCAAGCCCAGAGTTCAAGCCCCAGGACTGGCCAAAAAAAAAAGTTAAAAACTATAATTTTCCTTTGCTTCCTTATTTCTGAATGAAGCATTGTACTGTATTAAATTTTAGACACGGGAAGAAATTAAATAGAATAAAAGACAGTACTGACCCGAGGGGAAGAGAGAATACTAACACTTTGTGATAACCTACCATGTACTGAGGGGATCATTTTATCCCTCTCACATCGTACAGGTAGCTGTTCTCACTTCAGTCTTTTCTTTAGAAGAGATGGATGCCTTGCAAAGTCATCCTTTGAGTGTGTAATAGAGTCAACACTCAAGTGGGACCATGTAATTCCCTAATGCTTAAGATACCTGACAGATATCTGGACTGAAAGGTTTCCACCCTTGCTCCACAATGGTTGAACCCAATCACATTACAAAGTAGACCCAAAGGAATGCAGGTCAGGAAAGCTCAAGTGAAAAGGCGCTCATCTTTCTAGGTCTTCCTTATTAAGATCCTTGTCAGTATTCTTACTGCTATTATAGCATATCAGTGTACTCAGCTTCCATCCTTGATCTGTTAGGCTCTTCCTTCAGCTCTGGTGAGAGCGAGGCTGTCAAGGGCTGTCTGGAGGGTGTCACTGGGTGGCCACTGTGCAGAAATGTAGAACTGTACACAAACATAGAGGCTGCTATTGGGAGTCTACATATATTCTTGGAACAGACAGAATCATCAAAGTATATCACAGGGTGAGAGAGGGAAAGGAATTCTTTATGCTGAAGGACTTTCAATGTCACAATCCTTAAACAGAGGAGGAGGCTTCTGTGGCCAGGATCTCTTGTGGGTCCTGTAATTATTGTCCCAGGATGGTGAATCTTTATGGAAATTTAAAATCAGTTCAAGTGAGTTTCCTCGACTATAGAAGAAAGAAATATGCAGGTTCAAAAGACAGTGGCAGAGCCAAGTGCTGGTGGCTCATGCCTATAATCCTAGCTACTCAGGAAGCTGAGATCTAAGGACTGAGGTTCAAAGCCAGCCCAGGCAGGAAAGTCCATGAGACTCTTATCTCCAATTAACTAGCAAAAAGCCAGAAATGGAAGTATGACTCAAGTGACGTTCTACTAGCCTTAGCAAAAAAACTAAGTGAGAACACAAAGCCCTGAGTTCAAGATACCCCTACTAGCATGCACATATGTGTATGTACACACCTACACACACACACACACACACACAACCGCACATACACAAAGTGGCAGATGATACACAAATAAAAATATAAATCCCAACTCCTGCCCTTGTAAGTTTTTTCATTTTACAGATTAATTGCAATGTGAGATTCTACTTAACTGGAAGTATAAATTGATTAAAAAATCGTAAGGCAATTGTAAGAGGAATCCCAATTACAGAGAGCAAAATGTAGGGCAAAAAATGTATCTTAAAATGAATAAAAAAGATTCATTATTTAGCCTGACATTGCTTTGTCTTTCAACCCATTTCTGTATCGGCAAGTTAGAAGACTTTTCCAGACAGAAGTCATGTACTACTGATACCCAGGCAAGAATAGTCCTTGATTGATAGACTAGTAGGACTAATGAATTAAGTAGTTAATTGGAGATAAATGTCTCATGGACTTTTCTGCCCAGATTTCAAATCTCAATCTTCATATCTCAGCCTCCTGAGTAGTTAGGATTACAGGTGTGAGCTACCAACCAGCTCTTGATCAGAATCGTCATTGCCACATAGGTCTTCTTGCTGAGCATCGATAGGCATCTTTATGGAATGTAAGAATCTAATGCTAAAACATCTGTAGGTTTTATTATCTAAAGGGGAGCAAGTGGCCCAGACCTCACCTTTTTATCACCTGCATCTCCATGTTTGCTTTCTTCAGCTCGGCTGTCATTTGGAGTTTGTTTAGAGTTTCTTGAGCTGCACTGCAAAGTTGAGAGAGCTGGGTTAGCATGTGCCATTGTGGGTTCTGAGAAGCGAAAACAAAGCAGCAGTAGGGGAGGGGTTTGGCTAGAAGGAAGACACTGACACTTTGAGAGCGTCTACAGATCTCTGGTCATTTTCTCGAAGGAACTCTTCAAAGGCCATCGCGTCCTCCTGAAGCTTTTTCTCTGCTTTTCTCAGTTGATTCTCCTTTGTTGTTATACATTTATCAAGCTTTTTAATCGTGTTTTTTTTGGTCGCCACAGCATACTGGGAATATTGAAAATGAAAGTGCATCAAGAACATTAGCACACATTTCTAGAACATTCCAGCAGTCTCACAATAAAGAGGAAAAAACGCTATACAGGAAGGGATCATTTGTGTTCAGAAGTCATAGTAGGAGGACATCTTGGGACAATGGCTTAGCTTTTAGTTCACAAAGGAATGTGACCTTGAGGGGTAGGGAGAAGGGAGGTGAGGTCCTCTAGCTTACTTGTGGGAGGAGAGTCAGGGTTGTTGCAAATTGGCTCTGCACGACCAATCAAAGAGCTATGAAGCTGTGAAGAGTTACATAACTCTTCCAAGAGCTGGGCTATCTGCTCCCAGCATGCAACACCCTCCGTCTTTCTTTCTAGGCCTGCGTCAGCTGGGCTGTCTGCAGCCTCCACGTCTACCAGCTTCTTCTCCAGTAGGAAAGGCCAATGGAGAAAGCAATTTCTACTCCACCCTGCCAATGACACATTCTTCTGAGCCATTTAGGAGAGGCCTGTTTAGACCCCTAAGTACAATTTCCACATCTACCTACGTGTTTTTAGGACAGAATGTAAGAATCTACTTGAGTTTTTAATGTTATACATGAACAATAAATGATAAATAAACAAAGCTACATCCATTACAATGAATTTAAAGCATAGAAATGACAGCTGGGTGTGGTGGTGCATGCCTGTAATTCCAGCACTCAGAATGAGCAGGCAGGGACAAACCTAGGCTATAGAGTGAGACCCTGTCTCAATAAATATTTATGGGTCAAACATAGAAATGAGATAATTTTAGGAAATTACAATCAATAATTGGCCCTCTGAGTTTATAACAAAAATATTTTATGTATTACTTTATTCCCCAAGTGTTTATTGAATGTTTGCTATGTGCCAGGTCTGTTTTGAGTGGTGAACAAAGTAACCATGATTGCTTTGACAGAGTGTCTAGTCTAGTCAAAGAAGAGTTGATGATATCCAAAGGAATGGGTTACCAGTGGGCAAAGGTAAGAGAAGACTAGCCAGTGCAAAACTTTCTGATAAAAATTAATCGGAAACTGGACAGAAGAAAGGAGCCAATCATGTCTCAGAGACAGCTGTGTGGTTCACTGACCAGTGCCTCTACAGGGAAGAAAGAGAATGTGTGGGGTATTTCAGAAACAGCCTGGAGGCCCTGTGGCTGCAACACAGCGAACAAGGTGAGGCAATGGGAAGAACGAGCTCACAGACAGCCAGGGACTAGAGCAGGTTCCTCCAGATCTTCAGCAGATGAGGGACTCAATCTTATTACTGTGCAGAAGAGATTGGCTGAAGGAGATCAAAGCAGGAACAGGAGGCAGGGTTTGGGGGGTGAGAGCAACAATTTATATTGTGATATACTTTGGTGTTCTTGAATGTGGATGGTAGGGAGTTGAAAATAACTCCCAATATTTTGGCCCAGTCAACTAGGAAAATGGAATTATTATTCACAGCACAGGGAATCTTGCATGAACTATGGATCGCAAGCACAGCAAAGAGTAAAACAAAAGCAAAATTTTGAAAATGTTAAGCCTGAAATGCCTACATATAAGTAGAGATATTAGGGGATTACAGTTGCATCTCTGAGTTCTAGAGTTGAGGCAGAAGGACCAATTTCAAGAAATAAATTTGCAAGATTTCAGCCAGGAGACTGGCGAGAGTGTGGACAGAGCAGAGAGGGAGGACTATGCATTAGGGCATTGTAACAATTCAAGAGCAGGGAGAGGAAGAACTATGAAGGATATATGCAGTATCTGGCAACCAGTTCCTGGAGACCAACTAATGAAAATGTTTCCAGAAAGATAAGAGTTGAGATGTGGTATGATGGATCAGGCCTATCATCCTAGAAGGACAATCCTGGGGTTCAAAGCTAGTCCAGGTAAAGTTAGCAAGACTCTATCTTTCAAAAACAAAAATGAAACAACAGGGAATATAGCTCAAGCAGCAGAGTGTTTGCTAGCAAGTGTGAGCCCTGGGTTCAATCCACAGTACTAACAACAACAGAAGCAAAAGATAGAGTCAAATGGGTCAACTTTGACTCCCAAGTTCAAGGAAAAAGAGTACTGACAATTTGGTGTGCAATCAGAAGTGATGTTGGCAAAAGCAGTGTTGGTGGATGATGTGGACAAAAACCTGATTGGGGTTAAGAGAGAATAAGAAGAGAAGTAGAAGTGGGAAATGAAGACAATTCTTGGAAAATTTTTTGCTTATCCAAAGGAGAACACCAGATTGAGACAGAAGATGGTAAGAAATCTGAGAGCTAATGAAAATTTCTTTCAAGGTAAGTAACAAGATGTTTGTATGTTTGTGACTCTAAGGGAAAACTAACCTTAACAAAAGAGAGACAGACTGGCACTGATGGCTCATGCCTGTAATTCTAGCTACTCAGGAAGCTGAGATGTGAGGATCACAGTTCAAAGCTAGCCTGGGTAGAAAAGTGCGTGAGAGTCTTATCTTCTTTTAACCACCAGAAAACCAGAAATGGAGCTATGGCTCAAAGTGGGAGAGTGCTAGCTTTGAACAAAAGAGCTCAGGCCCGGTGCCTGGGCCCTGAGTTCAAGCCCTATGATTGACAAATAAAATAAAAGATAAGAAAATTCCTGGAAAATCATTACCTTCGCTCTAGTTCAATTGAAGCATAACTGATGTTTAACAACTCCACATGCTCAATGTACATGAATTGGTAAGTGTTGACATAGGTGTACACTTGGAAAATCATCGCCACAGTCAAAATAGAGAATAAATCCTTAATGCCAAGAAGTTTCCTCAGCCTCTTTGTAATACATCCTTTTTTTTCCCCTCTTTCCAATTTGTTGCCCTGTCAGCCACTGACATGTTTCTGTCTTAGAGACTAAATAGAATTTTCTAAAATTTTACCTAAATGAAATTTAAGTACAAACTATTTTGCTGACTTTTTAAACTTGGCATAATTAGACTCATCCATGTCATTGTGGATAACCACAATATATTCCATATTACTGTTGTATAGTTGTCTATCATGTTGAAGTATTGACTTTGTTTACTTATTTACCCACCCATGGATGTTGCATTGTTTCCTGTTTAGGTCACTTCAAATAAAGTTGCTATAAACATGTTTGCTTTTTCTTGGTTAAATACCCAGGAGTAGAATGGTAGTGAGTAATTAGGGCCGGGTGCTGGTGGCTCACGCCTGTAATCCTAGCTACTCAGGAGGCTGAGATCTGAGGATTGCGGTTCAAAGCCAGTCTGGGCAGGAAAGTCCGTGAACCTCTAACTACAATAAACCACCAGAAAACCTGAAGTGGCACTGTAGCTCAAGTGGTAGAGCACTAGCCTTGAGCTGAAGAGCTGAGGGACAGCGTTCAGGCCCAGTGTTCAAGCCCCACGACTGACAAAAAAAAAAAAAAAGAATGGTAGTGAGTAATTAATCTTTGGCCCAGAAATGTGATGTCTCCTACTAAAATGTGAAACTTATTTCTTAGCTTGCATCTATGGTGGTATTTCAGAGCCTTCCTAGCTCTTGATATCTAGTTTTAGTATTCTACCTGTGGATATCCAGTTTTCCCAGCACCATTTGTTGAAAAGACTATCTCCAACATACCTTTTAGACTCTCTTTAGCCATCTGTCAAAAATCAAATGGCTGTTGGTTTGTGGATTAATGTTTGAGTTTTCTAATCTGTTCCATTTGGTCTTTGTGTCTATTTTTGTGCCAGCACCATGCTTTTTTTTTTAAATTACCATAGCTTTGTAGTATAATTTGAAGGCCAGTATTGTGATATTTCCAGCATTGCTTTTTTTTTTCTTTTCAAGATTACTTTGGCTATTTGGTACCTTTTGTACTAGTTGGTGACCATTTTGTGCCTTCTATCTAAATGTAAGAATTGCTATTTGGGGATTTTTATGGATATTGCTCTGAATTTGTAGATGTCTTTGGGTATTACAGTCATTCATGATATTGATTCTGCCAATTCATAAGCATAGGAGGCCCTTCCATCTTCTGGTACCTTCTTCAATTTCTTTCTTCAGGATTTTATAGTTTTCTTTTCTTTTTGGGGGAGGGGGTCAGTTGTGGGGCTTGAACTCTGGGCTTGGGCGCTGTCCCTGTGCTCTTCAGCTCAAGGTGAGGGCTCTACTGCTTGAGCCACAGTGCCACTTCTGCTTTTCTAGTGGTTTATTAGAGATAAGAGTCTCATGGACTTTCCTGCCCTGGCTGGCCTTGAACCATGATCCTCAGATCTCAGGCACCTGAGTAGCTAGGATTACAGGTGTGAACCACTGGCACCTGGCTCAGGATTTTATGGTTTTAATTGTAGAAGTCTTTCAACTTTTTAGTTAGGTTTATTCCTAGGGTTATTTTTGGGGTTTTTGTTTGTCTTTGCTGGTCCCAGGGCTTGAACTCATGGCCTATGCACTGTCTCTGAGCTTATTTTGCTCAAGGTTAATGCTTAACCACTTGAGCCACAGCTCCACTCTCGCATAGGTAGTTTTATTGGCAATAAGAATCTCACAGACTATCCTGCTAAGGCTGGCTTTGAACTGTGATCCTCAGATCTCAGCCTCCTGAGTAGCTAGGATATAGGTGTGAGCCACTGGTGTCTGGCTGGAATTTTGTTTTGTTTTTTTGTTTTTTGTTTTTGAGGCTTCTTTAAATGGAACATTTTCTTCTAATTTCCCTCTCAGCCTGTTCATTGTTGGTATACAAAAAAGATACTGAGCCGGGTGCTGATGGCTCACACCTGTAATCCTAGCTACTCACAAGGCTGAAATGTAAGGATCACAGTTCAAAGCCAGCCCAGACAAGGAAAGTCTGTGAGTCTGTTATCTCCAATTAACCATCAGAAAACAGGAAGTGGGGCCTGAGCTGAAGAGCTGAGGGACAGTGCCTAAGCCCAGAGTTTAAGCCCATTACCAACCAAAAAAAGATACTGATTTTTGTTGATTTTACTTCATACTATGTTGCCAAGGGTATTTATAAGATGTAGGAGTTTTGAAGTAGAATCTTTAGAGTTCTTTAGATATAGGATCATATAACCTGCAAATGGGGGTAACTTGACATTCTTTCCCTGTTAGCATCCTTTTATTTTTCTTGCCTTATCACTTTGACTAAGAAGTCCAATATTATCACATACTTGTCTTAATACTGACTTTAAGAGAAATTATTTGCTTTTTCCCACTTAGTGTGATATTGGCTGTAGGTTTGTCATGTATAATCTTTATTATATTGGGGTACATTCCTTCTATTCTTATTTTTTTCAGAGCTTTTTTTTTATCACAAATGGAATTTAAATTTGTCAAAGGGTTTTTAAAAAATTAGTTGAGATGATTATGATTATTGTTTTTGATCCTGTTTCTGTATTGTATTACACATTATTGATTCACATATATTCATGCTTAGAATAAAACCAATTTGATCATGACATGCAATCTTTTTGATATGTTGTTGAGTTTAGTTAGCAAACATTTTGTTGAAAAAATTTTCATGTATGTTCATCCGAGATGGCTCTATAGTTCTCTTCGTTTGTTGTGTCCCTTTCTGGTTTTGGAATGACATAATACTAGTTTTATAGAATGAGTTTGATAGTGTTCCTTCCCTTTCTATTTCATGGACAAGTTTTTGAGTAGTTCATTAAAGGTCTTGTAGAATTTTGCTATGAATATCAGATCATGGGCTCTTCTTTGTCAGTAGATTCTTTATTACTGTTTCAATCTCTTTATTTGTTATAGATCTATTAAAATGATTTATATACTCTTGGTTCAGGCTTAGTAGGTCAACTTTATCTAAAAACAAATCAATTTCTTTTGGAGTTCCCAGTTTATTGTATAAGTTTTCCAAGTATTTCCTAACGATTGTGTGGATCACATCACTAATTTTTTTTAACCTAGGTTAACCTAAAATTATGATCCCCTACTTCTGTCTCCTGAATATCTGGGATTACAGGTATGGGCTGGGCACAAATACATTTTCACTTACTCATTAGCATCAGAGACTTTAATAGATGCAGGCTGTCTTTAGATGATTGATTACATACTTGACAATAGAGATTTAAACAACGCTCAATTAATTATTTTCATAATTATCTTCCCATTGAGATACTAAGTGAATATGTGTAGTCACATCAAGATACTAAGTGAATATTGAATATTCATATAGAGATACTAAGTAATCACATTTTCAGTTACATGGACTGGTTTCTCATTAAAGGTTTTTGGTGGTAGGATAAAAGTTTTTTGTTATTTTCATCAAATGCTGAAACAAAGATATGGGTTAGATTTCAGAATTCTCTGAATTTCCAGTGTGCTTTGATTCCCACCATATTCAACCAAAACTTCAAGAAGACCTAAATTAAATTGGATTTCTTGAGTGTCACCAAGGTTTTTGGGGGAGAGAATTGAAAAAATGGGAGATATCCTCAAAAGTAATTTTCCTAATAGATTACTAGAATATAAACTCCCCGAGGAATGTGTGTGTGTGTGTGTGTGTGTGTTCACTACTTGGCACATGGTAAACATTCAATAAATATTACCCAAGTAAATGAAGACAAGAATGAACCAATTCATTCAGCCAATAGACTTGGGACATGTTGTGAAAAAATACTATGTCAAGGCAAATATTTGGCAATGCAATACAAGATGTTTTCTGTTCAGCTAGTGGAAGAAAATTTATCTTTACTACCTCAAGTAGAAACCTGCTTCTCTGGTCATTTATAAAGTCAAAGAGAGTCTTTTTTGCATCTGCACCTGTAAAGAATATTGAATATTGTCTTTAATGTTCATTATCTTTCAAAGATGCTATATGGAAGAAGAATAAAAAAATCATTACATTCAGCATGTATCTAGACTTAATTTTGGTGTCCAATTGTATTCTAGAGAATTCATTACTACCTATTTGGGTCCTGAAGTTTAGCAACGTCAATATCTTTGCATAAGTCCCTTCAAGTCAGACAAGGGGAGAGGAGGAGGTTTTTTCTAAGCCTGTGCTGCAATGGACAGGATGAAACTGCTTAAAATCATAACAGATAGTCAATCTAGACAGAAACATGGGGTCCTCAGGCAACATGTTTTTTGACACCACAGCTGAATTTGTATCAGGAAAGGAGAAGATGATCATTCATTTGATCATGTAGAAAACAAGACAGGAAATACTAAAAAAAAAACTATGAAAAGTTTTTTCCCCCCAGTTTGGAAAATTATACACATAAATCACTCAGCGGCGGTGAGGTGTGGCCACGCAGTCACATGGACACAATCTCTGTTTCTTCCAAGCTGAAGCTTTAAGAATTACTACCCATTTCTCTCTGGCTCTCCTTTTGCTGTACCTTCTGCAATGTACCAGATAGGGATTGTTGCTTTAGGAGGAGGAAACCAAGGGGAAAACACCAAATTTGAAAGACAAACAATACTTATTCTACCTCTGGCTTTTTAGAAAGCTTCTGAAATAGAGACTCAAAAGTTAGCCTAAGTAGTTTATGACTTGGTTACATGTGGTATTGGCAGAAGGAAATGAAGCAATAGATTATAAAACACTCAGTGACTTCTTAATAATTGTTAGCCACTATTATCTAGACAATACAATTAGAATGTGCAATCATTTCATTTTGCAGGCCATTATATAATGGCAACAACAATTGTACTAGGTGGTAATCACTATTACTTGGGAGGTAACAACAAGCTTTGGAGTCAGACAGGCCTTGACTTGACTTCTGTATCCACTTAGAGCTTTGGGGTGACTCAAACTCACTGAACTACATTCATCAGGTACAAGGAAGAGGCAAACACATCTGATGGCATTTTGTTGAGGATTAAACTATATGCCAAAGTAACCAGCCCATAAAACATAGCTCTCTTTTAAATCTTAAAAAATATTATAGCTGGGCACTGGTGGCTTACACCTGTAGTCCTAGCTACTACTCAGAAGGCTGAGATCTGACGATCATGGTTCAAAGCCAGGCTGGGCTGGAAAGTCCATGAGGTTCCTATCTCCAATTAATCACCAGAAAATTGGAAGTGGTGCTGTGGCTCAAGTGGTAGAGCACTAGCCTTGAGTGAAAAAGCCCAGGCCTTGAGTTCAAGTTCCAGGACTGAAAAACAACAACAACAAACTTTATATAATGGAAATCATCAATACTGATGAAAGAGGAGAAGCATCTAATGGACCCCCATGTATTTGGCACCTACTTCAACACTGTTTGGATCATTTTATCCATCTTATCTTTTGTCCCTCTCCTCCATTTTCCCTTTCTGGAGTACTATATAGAAAAATCAGAATCCTTGGATCATTTTATCCATGAGTGCTTTTGTATATAATTCACCCAGACAAGGCAGTTTCAAAGCATAAGTATACTACCACCTTCACCTCTAACAAAACTAACAGTATCAGGGCTGGGAATGTGGCTTAATGGTAGAGTGCTTGCCTGGCATTCATGAGGCACTGGGTTCGATTCCTCACTAGCACATAAACAAAATAATAATAATAATAAAAAAAAACCTAACAGTTTCAGCTAGAAGCTGGTGGTTCATGCCTATAATTGTAGCTATTCATGAGGCTGAAATCTGAGGGTCATGGTTCAAAGCCAGTTTGGGCAGGAAAGTCTGTGAGACTCTTATTTCCAATTAACTACTCAAAAAAAGCCAGAAGTGGGGCTGTGGTTCAAATGGTAGAGCACCAACTTTGAGTGAAAAGGCTAAGGGTCAGTGTCTAAGCCTTGAGATCAAGCTCCCAGTGGGAGGGGAAAGGAACCAAGTCAATTTCCCTCAGAATTCTTTCTCAGATATATGACTTGCTATTTTAAATGTACTTGATGACTTTCAGCTCGCCATTATATGTGAAGTCAAACTGAGACATAAAGATAAAACCCACCTATAATCAATTATTCTTTTAATTATTGTAGCTACTTTTCATTAGCATCTTATAATATTTTAGATGCTAAAGGTCAATAAGATCAGGGTTGTATTTGATTTTGTTTTTGCAATAAAAGGCAAGCTTATTTAATTCCATTAGCTTCCTAGTTCTATGAGTTTTTAAGCATGAGCAATCCTAGTTTCTCCAACCTTAGAAAATTTCTATATTTCTACATCTAAAACTCAGTAGGAGCTGGGTGCCAGAGGCTCACACCTTAATCCTAGCTACACAGGAGGCTGAGATGTGAGGATCACAGGCAAGGAGGTCCATGAGACTCTCAGCTATAATTAACCCCCAGAAAACTAAAAGTGGCTCTGTGGTTCAAAGTGGTAGAGTTCTTACCTTGAGCAATGAAGCCCAATGGGTGGCACCTGGGCCTTGAGTTTAAACCCCATGACTGACAAAAATAAACAAAAAACAAACAAACAAATCTCAGTAGGGATAATCAGAGTCTTTAGTTTTTTAAGTTACCCCGCCCCCACCTTTGCCAGTGAGTTTCCTCTTAAAAGATGTGAAAATCAGTTAACCTTTTTGTTGGAAGGGTATGTTTCCTTATTTAAAATAGACTTCTCTCCTGCCTCTCAACATCTAAAGACTCTCTCCATCACTGCGAGACAGCTGTTTTTCTCACCTCCAGAAAATTCCCCAAATTACTTAAGGTAATATTCAAAATCATGTTGTCCAAGAAGTAGTCATTCAGACTTACCTTCTGTCAACCTGAGAATGAGAGTCGGATCTAGCCCCATATTTTCCAATGAACCGCCTGGGTCAGAGTAAAAAGTCAGCTGGTTCAAGTGTGACCGGCTCTTCATTCGGGAGGAGAACGTCGTCTTCTGGTAGACTTTCATGCTACGGTTCAAAACTTTCTCCTGTCCAAGTGGAGAATGACATTAATAGAATGATGCTTTATTGAGATAGTGATCTTATATAAAACTAGTCTTTATAACATAGGCTATTAAAAAAAAAAGCAATTCTAAATTCTCACCTTTGAAGGAGTGTGCACAGTTTTAATTTTAATTCAGTTTTTAATTTTTTCCCCCATAGGAACCTGAGCAGAAATATTTCTAAAAATTAACTGGGCACTGATGGCTCATGCCTGTAATCCAAGCTACTAGGAGGCTGAGATCTGAGGATGGCAAGCCCCATAATGGAAAATCTGTGAGACTCTTATCTTGAATTCACCACCAGAAAACTGGAAGTGGTAGTAGAGCACTAACTTAAGGGAAAGAGCTCAGGGACAGCACCTGGGACCTGAGTTCAAGCCCCACAACTGACAAAAATAAACAATAAAAATTATATATATATATATGTATATATCTTTGGAGTCAGGTGCTAGTGGGTCACATCTGTATTCCTAGCTACTCAGGAGGCTGAGATCAGAGGATCATTGTTCAGAGACAGCCAGGGCAGGAAAGTCCATATGAGACTCTTATTGCTCCTTAGCTACCAAAAAAGCTGGAAGTGGATCTGGAATTCAGGAACAGCGCCCAGGCCCTGAGTTCAAGCTCTAGGATCAGCACACACACACACACACGGAGAAACTGAAGCTTTATTAAACTTTATTTCACCAATATGGGACTTTTGGTTTTTTTTTCACATCTTGTCCTACAGGCAGGCCAAACTTGTAAACTCTAAGGAAGGACTGGTTCTACAGAACTGAAAACTTGAGAGGAAACAGACCTCCAGAGTGGAGATATATTCATAAACTCCTGAATTTTATTAATATTCTTTCCATTTAATTTTGGGTTCAGTTCAATGAAACTATACAACATCTGCAGAAAAGTGATCACACCCAGAGGAATCACACAGAGAAGAATCAACTGTTAAGCCTTTCTTCATTCTATTTTCTTTCCCTTCTAATCAAGGCTGAGAAAGTCTTGTTGAGCCTGGCCTCAGGGAGGAAAGGAAGAAATCTCTAGAAATGTGAACCTACCCATGACATCAAGGACCACAGAAATAGTGAGATTAGTTGTGCAGATACCACAGGAATGATTGCCTCATTGCAGATGTAGCTTTATACCAAATATTTCTAAAATGATACCCTCTCCTCTACTTTAATCCTCCCCCCCACCCCCCACTGCCAACACACACAGAGACTTGTCTTATCCCTTTCAGCTTGGTAAATTTTGACTTGTTCTTAAACATTCAGTTCTAGTTAGCTCAGTGAAGCCTTTATGTTTACCTGTGTGTGTGTGTGTGTGTGCACGTACACACAAATACCCTTCCTTCTGTCTTTTCACCAACAAAGATAAGTATGCCTTTCTCTGTTTCCTGTGCATGCCTATGTTATTATAGTCTATCAACTCTAACATGCCATTTATTTTATGGCTCTTAGAAAGAATAAAGATGTGTTGTTATTTTATACAGGGACAATGATGGATGACACTGTGGAAGCCAGACTCAATTTCAGAAATGTGAAAATGAATTGGATGCCATTAGTTCACATCTGTAATCCTAGCTACTTAGGAGTCTGAGATCTGAGGACTGGAGTTCAAAGCCATCCAGGCAGGAAAGTCCTTGAGACTTTATATCTCCAATTAACTACCAAAAAGCCAAGAAGGGAGGTATGGCTCAAGTGGTAGAGCACCAGCCTTAGGCAAAAAAAGCTCTCAGTTCAAGCCACACTGGCATGTGTGCCTCCCCCCCCCCCCCCACACGCACAAGGAAAATGTGGATGCAAGAATCAGGAAAGTGGGATGCACCATATCTGTCACACTGGATTATAACAGTATCTGTCTCCTCTCATTAGGTGGCAATCTTCACAGGTCTCTGCATTGCACTTGATGTTATTATGCTGTTGCTGCGCATGGCTGTTCCCCAAACAGCGTCCTCCACATATGACACTCACTGTGTCAATATCTGATACCATGTCTTAACACATAAAAGCTCAAATAAGAGCAAATTATTCTACCATTAATGAGGATTGCAATTTTCACACACACACACACACACACACACACACAATCATACCTTTTTCTTGGCCGCCAATTCATTTTCTTTAAAAAGAAACAGATCTTTGACAAAGACCTTATAAGGCTTGTCCTTGTTGTCTGAGTCATGTTTTCCTTTACCTAAGAGACAGAGAGAGGTGGGGGGAAAAGGAAGGAGTCAGAGAGGGAAGGAAAGAAGGAAAATGGGAAATTTTCTTTCAAGATTAACCAAAGAATAATTTCTTCCTCTTTTTCTTTTGGCCAGAAGGGTAGAGCTCCCCCTAGCAGCGGCAGAGTGAGAGGCATCGTGGGGTGTGTGAGACAGTAGCATGCAGAGACCTTGCCTCCCCAGGTAACGGAAGATTCAGGTCCCCAGCTCCCAGGCACAAGGCACAGACCTTCTGTGGCACCAAACTCAGTATTTGTAATGCTCCTGAGACCCAACTCCATAAAACAAAGAGGTCTTTAGCAGAGTAGATACTATTTTGAGAATGGCTGGGATTACAGAAACCCCAGACACATTTCTTTTGGTAGATCTATGAATTAGAGAGAAAGGGGGCAGGGGGGGGGGGGGGGGGGGGGAGAAAGCAGCAGACATAAACAAGAAGGTAAGGAATTTCCAGGTCCCCACAGAGGGCAGGCAATCAAACTGTTTGAGTCTGTTTGTGTGTTCATGGAGAAGAGCAATCTACTAGATTGCAGATGAAGTAAATTGTAGCTGCTCCAGCTGACAGATTAACCAGGTGGGGACGCTTCTCATGAGATGGGTTCACATCAGGACAAGAACAGGAGAACTTACTTACTAGGCTTTTGGGGCTCTGTGAGGCTTGAAGATGTCAGGGAAGTACTTGACATCTTAGGCCTGGATGGAGAAGAGACAGCTGAGGGTGAGTCCAAGCAGCTGGGTTTAAGGATAGTAGGAGTATGGAAGAGCACAAGAACATGGCCAACAGAGGTTCAGTACTCAAAGGGTCCTGGGACTGGGTGGCTATAAGGGTTAGTGTTAAAAGTGTTAACGTGTCTAGACTAAGAGGTGCCCACATTAGACACTTTCAGAAATCCATCAGCTAGTTCATGAGCTCTTTGTCTCTCATGCTTGTGGTGTAGCATTCTTGTTTATATCCTTACGAACTGTGGGGCCTAATGGCACTAGGTACAAAGCAAGAACTCATTGATTGATTTCCTTTTACCTCCCAAATTCAATCTTGATGACAATAAATGTGATGACATTTTGTCTCCTAGTCCTGTCCAAACAAAAGGAAATACATTTTAGAACAATTCTGTAGCTATTGCACAAAGAGGCTAAATTCAAGTGCTAACCTTTCTGGTTTTTAAAGGAATCATACACACAGTCTCTATAACCCAGTGATTTCAGTTCTAGCAACTGATCCCCAGAAAAAGAATCAGATATCTAGGTAAAGAAAAAAAAAGCATAATGTTCATTCAGTGTCAATAAGTGAGAATTGAATAACTGGTATACCTGTAAAATAAATTGTCATGTGGCCCTTTAAAAAGATTCTATAGGGGCTGGGAAGGTGCCTCAGTGGTAGAGCGCTTGCCTTGCATGCATGAGGCCCTGGGTTCGATTCCTCAGCACCACATAAGCAAAAAGAAAAAAAGCTGGAAGTGGCGCTGTGGCTCGAGTGGTAGAGCGTTAGCCTTGAGCTAAAGAGCTGAGGGACAGCGCCCAGGCCCAGAGTTCAGGCCCCACGACCAGACCCACCTACCCCCCAAAAAAAGATTCTATAGTCACTATTTGCCCTGCCTACCACATATTATAAGTAAAAAAACCCACTATTTCAAAAGAATGGAAATCATATGAGTAAAAAAACAACACATGCAAAAACCTGACGGGTGTATGAGAAGCTATTTTCCAAACATTAAGGTGATTACCTCTGATTTGGCAAACCTCTCCTTTCATTCCGATCAGGTTTACAATTAGGGTTAGGGGATTGAGGTGCTCACCTTCGTTGTAAAATTTAAGCAACTGTCGTCCTCCTTTAAAAAAAACATGAAAGACAAACATACACCTCAAGAAAACAGCTCAGTTATCAACATAAATAACATGCTAATACAGTTATTCCTAATTAATGCAGGAGAAATATATAATTCATATTATAGTTTTGTTCTTGAATACCCCTCAAAGACTGATTAAAAGGGGTTCCCAGCTGGGTGCTACTGAGGGATGGTGCCTACTGAGAGGTTTTTAGGTTATTCTAAATGTGCTTTTGGGAGATTCTGGGAGTCCCGTTTTTTTCCTTTTCCTCTGTCTTCACTTCCTGAGTTTGTATTGATGTGACCCCCAAAATCCTCAGCCTGAATCTAGCTCACATATCTTGTCTTTATTTAAACACTTGATATTTTGCTCATTGTGTTTAAACATTATGTTTTGCATTTTCAAATAATGCATTAAGAGTATTGCTTATTTTAAATACTGGGTTTTTTGCTTCCTTCTTAAATGTTATATCTAAGCCAAGCCAAGCGTCAGTGGCTCATGCCTGTAATCCTCACTACTCAGAAGGCTGACATATCAGGATTGTGGCTCAAAGCCACCAGGCAGGAAACTCTGTGAGACTCTTATTTCCAATAAACTATCAAAAAGCCAGAAGTGAAGCTGTGGTTCAAGTGGTAGAGCACTAGCCTCGAGCAAAAGCAGCTCAGGAACAGCACTGAGTTCAAGCCCAGGAACACACACACACACACACACACACACACACACACACACACACACACACACACACACACACACACACACACACACACACACACACACACACACACACACACACACACACACACACACACACACACACACACACACACACACACACTCCTGCATAGATTCTCTCAGACCCAATGTCTTTCCATTTTTCTCCCCACCTCCTCCCCACCCACCTTGGACAAATACTGGGAGGAAGGGCTGTGCACTGTGCCCTTGGATGGTGTGGAGACCTCAGAGCTAGCAGATTTTTGTTTACCTGAAAGTCAGAGGCCACCAGGTCCTTGGCCTGCTCCCTGACCCACCTCTTCTGATTAGATCAGGAGCTGAGCACAAGGATGAGGAAATTACTTTCAGCCTGACCTCTGTGGCTCTGCTGGCGTCAGGTTTGCTGTTTGGTATGGACTTTCTGTTGACGTTTCTGACTAGAAACTGGAAAAATAGAACTGGAGGTCAAATGGCAGGAAGTATAGGGGAAGGAAGTCGGAAAATGTAGTCAGGTGATGGGGAAAATACTTTGCAAACTGACAAGATCAACAGGGATGTTAGTTATTACTAAGGAAAAATTAGTTATCCCCCCTCTGTCCGCCCCCCTCCCCACCTATTCAGCAGTAACTATTGAGAGAAATCACGCTTAGACATCCTGCTTTGCAAACCTCTTGTTTGCAGGTGCAATCAGATGCATTCACTTCACCTACAGACATAAATGCTCATGGAAAAGAAGGATGCTTTCTGTAGATGAGCCAAAACTTTGGAAGCTACAAGAAGAGTGTGTACTTAATATGTAATACTTCTCTGAAGTGAGGAGTGGAACCGGTACTACTGTCTGAAACCAGATCCTTAACCCAATTGGCCAGCGAGACAAACAGCAGGATTAAAACAACCTGATGGAAGCAGGGCACCTGAGGCTCACTTTTGTTGTTTTGTTTTTCTGTTGTTTGTGGGGCCTGAACTCTGGGCCTGGGCGCTGTGCCTCAGCTCTTCAGCTCAAGTCTAGCACTCTACCACTTGAGCCACAATGCCACTTCTGGCTTTTTCTGCTTATGTGGTACTGAGGAATCGAACCCAGGGTCTCATGCATGCAAGGCAAGCACTGTACCACTGAGCCACCTTCTCAGCCCCCCCAAGGCTCACTTTTGTATTCCTAGCTACTCAAGAGGTTGAGTCTTGAGAGGATTATGGTTCAAAGCCAGCCCCAAGAAGGAAAGTTTGTGAGACTCTTTATCTCCAATTAACCACATTCACAAACAATAACAACAACAACACCAAAACTCCAAGTGAGAGCTGTGGCTTACGTGATATTGCTCCAGCCTTGAGTGCAAAAGCTAAGGGACAGACTCTGAGTTCAAACCCCAGTACAAGTGCGAGTGTGTATGTGCACGCACACACACACACACACACACACACAGAGAACCTAATGATGATGACACTACTTATTACTCATTTAAAAGTAAGCATTGGCCTAAGTTATTTACTTTTTTTTTTTTTCATTTAAAGCTCAAACAAATCCAGAGAGCAGAAACAATTATTCCAGTAATAGGGACAAGAAAACAGGCTTAGGGAAAGCATAATAACCTGAGCTCAAGTAGCGCATAACAAAAGCAGCAATCCCCTAAACCTTCCTTTATCCCTATAGTTTTAACCCATGCTTTATATCAACAGCTGCACGAATCTGCAACTGTTCTTATAGTGGCAAAATAAGACAGATTAAAGTCAGCAGAACATTTATATTTAATATTTCTCTGTGAATCAGTGGTAGCATGTGTTTCTATTTCCTTTCGTTCTTTAAAACTGCATAAATACACAGAGGCTTGTTATTTTGTGCTTAAGGGGGGGCGATCATTTTTGGATTTTTCCCCCCTATGGTGTCTCTTTCCATTGCATTATTTCTTTTCAGTTGTTTTCCTTTCTCTCTTTTCCCTGGCCTCTCTTTTTTTAAGGTCCTAATTGAATGTGGTTTCTTTTTAGATTTCTTTCTCTTTTTTTTTTTTTTTTTTGCCTTTTTTGTGTATTTTTTATTGTAAAAATACTGTACAGAGGGGTTACAGTTACATGAGTAGGGTAACGAGTACCTTTCCTATCGAGCATGGTTTTAGCTTTGTTTTTCTGAGGGAGTTTTTGCTCTTGGCTCTGTAGGATTTGTTGGTGGGGTTGGCAGTGGTTAGACAGTGTCTAACCCAAAGTAATTAAGCATTAACACAACACCAGCCCGTGTTTCCTAGCAATAGATGGAGAGGGAGAGGAAGAGGAAAAAAGGTGTGAGATTCACAGAGCATCTTTCTTACGCTTGAGGAGAGTATACTCTGGGGTACGGTTGGGATGGGTGGGGCGGACCCGGCTGGGGCTCGGGCTGCGGCCTGCTTTACCTCCGCGAGTTTGGGCCCAGGTGCAGCTCCAACCTAGCCTTCAGGAAGCGGTAGGGGCGAAGTGGGCAGAGGCGTCCGGCGAGGATCCGCGTGGTCTCAGATCTATCCCCCCTCACCCGGGTTCCCCTTCATCTTGGGGACGCTCTGGAAGCGAATCCTGGAGCAGAGCTGACCAACCGAAAAGTGCGGGCGCCCGCCGCGTTCCTCCACGCCGCGCGACCCCACGCATCTCCCACACGGCATCTCCTGCCCAGGGCAGCCTCCCACCGCCCCGCTTCCTGTCCCCCACCTTCTCTCCACTGCACCTCTCCCCACGCACCCCTGTCCACACGGTGACCCTCGCGCCTCCTCCCTCAGCTCACCCCCTTCCCAGTGGGTCCTCTCTGCGCCCCCAGATCTGTCCCCAGCTGCGGATTCTTCCCATCCTCTCCCCTCCTGGAACTCCATCTCAGGTTCTGTTCCCACCCCGCCCCCGGCCGCTACTCTTGGACAGACTGACAGACACACAACACACACACGTGCACACACCACACACATGCGCACACACGCACACACACGCAGTGCACATATACACATACACGCATATACAGGCGCACACGAGTGTGTGCACACCACACGCGTGCACATGCACGTGCACACGCATGCACGCACACATACACACATGTACATGCATAAGGCACACAATATACACCTGCACTGCACACATGCACACCTGCACACACACAGGCACGCGTGCGCACACACAGGCTGTGTCCACTCCCGGGGGGGGGGGGGGGGAGCTCCTTTCCTGTCTCTCGATGTCTCTCACTGTCTGTCCCCGTCTGTTCTCTCCGGGTCCCGTCCCAGCATCCCCCATCCCGGCAGAGGTCACCCCCTTTCCCTGGCTAGGTAGGTGATCCACAGAGCCCATCATCTTGCTCTCTCCAGGTGACGCATCTTCGATTCCCTTCTCTGAGAAGTGGGGACACAATCTCTACCTCCCTTAGCCCCATGCGTGTAAGAGTGACACAGGAAAAGACCGGAGGCCGTGGCCGAGCGCATGGCGGATTGTACTTCTCGGTGGCACTTGTTATTGTCACCTTTTTCCCGCGTATTGTCCGCCCCCCTGCCCTCCCCGGCGCCCGAGGGCAGCGGCTGCCAGTGCCCGCCCCGCCCCGCCCCGTGCTCGGGATGCTGGAGAGGCCCGCGCTGGCCCGCCCGGCCGCCCGCCCTCCCGCCCTCCCGCTGCCCAAGCGCGGCGGCCTCGCGCCCGGAGGAGAGCCGGGCCGGCGCCATGGCGGGCGGCCACCGCCTGCTGCTGCTGGAGAACGCGCGCCAGGTGGTGCTGGTGTGCGCCCGGGGCGAGCGCTTTCTGGCCGGGGGCGCGCTGCGCAGCCTGGCGGTGCTGGAGGGCGCCAGCCTGGTGGTGGGCACGTAAGTGGCTGGGCGCGCACGGTGGCAGACAGATGGCGGCGGGGGGCGGGAGGGGGCGGGGGGGGCCCTAGTCCTAAAGACTAGGATAGGCTTGCACCTAAACACCCGAGGCCAACACCATTGAGACGCACCCCGCCCCGTCTGGCTAACCATCCATTCCATCCATTCCGGTATGGCTTGGGGTTTTTCTTTTTTCCCTTCAGTACTGGGATTTGAATTCGGGGCCTTGCTAGGATGTTGTTCTATCACTTGAACCCCAACCCTCACCCCCCACCTCTATTTGCCTTGGTTATTCTCTCCTCCCCTCCCCTCACGTCCTCTCCCCTCCCCTCCCCTCCCCTGCCCTCCCCTCCCCTCCTCTCTCTTCACGTCAGTTCTCCTCCCCTCCCCTCCCTTCTCTGCTCCTCTCCTTTCCTTCCCCTTCATTTCCCTTCAGTTCCCTTCCTTTCCTCCCTCCCTCTTCCCCCCTCTCTCTCCTCACGTTCTTTCATTTCTTCCTTTGCTTCCATTTCCTGGCATACCTATCGTTTTGGTTAGCGTTCTTTTATACGAACAGAGGCACCCAGGCATTACCCGTTGTGTTCCTCCCCTAAGAATGTTCTCCTTTGGTCTCACTGAGTGTGAATGCCTGCAGTCCTGTATAATTGATCATATCCTGGAGTAGTTTAGGTCTAGCTTCTGCTTATTTATCCGTCATTAGTCTCTCTGAGTTTGGCTTACCTCAATATGATTTGTTCTAGGTCTGTTGTTTTGGTTATTGTACGAATAGGATATTACATCTGTGCACAGTCTTGACTAGTTAGGCTTTTCATGTAGTTAGGATGAGCTGCTACCAAACCCAGCTTTTATTGTGTGTGTGTGTGTGTGTGTGTGCGTGCGCGCGCGCACGTGTGTGCACGCACAGGCGTATGCATGCAGGTCCTGGGGCTTGCACTCAGGGCCTATACACTGTCCCTGATTTTTTTTTCTCTCTCAAAGCTAGCTCTCTACCACTTGAGCCACATCTCCACTTCTGGCTTTTTTTGGGGGGTAAATTGGAGATAAGAGTTTCCCCAAACTGGCCTTTCCAGCCCAGGCTGGCTTTGAACTGTGATCCTAAGATCACAGCCTCCTGAGTAGTCAGGATTACAGGTGTGAGGCTCAGCACAACCTGAATCTTTATAGAAGACCTTTCTTGTACCTTGATCTGCACACTCAAACCTGAGAACTAGAAAATGCTTACATGGCAGTGGCTTTGAATGATGAGAAGTCAGGATTTAACCTGATAACAAGAGTTTATTTTCAGTTGTTTCCTTTTAACCTTTGGAGCTTCCTGCCGAACGTGAATAAGAGAACAGCCAGAGTTTGCTAGGGCCACTTGGAGTAAGAGTGGGGATTGGATGCGGATCCCCATGCCAGACCTGTGGGGCTCCAATTGCCTGGGATTTCACAAACAGACCAAGGCTTATCTGAGACTGCTTAGGGTTGCATAATAGCCTAGTGTTTAGGGTTTGTTCTAGTTAGCACAGGGCAGAAATAGTTTCCTACTAAAAAAATGTTAAAATAATAGATCTGATGAGAAAGCTGAGAAAATATCTACCTAGTGGTGGGAAACAGAATATCTGTAGAAATGATAGTAATATAGCAGACATGAAGTCCTAGGTTCTAAGACATGTTCTCTATAGCCATGTGCTCATTAGGACCACATAAAATAAGGAAGAAAAAGGACAGAATCGACTTGTGGGCTGGAAGATCACTTTTTTCTTAATTTGATCGGCTACATGGTTCTCAGAGTTTGTTGGGTTTGTTTATATTAAAATGTATTTGCAGGCTGGGAAGGTGGCTCAGTGGTAGAGCGCTTGCCTTACATGCATGAAGCCCTGGGTTCTATTCCTTAGCACCACATAAGCAGAAAAAGCCTGAAGTGGTGCTGTGGCTCAAGTGGTAGAGCGCTAGCCTTGAGCTGAAGAGCTGAGGGACAGTGCCCAGGCCCAGAGTTCAGGCCCCTTGACCGACAAAAAAAAATTAAAAATTATATTTGCAAGAATATTCAGAATTTTGCGTTGCTTTCAATTTACCTACTTATTCATTATTTTACATGCTGCCAAGTAATTATCTGGTAATGTCCACATTTACACTTTTTTTTGTGAATGTATGTGTCAGTATTGGGGCTTACACTCAGAGCCTTATACTCTTGCTTTCCCCCTTCCCCCCACTCCAACCTATTACTCAACCACATGAGCCACATTTTCACTTCCAGCTTTTTACTGATTACTTGGAGATAAAAGTCTCAGGCTTTTCTGTCCAGCCCGACTTTGAACTAGGCTTTTCAGATCTCAGCCTCTTGAGTAGCTATAACTCAGTAATATCAACTAGTAGCCAATTCCTGTAAGCTGTAGATATAGAAGATGGGCCCTGGAATAAAAAGTGCTTTGGGAGAGTCTAGAAACTTCTTTCTAAAATTTTAAAATCTCAATGCTTACCTGTCGCAGGGCATTGCATTTATTCATTGAGATCTCCAAGTCTCTTAAATTAAGCTGTGTGTGGGAGGGATTATAGATAACCTTAAAAAAACTTCTGACTCTGCCACCAAGAGATGACAGAAGAGAATCACAAACTATCACCCCCTTTACAAGTGTCCCAGCTAAAGTCTAAGAGCAAATTGAAAATGTCTAAATGAACAAAAATAATAGGAATGCAAACACAGTTTCACCCATAAAAACTATTTGAATGCTTCAAGGGAGCAGCCAAAATGGACTGACATTTTATCATCCTTTTTGAAGGCCAGTGAGAGTCAGGTAGACAGCAAACCTAAAAGTGTAGACTCTTTTTATCCACTCAACATAGATGAACTGAACAGTTAGGGAGATACAAAAATGATTAAGGCTGGTTCTGTCCGGAAGAGCTATGTAGTGAGGGACAAGACATAGGAAAAGATAACTGGAGCACAGAGTTATGAAGTGCAAAGCTAGAGAGATCTGTGCTGGATGGAGCTGATAAGGACCACACAGAGGGCTGCTGAAATGGATGGGGTACATGAGCCGTAAGAGAAGAGCAATATTAAGGATGATATACATAAGAAGAAACACATCATCTTGCTATGCTAAGCTGGACCTGAGGTGTATGTCTGTATTCCCAGCACTTGGGAGGTTGAGGTAGGAGGACTGTGAGTTAGAGGCCAGCATAGACTCCAGAGTGATACCTGAACAAGCAAATAACATAGTAACCAAAATGTCTTCCTTAAATCGCCCTCCCTGCAGTTTTCATGGTAATCACCCTGTAGCTTCTAGGATTTATTTGGGATTGCTGATTAGCTTGACTGCTTCCAAAAAATTATGTGGACTTTTCCTTCCTAAACTGTTCAGAAATTAAACAAAGAACAGCATATCCTTCTCTGTCCTTCTCCTCTCCTTAAAAAAACTACCTGTGATGATGGGCATAATGGCACATGTCTGTACTTTTAGCTGAGAAAGGAAAATTGTGAGTTCAAAGTCAGCATGAGTTATATAGTGAGACCCTATCTCAAAACATTGAAAGCAAAGGTCTAGCGGAATGGTGTCTGGGACAATTTAGGGTTGGTTTGTGCTGAGTGGAAGGTCTGAGAGCCCCTCACACATGAGGGGCTATTTATGGTGAAGTTTGTGAATGGCAGGTTGTGGTGACATAATAGTTTTTCAATAACAGTGTTTCCACTGCACGTGCCCATTTGCACAAGGCATTTTGTTGTGATGATATGGATAGGTAGAACAAAAACATGAAGGCTTACCTACGGTTCCTTAAGGACAGCCAAGAACAATGTCCACATGTGCCACTTAAGGAGGGTTCCTTTCTAAGGATACCACTTTTATTAAGATGTTTTGATGACAAAATTACCACCTATGGAGTGGCTGGGGTTCTAGGGTTGGAACTTGGGTGATAGGTTTGCACCTCTTCTGAGATTTCTACCTACTTCCTTACTTCACAACCTTGCTCTACTGTGCACGATCCATTTTCTCACAGTCCTTCCACCATCCAAGATGGCTGCTCCATCTCTAGTTTTGTCTCCTTTCCAGCCAGTGAGAATAGAGAGTGAAAACAATCCTATTGGCTAGAACCTCATCACATGCTTCTTCTTGGCTGATGGGATGAAAAAGTAACTTTTTTCCTGAGTGGTCACATGTCCAGCTAAAACTTAAGGGGTCTAGTCCTGTAGGAAGGGAGAATGGCCATGTTGGGGAGCAGCTAGCAATCTCTACTACACGTAAGTTGGCCTTTTGTCTTTATGGTGGCTACAGTCACTGTCTCAAAAACTCAAGTTCAAGAGGGAATCACAGTTAAGTGTTGGCTGGTTGACAGTATGGTATCTGAAGACATTTTAGATCATTAGCTTTCTTGCAAGAAATATATTAGGGGCATGGTTGACCAGCAGATGGGCTTTTGGGAAGTGATTGGACCTTAATTCCTAGATGGCATTATTGGAGGTGGTGAAGGGCAGGAGGTGGGACCCAGTTTGAGGAAGTAGGTAACTTGGGGGGGGGAGGAGACTTGTCCTGCAAGCCTCTGCTTGCAGCATCTTCTGTACCATGGTGGGCTTGCCCATCTGAAACAGGAGCAAAATCAATAGTTCCTCCTTTTAAACTGTTCTTTTGGGTAATTTGGTCACAACAATATAAAAGTAAAACATATGGTTTCCCACAAAATTGGTAACTATTACTTGCATTTTTCTCTAGTGATGGGCTCATAAAAGCTATCGGTCCTGCTGATGCTATCCAGCGTCAGTTTTCTGAAGACACTTTTGAAGAAAGAATTGATTGTTCTGGGAAATGTGTCCTACCAGGTATTTACTTCCTTCCCCTAAAACAAACAGCTTCGAGAGCTGTTTTGAACAGTCACTCAATGAACGTAAAGAGGGAGAATAGCAACTTGTTTTAGACAGGTCTTATAATGTATGACAAATATTTGTGGGTCCATGTACTAAATTTCTCCTTTCGAAGGTCTGGCCTTTTCACAACCATGCTTTCCCCTGCAAGGTTGATGCATTAGTCTGTCCTCCTTCTTCATTTGCCTTCTCCTTCTTGACCTTCATTGATTGCAGGTTTGGTGGATGCACATACACATCCTGTCTGGGCTGGAGAAAGAGTTCACGAGTTTGCAATGAAGGTAACCTCAATGCATGATGGGATATCAACATAGAGTACAAAGATGAAGTCTACCGAGTTCATCAGCTAGCAGACTTTGCCACATTCAGCAGTCTTGTGTTTTTCTTTTCCTTAGCGCTAAGTAGTTGTACAAAGGGGTTGTCATTCAGCAAAGCAGCTTACTAATACAAAGCATCCTGATCAATGTCACCCATCCTCACCCCTCCTCCCAACCCTCTCAACATCCTCACCCCTCTCCCACGCCACCCCTTCCCTCACTTTTCTTAATTTTGTAGGGTGTGCATTGAATTTTTTACTTCATTCTCCCCATCTACATCTTCTTAATGCATATTTTTACTTGCTGGAGTATAGAAAGCAAATAGCGACAAAGCTAACTTATTTATAAATTCTACCAACTCAGATGCCCAAATATGGACCTGTAAAAGCTGCCTTCATTCCCCAGAGATTCAGATGACTGTAATGAGATTCCCTGAACTCTTTTCTTACCTTTCGTGTGTGTGTGTGTGTGTGTGTGTGTTGTACTGGGCCTTGAACTCGGGGCCTATGCTCTTGCTTAATTTTTTCACTCAAGATTGGCACTCTGCTACTTGAGTTTTTGACTTTTTAGTGGCTAATTAGAGGTAAAAGTCTCACAGAGGGCTCAGATGTAGCTCAGTGGCAAAGCCATTGCCTAGCACGTGCAATCTCCTGGGTTCAATTCCCAAAAAGGAAAAAGACAACAACAACAAACTCTCACAGACTCCCTTCCCAGGACTGTCCTTCAATAGCTATCCTCTGATCTCATCCTCCTGAGTAGCTGGGAATAAAGGTGTGAGCCACATGTGCCCAGCTATTTTGTGTTTTTTGTTTGTTCCCCCTCTCCTTGTCCTGGGGCTTGAACTCTGTGCCTGGGCACTGCCCCTATGTTTTTGTGCTCAAGGCTTGTGCTCTACCATTTGAGCCACAGCCCCACTTCTGGCTTTTTGTGGTTAATTGGAAATAAGTGTCTTACAGACTTTCTTGCCTGGGCTGGCTTTGAACTGCCACCCTCAGATCTCAGTCTCCTGAGTAGCTAGGCCAGCACCTCGGCCTATCTTTGCTTTTTAAAACATGTTAAGGGGCTGGGAAGGTGGCTTAGTGGTAGAGTGCTTGTTTGGCATGCATGAAGCCCTGGGTTCAATTCCTCAGCACCACATAAACAGAAAAAGCTGGAAATGGTGCTGTGGCTCAAGTGGTAGAGTGCTAGCCTTGAGCAAAAGAAGCTCAGGGACAGTGCTCAGGCCCTGAACACAAACAAAAACAAAACCAAACAAAACACGTTAATAGGAAGTTTTGGGGCCGTGGGTTGTTAAATACTGAGATACTCCTGCACTAAGATATTGCTGTCCTGAGATCCTCAGCTACCCATCAATGCCCATCTCTGCCGTCCAGTTCTTTCCTGGGACCCCACCCCCACCCCGGCCTCCATCCCACACTATCTAAGTAAGAGCAGAAGAGTTGGAGAGGTAGGGGCTTTCAGAAATAGATACATCCATGCCAGTACCCGGTCGGTGGGTACTGGAGCTGACGGCTCCTTCATCACCTCTTGCTCTCACTCGTGGAGGTAGGTCTGTAGACGCGTCTGCAGCCCTCCTGAGGGGGCCGTGCGTTCAGTTGGCAGGAGCCACCTACATGGAGATCCACCGGGCTGGAGGGGGCATCCACTTCACGGTGGAGCGCACGCGCCAGGCGGCGGCGGAGGAGCTGTTCGGCGCCCTGCAGCGGCGGCTCCAGTGCATGGTGCGGGCGGGCACCACGCTGGTGGAGTGCAAGAGCGGATACGGCCTCGACCTGCCCACGGAGCTCAAGATGCTGCGCGTGATCGAGCGCGCCCGCCGGGAGCTGCCCATCGGGATCTCGGCCACCTACTGCGGGGCCCACGCAGTGCCCAAGTAATGCCGGTGGAGGGAGGGATGGGGTGAAACTCAGGCATGGCTCCCCGTGGGCGTGGAGGTGCAGCAAGGAGACCCGCAGATCACCACCCTCGGAAAGATGTTCTAGTTCTTCGCACGGCCAATCACGTTGCCCATCTTGTTGTTGTTGTTTTTCTCTTTGTCGGTCATGGGGCTTGAACTCAGGGCCTGGCTGCTGTCCCTGAGCTTTAGTGCTCAAGGCTAGTGCTCTACCACTTTGGGTCATAGCATCACTTCTGGTTTTCTGGTGGTTAATTGGAGATCAGAGTCTCACGGATTTTCCTGCCTGGGCTGGCTTTGAGCCATCATCATCAGATCTCAGCCTCCTGAGTCACTAGGATTACAGGCTGGAGCCACCAGGCCATGCGCCCTATCAGTTTTTCTAGACATTTAATGATGAAAGAAGAGGAAAGGTGCAAGCTCTTTGGGTTAGCAAAAAAGCAAAGGTCCCCCTTAGGTCCTTTCACATTTTACTCATTTGAGTGATTTCCTGTGCTAGTTAAGTAGCACAAAGCATTGTAGCCATGGTAATACTCTCCGCCGGATGATCACACCTTATCATCTAGGAAGCTCAGAAGGGATATTTTGTTTTGTTTTGTTCATATATTTACTTTACTTCAAATGCTTGATCATTGCAAAGGGTCTTGTTTGCTTATTTAGTGCTGGGAGTAGGGCTTGAACCCAGGGCCTTGCAATAGCTTAGCTTTCTCAACACAAAGAGTGATGCTCTACCACACTTTCACCATATCTCCACTTCCAGCTTTTTCTAGTTAATTAGCGGTAAAACTCTCCCAAATTTGTCTGCTTAGCCTGGCTTTGAACATGGGATCTTCAGATCTCAGCCTCTCAGCTAGCTAGAATGAAGTATCCAAACTTCCTGGGGTGGTGGGACTTCAGACCCACCATCAGCAAAAGGAGTCACCAACCCTTAGTCAACCAGGCTAGGAATCTTTATTATAAGCCATGACAGCTGCTCTCCACTGTCAGGGCAGTGAAGAGCTGCAGCCAAGCTCTCTTGCAGCAAGGTTTTAAAAGGACAAACAGGCCACACACAGGTGGCAGTGTATGTGAGAGCAAGCAGGCTTACAGAAGCAAAACTAGCAGTTAGTGATCACAAATAACGATTACAATTTCAACAAGCAAAGCAGTAAGTCATAGAGGCAAAAGTTACACTTCCAGGCTCCCCCTTCATTTCATTCCCGATCAGGTTTTAGCTGACATTTACCAGAACACATTCCAGACTTCTTACTTATCACATTCAAAATCAAACTACCTTCCAGGTTTCCTGGCTCTTTCTGAGCTTCCCTATTATTTAACACACTTAGCGTGTCTAACTCCCTAATTTTCTCTGAGTCTCTACTTCTGAGAATTTCCCTTAATAATGAACCTGGAGTTTCCACAAAGAGGTCCTGCCTTTAATGCTTGCCCTATTCTTACAGTATGTGTTGGCAGTTCAGATGGGATGCGACTAGAAAATAGATTTAGAAAATGATGGATGATATTAATTGGGGTACACCTGGGAGCTTGCAGACTTACATAGGCCACTAAGCTCTGGAGTCACACACTCCTCCTCTCCCAAGGGAGGGGGCCTCAGGGGAGAGAGTAAGTTCCCTACAGCACAAAGGACAGCCAGACAGCAGGAAGGACTTCCTGCTAGTGAGCAGTAGCTCAGATGCCCTAATTTTGATGAGGGTCACTTTAAGCGTAGCTAGGATTACAGGTGTCAGCCACTGGTGTCTAGCTCCATTACAAAAGGTTTTAGTCTACCCCTTTATCTAAACCGGTTTCTCCTACATGGCTTTACACGGCTTTACTCCTTATGCATACCTGCCCAGAGTCCTTTTGATCCTGGAATTTCTAGACAGAAAAGACCGTGGTTCTAGAGCACAAAGATTTAAAAGAGATCCATCTGAAAGAGATGGAGCTGCAGCATTCAGCATCGATGACAGGTGTACATATGCTATACACTTACAAACATTATTTGAAAATTCAGCCATTTAAATTTATTTTATATTTTTACTTCTGTGATCTTCTAAAAGTATAACTTATTTATTGGAGATGTGAAATTTGCACATATTGTGTACAACATATTTTGCGATGTGAAATGTGGAATGTCCTTAATTATATGTATCGCTTTATCATTTCTTTTGGTGAAAACATAAGAGATTTATTCTTGGAAAAGAAAAAGACAGGCTTCAGCCAACTATTTGTTGTCACTTCCCAATTTCAAGTGAAAACTGATATACTTAGGTCAGCAAAATGAAGGATGTATAAAGTATAAAACCATTGAGAATTGGTAGCTAACACCTATAATCCTAGCTACTAAGGAGGCTGATAATTGAGGATTGTAGTTCAAAGCCAGCCTGGACAAGAAAGTCTATGAGACTTATCTCCAGTTAACTAGCATAAAGCAGTTTGAAAAAATATAGTACACTATTATTAACTATATTCACCATGTTCTAAAGAAGTATAAAAGTTTAATGCTAATCTCCATTTGCTCTCCTCAATCAGAGGAAGTAAAAAGTTATAATATTTCAGATTCACAAAACTAATTCTGTAGAAAAGAAATAGAATGTGTATGATTTCCAGAATCTTTGTCATACATTTTATCATGTGTATTCCTAAACTTATTAAAGTTTAATGCTATATTGGGACTCAGCCTATCTACAGACAATTGTAGATGTTTTCGAACAAAATATGAAGTGTATTTGAAGTGTATATATGAAGCCAGTCTGCTTTTCCTTTTCCTTTTCCTTTTTTTTTTTTGATAATGAAACCTGGATTTGATTCCATTTAGCTACTTCCAACTTTGAGTGTGGGATATAAATATTTAAAGCATGAATTATGCATCTGTAATATAGTGCTCCCTAACATCCTACTCTATATGACGGTCTTAAATAGAAATCATTCTCATAAGTGTCCTCCTCATTGCTTCCCTCCACCCATCCACCCACATAGTTTCCCAGAAATTTTCTCCAGCTGCCAGTCAGTGTCTGAGATCTATATCTTGGTTCCTCTGATTAAGCACGCCATGCAAATCATTGCTAAATGATGCCAAAGATATGGAACCAGCAAGAGGTAGAGCTCTTTATTCATCTGACTTTTACAAAAGGCCCAGCTCCAAACTGGGAGTGTGGCTTAGTGGTAGAGTGCTTGCCCAGCATGCATGAATCCCCGGGTTCCATTCCTCAGTACTACATACGCAGAAAAAGCTGGAAATGGCACTGTGTCGCGAGTGGTAGAGTACTAGCCTTGAGCAAAAGAAGCTCAGGGACAGCTCCCAGGCCCTGAGTTCAAGCCCCAGGACTGGAAAAACTAAAGCAACAACAACAACAACAACAAACCCAAGCATTCAAAAGGTCCTTTAAAGTATCCAGGGCACAGAGCTTTAACTCTGCAGGTGGGTGGCCTTGGGGGCATTCCCAAAGACAATACTGGGGTGCTAGGATGGTGGAGCAATTTACATCTCTACAGATAAGGTGGGAGCAGAAAAGAACTCTTACTTTTGTTTGTGGGTCATGGGGCTTGAACTCAGGGCCTGGGAGCTATCCCTCAGCTCTTCAGCTCAAGGCGAGTGTTCTACCACTTGAGCCACAGTGCCACTTCCAGTTTTCTGGAGGTTAATTGGAGATAAGAGTCTTACAGACTTTCCTGCCTGGGCTGGCTCTGAACTGTGATCCTCAGATCTCAGCCTCCTGAGTAGCTAGGATTACAGGAGTGAGCCATGGGTGCCCGGCCAGAAAAGAACTCTTATGGATACTTCCACTATGTAGGCTTAACCCAGTTAGGAGTTCTGAGTTTTAGCTTTGATTCTTGTCTTTTCAAGGCTTGAAGTCATGCTTTCTCTCTCTCTCTCTCTCTCTCTCTCTCTCTTTCTCTCTCTCTCTCTCTCTCATTTCTGGCATCAGAGGGAAGACTGCCACTGAAGCTGCTGCTGACATTGTCACTAGCCACCTCCCAAAGCTGCAGGAACTTGGCAGAAACGGGGAAATACAGGTTGACAATATAGACGTGTTTTGTGAGGAGGGTGTCTTTGATCTGGATTCCACCAGAAGGATTCTTCAGAGCGGGAAGGAGATGGGGCTACAGATTAACTTCCATGGGGATGAACTTCACCCCATGAAGGCTGCGGAGGTATGATGACCTTTGTCCTTCCTGTGTCAACACATACTTGCACATTCCTGCAATGGGAAACGTCACTCCTTTGTTCTAGGTTAGCATAGCCTTCTGAAAAGAGAGCGGACTGGGAGGACAGTATGCAGCTGGGTCTAATGGAGCCTGGGAAATTCTCATCTCTATTAGAAACCTTGTGATGGTTTTCCTTTTTCCTTTCTTCCTTCCTTCCTTCCTTCCTTCCTTCCTTTCTTTCTTTCTTTCTCTCTCTCTTTCTCTTTCTTCCTTTCTCTTCCTTCCTTCCTTCCTTCCTTCCTTTCTTTCTTTCTTGCTCTCTCTCTCTCTCTCTTTCTTTCTGACTCTGTCTGTCTGTCTGTCTGCCTTTCTTCCTTCCTTCCTTTCTTTCTTCCTTCCTTCCTTTCTTTCTTTCTTTCTTTTTGTTTGACCATTTACTTTGTTGCTGTTGGTTTTTTGTTTTTTGTTTTTTGGTACCAGGAACTTGCTCTTGGTAAAACTACCTGATTATTTGCCTTGATTAGTAACTGCTCACAATGTGAATAGAAAAAGAAGCATATCTATGATCTTATCTTCTAAATTCATGGTGTACTCTGGTTGCTACACAAAGCTATATACTAACACAATGTAAGAATTTTACATGTATCTTTTTGTCACTTGTAGATCAATGTTAGTAAAAACACACCATTATTAGCCACAGGGCAGTGTTTAAATGTATGTTCAGTATGTCCTTCCCACACTCACTTATTCACACTTGTAGTTAGTGTGCATGTGTGTGCATATACATGTGTGCACTAATCTTATGGCTTGACTCGGGGCCTGGGTGCCATCCCTGAGCTTTTTTGCTTACAGCTGGCATTCTACAACTTGAGCTACAGTTCCACTTCCTACTTTTCTGTTTGGTGGTAATTAGAGATAATACTTTCATGGACTTTCCTGCTGGCTTTGAACCATGATCCTCAGATCTTAGTCTCTTGAGTAGCTAGGATTACAGGCATAAGCCACTAGCACCCTGCTGCTCATTTATCCTTTTAAGAACATTTGAGCTGGGTGCCAGTGGCTCACGCCTGTAATCCTAGCTACTCAGGAGGCTGAGATCTGAGGATCGTGGTTCAAAGCCAGCCTGGGCAGGAAAGTCTATGAGACTCCTATATTCAATAAACCTCTAGAAAACCGGAAGTGGTGCTGTGACTCAAGTGGTAGAGTGCTTGCCTTGAGCTGAAGAACTGAGGGACAGTGTCCAGGCTGTCCTATGACCAACAAAAAAATAAAAAAAGAACATTTGAGTACGTATTGTGTGCTAAGTGCCATTTCAGATATTAAGAATTCAGTAGTGAGGGGCTGGGAAGGTGGCTTAGTGGTAGAGCGCTTGCCTTGCATGCCTGAGGTCCTGGGTTTGATTCCTCAGCACCACATAAGCAAAAAGAAAAAAGCCAGAAGTAGCGCTGTGGCTCAAGTGATAGAGCGCTAGCCTTGAGTGAAGAGCTGAGGGACAGCGCCCAGGCCCAGAGTTCAGGTCCCATGACTGGACCCTCCCCCCAAAAAAAAAAAGAATTCAGCAGTGAGTAAGAAGGTCTTTGCCATCATGAGTCTAGATGTCTTTTCTCAAAGCTTTATCTGAAGGTGTTGGTAGAATAATTCTTTTCATATAGCCAAGGCCTCATGTTTGATCCTCAGCACGCACACTCACACACGTGCATACACACACACACACACACACACACACACACACACTTGAACAATTACTTTGGGTCATAAATATAGTTACAGACTACCTACGAACATCTCAAGCATGTGTCCAACTTGGTGTCTTAATACCATTTCCAACTTTTGTTCTCTTTTTCCTGGGCCATTACATGACAGCATCATCTGTGTGTGCTAAGTCCAAAATTTGGACATCATTTCAACTGTTCTCTCTTTATCTACCATGTTTGAACCATTAAGTTCTTCTTCCTTTCTTTCTAAGAAGTTTGAAAAAAAAAAGTAAAACTCTACCTGAAAAGTAGCTAAAGCAAAAAAGGGCTGTGGGCAGAGTGTAAACCTGCCTAGCAAGCATGAGGCCTTCAATTCAAACACCAGTTACAACTACTCCCCTCCCCCACAATGATTAATTTTAGAAGGAGCATGAGATGGAAATGCATCTCTATTTTTTCCATTTGGGAGATTATGCTCCTAAGAAGTAGTTGGTAAGAAATCCTAATGGAGAGCAATTGCTTTTTGAAGGAAAGATAATGTCATAGTACTTTATTGATCGTCATTTATTAAATCTTGTCCTCTGTGCCCAATGTGCCTAGCTGGGGGTTGAGCTGGGAGCCCAGGCCATCAGCCACCTGGAAGAAGTGAGTGATGAAGGGATCACTGCCATGGCCAAGGCCCAGTGCTCTGCTGTCCTCCTGCCCACCACGGCCTACATGCTGAGGTAGGCTTGCTTCTGACCCTGAAATGAAGGCTGTAAGGACCAAGTCCTGAAACACACAGATGGAAAATGGAAGTTTAGATGCTGCGAAGATGCCAACTCTGCTTTGATGCTCATAAAGGAGTTACCCAGTGTGAATGAGCCATTTTCTACAAGGATGCTGCTGGAACCGTAACTGAGTACCAGTCCTGGCATTGTGGGGGTCTGGGTGGGGAAAGAACTGAGGTCATATAGAAAGTGTATTTTGTCAAATATCCCCAGCGATTTTGCTGTAGGCTCCATATGAATTGACTACACCTCGTCTATCTTTTGTAATGGCCATTGTTCTAATTCGGCCAACTAGGAGATCTGAGGTTTTGCCACCCTTTCCAGTACACAGTCCTGTGATGGCTGCCAAGGAGTCTGTAGTCTAGAAAAACCAGCTAGGGCTAGATATTGGTAAGATACATGGTCTGCTGGACAGCAGTTCTGCAGTTAAAACTTTAGGGTGATTTTGTCCCTCAGAGGACAGTTGGAAACATTTCTTATTTTCACTATCTAGGCAGGGAGGGGTGCTACTGGCATCTAGTGGGTAGTGGCCACAGATGTTGTTAGAAATCCTTCAATGTATAAATAGTACCCCCCCCCCATACCCTACACATGCAACAAAGAGTAATCCAGCCTAAGATATGAATTGAGAAAGGCTAGACTTACACTAACATTTAGAATATTCAATTGCTTTTAAACTCTAATTTCACACACACATATATACAATATAATACAGTTTTATTATTAATATTCTTTTCATTTGAGTTAGACACAATATAGGCTACATGCAGGAAATCAGTAGATATTCTTGTTCTTGGTATAACCAACTACTTTCCTTACACATCTCAATAGTTATCAGTCAGAGCCCTCAATCAGTATTGAATTTGGAGACCTTTCCACCACTCAAGAAGCATGTTTTGCCAGGTGCCAGTGACTCGCTCTTGTAATCCTAGCTACTCAGGGGCCTGAAATATGGAGTATCAAGGCCAACCCAGGCAGAAAAGTCTGAGAGTTGATTTCCAAACTAAGGTAGGGCTGGGATATCAGCTGAAAATCCTAACACTACATAAAAGTAAAAGGAAGTAGAAGGTTTTCTTCTACTTTCCTAAAATCTCTTAATATGGAACAAAACCTGGAGACTTTATGCTACTGAAGGGCAGTAGCCTTGGAAATGAGAGCTGCCATTGTCACAGAAGGCTTCCATCTTGTTTATATGACCAGGACAATAATAACAGAGGCTTACTCTTCCTCTGGCTCCTCTGGTTCTATATTTTTCTGATTTCTCCATCAAGAATTACCTCTGTTCCCTGAATTCTCTTGATTAACTCTGTAAGTTATTCTGGTTTCCAGGAAAGACATTTGAAACCATCAGAGAGAGAGAGAGAGAGAGAGAGAGAGAGAGAGAGAGAGAGAGAGAGAGAGAGAGAATTGAGAAATGGATAATGCTTTATGCATTATTTGTTGGTTGTTTAACTTGGAAGCCACAAAAGAGCTTATTAGAATTTATTAGAATAGTTTCTCAGTTTATTCATGCTTTGTAAATTCTGAATTTCTCCCTTAGCAAGAAGCTCTCAGAGAGAGAGAGAGAGAGAGAGAGAGAGAGAGAGAGAGAGAGGAGAGATTGGCCAGAGAATTAAATAACAGCCAAGTAATTCCCCAAACAGTATGAAAACTTGAGTCCCCATGACCCTATGTAAAGCTCTACCCAATCCTAGTGCTATCCATTTAACCTTGAGTTTTGTTTCTTCTCTTCCATTTTGGTCACCTATTCTGCAAAAATTCCAACTCCTAGAGACTCATGTCTTTTTCTTCATTCCTTAGGTTGAAGCAGCCTCGAGCCAGGAAGATGTTAGATGAGGGAGTGATAGTCGCCCTGGGCAGTGATTTCAACCCCAATGCATATTGCTTTTCAATGGTAAGTATTAGCTCAGATGTTTTTCTGCAGTTTTAACCAAGCATAGAAGTAACTTAACTTCACTAGCTGCTAAAATATATAAGAAATCTAAAAGTATTTCCCTGTGAAACAAGATTTTTAAAAAGGTGTGGCTCATAGTATAATTGGATCTTTCTTTACCACATGAATGCCTCTGGACCTAAAGAGAAGAGAGAAGCTTTTGTTTGCATCATCACTTGTTGGTTTAGCCTTGAGCATTATGGTTTTACATTAATTCATTTTCACTGGAACTCCATAATAATAAGTAAGGGTGGCGGTAAGCTTCATCATACACAGGGTCTTGAAAAGTCATGAATAAATATTAAATTACACAATCTTGATATTAAAGGAATTTTTCCCCAAAGCATAAGAATCCTTGTTTTCATTTTGCAAGTTTTAAATTTTCTTTAGTTGTACAAAGGGTAATGCACCCCACCCACTTCATTTGTAAGTTGAGATTTAGAAATTTAGCAAGTCTTACCACCTGTACATTTTTGGAGTCTGCTGAGATTAAACCCAGGTCCTCATGAATGCCAAGTCTGAGCTCAACCATGGAGCTACATCCTGAGCCCCACCACCTTAATAGTTGTGCTGTTTGGAAAGCCATCCAAAGTAGCTGTTGCTGTTCTGCTACTTTCCTCCCATGCTTTCCTCTTCCCATCTTAGCCAATGGTCATGCATCTAGCCTGTGTAAACATGAGGATGTCTATGCCTGAGGCCTTGGCTGCTAGCACCATCAACGCAGCCTATGCACTGGGAAAATCTCACATGCATGGATCTCTGGAGGTTGGCAAACAGGGAGACATCATTATCATCAATGCACCCAGGTGAGCGTTCACCTAACCTATTATTTTATGTTCACTCCCACATGGAGACAAGGTTCCGGGCCCCTTTTCTCTCTTAGCGTCAGACTCAGTCATTCATATCTAGACTCAGACAATAACCAGTTCCCTCTAATGTCATCCCTTTCCAACCAGAAGGTCTATCTCCAGATTGTACACTAGGACTAATCTTGGGGTCCCTTTCTCTGTAGCCCACCTTTCATGGATCTCCAGGTTCCTGCTCTATACTGGGACCTTTCATTTGTGCTTCCTGGCCTGTGTTTTTGGTTTTCTGCTTGGCCCTGACCTTTTGCTTGTTCTCAGCTCCAACTTGTCACTCTGGTTCTGATTCATTCCGTCTCCACCCCCACCTCCTTGACTTGGGATACCAATTTGATCCCCAATCTCTTTACGACGTGATCCTGTTTCTTATTATTCATGCCCAGTCCCCTACCAGATGGATATCCAATGGGACAATTTGGATCTTGTAGTTCCAGATCTAGAAGTTGTAAATGCTGTCCTTCCTTGACCCTTGTGAGCCTGCTGCAGGCCTCCGGCATCATGTTCATCAGAGAGAAGCAACTGTATGCTTCTGTCTCCATGGTCACAATATACTCCCTCCACTGAAAATCATGTGTTAACTGTTCATGTATTATGTCGTGAAGCCAGTATTTAAGATCAAGTACTTAAATATTTTTAAACATTTGGTTTATCATGGGCCATATCATAAATGATATCCATAATGGCCTAACTAACAATAACTATAGATAAATATTTAGAAATTCATTTTAGATTTGATTTTATTGTTATAGTAGAGATTTTGACTTCTTTGAATTGAAAAACAGTTTTGATTTCTTTCTAGATGGGAGCATTTGATTTATCAGTTTGGAGGCCATCATGAATTAATTGAGTATGTTATAACTAAAGGAAAAGTCATCTATAAAAAATGATAGATCTGGAAGGATCAAATAAGTTGATACAGTTATATTTAAATAAAAACACTTGGGTGAGTTGCCAGAATTATGTATCTTAGAGCAAAATACATTTCTATGATCTTTTAGTCTACTTGAAAAACCCCATGGATTGATTTATTCAAATTGAACATGTATACTTGGATAGATGAATGTGTAAACCTGTTGTGAGGATCATCTCAAACCATCAAATTGTTTCACAAAGATTGGTTACAAATATTCTGAAGATTAATATGAAGGGTAGCTCAGGGATGCCCTTGTGGGAAAATGGACTCCATTTTGCTTTTGCATCTCCACTTTCATTTTTTAAACTATATTTAGTAGATATAAGGAAAGACATCTTAACTGACAAGACCCAAACAAAGCTAAATTATGCCCTTTTATAAAAAGCACACAGCTTATCTTTGTCTTCAGATGCATTAGTGTCCTTCTGTGTTTAATGTCTTTCAACCCTAAAAACACAACTAGCTCTGTTGCAATTTCAAGACGTCATCTACACAGAGCAACAGTCTTCCTGCAGTGAATACATTTAGACCAATACCAGTAATGTAGCTTTAAAAAATTGTTTAAGGTTTTGATTCTTCCTATCACAAATCTATTAAAAAAGATTTGAGTCATTATTTACTGTGATTACTACTGTTGTTTCCTTATAGCTCTGGAAATAGAGCATCAGTGTTGCCCAAGATTTTTGAATGAAGTTGAACAGAGCATACAATTATTTGCAGAGTGAGCAATTATTTATATAAATTGATGCTTCTAGAATTCGGAAATGGTTTTTATTGTTTTCATTATCTTCAAAAATGTAATTGTATTATCAAACTTCATCCTACTTACAAAAAGCAATTTGTCAAGTATACAGTCATTATAAAATGATCACCAAGTTGAGGTTAATAAGTCTGAATTAGGAAGACTTTCCTGTATTCAGTGGATGATATCAAGATGCATTGTACTCAAAAAATGACATGTTGAATTGAAACTCTTTGTACAACTACTTAAAGAGAATAAGAAATAAATATAACCAAATCAAGATTCATGTATTAGTCAGTTTTTTACTATAATAAGATACCCAAGTCAAACCTATTTATGAAGAAAAGAAGCATATTTAGCTCATGAGACATGCTCTGGTCAGGGCTTCTTCCTCCTCTCCCTCCTGTGTATGTGGGAGGTAACTGTCACAATTCTATACAAGAATCCAGAGAGGAGGCTGGGAAGGTGGCTCAGTGGTAGAGCGCTTGCCTTGCATGCCTGAGGCCCTGGGTTCGATTCCTCAGCACCACATAAGCAAAAAGAAAAAAGCCGGAAGTGGCGCTGTGGCTCAAGTGGTAGAGCGCTAGTCTTGAGCTGAAGAGCTGAGGGACAGTGCCCAGGCCCAGAGTTCAGGCCCCACGACAGGAACACCCTACCCACCCCCCCCCCCCAAAAAAAAAGAGACGCCAGAGAGACACTGGGTGGGGCTAAGAGCTGGCATTTATAACAATGGTCTCACAGGATCTAACCCAATCCCAGGAGAAAAGCCTCCCCAGGACACACAGACACCTGGTTGATCTCAGGATGTCCCATGGTACTTCCCCTCCTGAAGGTCCCATCCCTTATATTTCCATCCTGAGGACAGAGCTCCTAACATATAGGCCTTTGGGGACAAAGCACACCAAATGGTGGCATTCCTGGTTGTTGGAAGGTTAAAGATAGCACGGCATGGCATGATCACTACGTCAGGGTCAGCAATCCGGTGACTGGTGAAGGAGGTTTGTGGGCCGTGGGAGGAGGACGTGATTGCTGTGAATATAGAAGAGACACAAAACCCAGATCGCAGTGTTAAGTCTGCCCAGGTCCCAGGCCACCACGGGCTATGTCCTCAGCTATTACTCCAAACATGTCTTTTTGTATGGTAGCAGAGGAGGGTGCCCACCCAACCACCCCACCTCCTACCAGTCCTCCAAGGCCAGTGCATTCTGACACCTTGTGGCTCATGGGAACTTAAAGCATAGAACTTTGTTTTTTGGGGGCATGTGTGTGTGTGTGTGTGTGTGTGTGTGTGTGTGTGTGTTATCAGTCGTGGTGCTTGAACTGTGGGCCTGGGTGCTGTCCCTCAGCTCTTCAGCTAAAGGTGGGTACTCTACCACTTGAGCCACAGCGCCACTTCCAGTTTTCTGGTGTTTTATTGGAGATAAGAGTCTCATGGACTTTCCTGCCTGGGCTGGCTTTGAACTGTGATTCTCAGATCTCAGCCTCCTGAGTAGCTGGGATTACAGGCGTGAGCCACTGGCACCTGGCTCAAAGTATAGAACTTTGACCTCAACTTAGACCTGCTGGGTCAGAATGTGGAGCTTCTCCTGAAGCTTGCAAATGTGCCACAGGCCTATTACTCTGAGAAGGTGGTGTCTAGGCCCTGGCTCGGGGATGTGGCTTCACCCCCTACCCCAATACAAGCTCTGGCAGCACTGTCCCCTGTGCACTCAAGGCAGGCGCTCCCCCTTGTCCAAGCCCCCCAGTGGATGCCTGCAACCACCAGTAATGCTAAGCCCTACATAGACAGGCACTAGGCTTTCTCTATTACATACATACATACCTATGATAAACTTTATAAGCCATTTGCTTATAGGCTTTATATCAATGATAAATTTTGTAAGCCAATGACTCATGCCTAGCTATTCAGGAGGCTGAGAGATGAGGATTGTGATTTGAAGCCAGTCCCAGCAGGAAAATCTGTGAGAGTCCAGTTTCCAATTAACCAGCAAAAAGCTATGGTTCAAAACACTGTGGTTCAAGTGGGTAAAGTGCCAGTCTTGAGCCACAAATCTCAGGAACAGTACCCAGGCCCTGAGTTCAAGCCCTAGTACCTACATGCACACTCACACACACACACACACACACGCACACACACACACACACACACATGTTTATTAATTAGACAGATATTAACAGTTACTAGCAAAATAGGAAAATCATGACACTGTACCATAGTAAAAGTGCACATAGATGGTCATTTCCTTCTGAAATATTGTGCTGTACCCACACTTTGTCAAGAAAGCACTTGATGACTTTTCTTTGGCATCTGAATAGCCAGCATTGCTACCTTTGTATTTGGGGATGATTACTAAGAGCAAGTACTGCCTAACCACCAAAGGCACTCTGCAACCAAGATGCTACTAAGAGCTAATCAGCAGGTAGTGTTTCCAGCGTGGAGATGCTGGCCAGATGTATGACTCATACTTCAGGTGGGGCACAAGGAGAGGGCTTTAGGTTTCATTGTGCTACTCAGCACAATACACCATTGAAAACTTGGAAGTTATTTATTTCTGGAATTTTCTATATAATAATTTCAGCCCATAGTTGAACACAGATAAATGAAACTATAGAAAAAAAGAAAAAAAGCCATGGCTGAAGGAATAACTGTACTTCCCCTCTCCTCTCTACATGTGAGGTTGTCCCTCCTCTAGGCTCCCACATATTTGAGATAATATTTACAGTGCCATAATTTAACTTTTCCCCATTCAGTTATAAGGTATTAGAGAATAGGGTCCTTGTCCTGTCCCTAGAACCAATATGGGGACTGGTTGATTAGTAGATGTATTAATGAATAAAAAACACATAGGGATGTGAAAGTTTTTTTGTTTTTATTATTTTTATTTGAAAATATAAAAACAGAGGGGTTACAGTCAGGCAAAGAATTCATTTCCCTTTGGATAATGTCACCATTCCCTCACTCTCTCTCAATGATGTGAAAGTTATTTATCAAAACACAATGTCTCTGGGCCTGGAGGTACAGAGCTGTAATCCCAGCATTTTTGAGGTTAAGACAGAAGGATCAATAATTTGAAGCCAACCTGGGCTACATGAGGCCTTGTCTCAAATAAAACAAGATAAAATTAAACAACATTGCTAAGCAAACCAATCCAGGATGCTGTACAAGTTCTTATTCTGTATTTCAGAAGGAGCATATGAATTTATTACTTAGCCCAAGGATGATGCTCATGGGAAAGTTTAACTGTAAAACTAAACAATTGTAAGGCAGGTATGCTGTTGTGCACATATAATTCCAGCCAGGAGGTGTAGGTAGGATGATCTTGGTCCAAGGTTGGCTCTAGACAAAAAGGACATGAGTTTTTTTTTTCTTTTGTTGGTCATGGGTCTTGAACTCTGGCCCTGGGAGCTGTCCTTCAGCTCTTCAGCTCAAGGCAAGCACTCTGCCACTTGAACCACAGCACCACTTCTGGTTTTCTGGTGGTTAATTGGAGATGAGAGTCTCATGGACTTTCCTGCCCAGGCTGGCTATGAACTGTGATCCATCTCAGCTTCCTGAGTAGCTAGGATTACAGGCATGATTTTTTTTTTTTTTTTTTTTGGCCAGTCTTGGGGCTTGAACTCAGGGCCTGAGCACTGTCCTTAAGCCTTTCTGTGTTCAGGGCTAGAACTCTACTACTTGACCACAGTGCCACTTCTGGGTTTTTCTGTGTATATGACTGAGGAATTGAACACAAGGCTTCAGGCATGCTAAGCAAGCACTCTACCATGAAGCCACATTCCCAGCCCCGGACATGATTTCATCTGAAAAAAAAATAAATAAATAATGAAAGCAAAAAGGGCTAGAAGCCTGGGCTAATTTGTAGAGTGCCTGCTCAGTATGCACAAAGCCTTGGGTTCAAATCCCAAAACAGAAAAGGAACAATTGCAGCTTTGAAGGTTGGGAAGGTTTTTGAGGAAGTAGAACATCAAAAGGCAGAACTTCAAGAAGTTTTTAGGAGGTGCATGACATGTTCCTCCAGCGCAGAAGACTCAATGGGGAGCTAATGCTGTAAAACTGGGCCATTATGGTTGCACAGTGCTTTGAACATCAAGATCACTAATTCAAACTTCATTCTTAAAGCCAGGGGAACCAGGGAACAGTTTTGAAAAAGGCAGGGCCAGGACAAGTGTGTTATAGAAAGAGTAATGAGGCTTCAGTGAACACAGTAGGCCCTCAAGTATTTGTTAGGTGAATGGATGCTGGCAAGACATGTATAAAGCTGACTGGGTCCTTTGGTAGAGCAGGAGGTGCCCAAATCTAGAACGAAAACGCAGTGACTCAGGAAACTGAAAATCCCTACTGTGTGTCCCACTGAATCAGATCCACACTGATTTCCCAGCTTTTGAAAGCTAGCAGCTATTTCAATAGAAAAATTACATTTCCCCTAAAAAAAAAAAGATTTTGTGAATCAGGCTTTAGAGAACCACAAACTACTATAATAGGCTCATCAAGAACAATTATCTACTCCCCTCTGGGAGCCTGGAGAAGAGTACACATTATTAGCTGCTGTGACCGTCAGGCAAGCTGGTATCACACTAAAGAAAACACCTGTAGGCCTTAATTCCATCTTAAATTCTTGAGGTATATATCTGAAAAATGTAAAGGGTGGGTTCCTTTCATCTCTGAAATGCTATCTCTAAGTTGGACACTGCCTTCAGGAAATTTATAATCCAACTAGGCAATAAGATGGATTTTTTTTTTTTGGTCGTGGGGCTTGAACTCTGGGCCTGAGTACTGACTGCACTGTTCCTCAGCTCTTCAGCTCATGGCGAGCGCTCTACCACTTGAGCTACAAAGCCACTTCCAGTTTTCTGGTAGTTTATTAGAGATAAGAGTCGCACAGACTTTCCTGCCCAGGCTGGCTTTGAACCGTGATCCTCAGATCTCAGCCTCCTGAGTAGCTAGGATTACAGGTGTGAGCCACTGGTGCCCAGCTTTGGATTTCTTTTAAAGTAGAATCTATAGTATGAAGAGCTTGCTCTCTTACAAGAAATTACACTAATGAGACACATTCATTTCGTTATTTAAATCAGTTTGGCCAGATTTTCCCCTAAGCATGAAGCTCTGGGTCTCTTAGTAAGCCTTTTTTCTGCCTGATGGAACGTTATTTCAAATTATGAACCCATGTGTTTTCCAAGGGGCTCTACAGAAACCCTTATGGTCATGGCATGCCTGGTACCCAGAAGGTGGAAACTCCTGAAGTCACAATGATCTACCCCACTCATCCTAAGATGTCAGAGTTGTGTGAACACTTCCAGTGTTTCTTCCCCTACTGTACCTTTAGCACAAACTTTTGCTTTTCATGACTGCCCCTTCCCCAGTCTGCTTTCCCATAGTGTTTGCACACATTGCCATGGTTTCCTCCTCTGGTCCAATGCCTGGAATATGAACTGTGAGGGCATCTTAGTTCCCATATATTTAATGATGGAAATTGGTCAAAACAAGGGTGGTTCCCTGACATGAATGGCTTCCAGCATGGATTATCATGGCATCCAACATGGCAGCTCTTCTGTCTTCCTCTAGGGCACATGTGTTGGTTGTGCAGTAGTTGTTATAGTATAGTAGATGGGAAGAGCCTAAATACAGAACTGCATGACACAGTTGATAAACTCCAGTCCTGGTACAGCCCCTCCTTGACAGTGGCTGGATCGGGTAGGATGCTAAGAGCAACAAGCATCAAAAACATGGGAGTCTTTGCTTATCATCGCCACCTCAGAGGCAGAGTAGGTGCCAGCTTAGTTTATCTAAGAAGCTCAATGGAGTGGAAGAGCCAGATTTCTTCCCTCCTCTGCTGCCATCCACAGTGGCCTAACTCTGGCTGTCAACAGGCGTAGCTCTGTGTCTACCCATTGAGGTCAAGGAAGAAAGGTGGCTTCCTGTTCTCAGGGCAGAAAATACTTTGCCAGAAACCTCAAATAAATCTCTTCTCTGTCTCACTGACTTAAATTGCAATCTCAGCCTTTTGTTGTTGTTTGTTGTCATGGGGCCTGAACTCAGGGCCTGGGCACTGTCCTTGAGCTTTTTTACTCAAGGCTAGCACTCTACCACTTTGAGCCACAGTGCCATTTCTGGTTTTCTGGTGGTTAATTGGAGTTAAAAGAGTCTCACAGACTTTTTTGCTCAGGCTGGCTTCAAACAGCAATCCTCAAATCTGAGTCTCCTGAGTAGTTAGGGTTACAGGCATGAGCCACCAGTGCCCAGACCATCCCTTCTTGAAATAACCATGGAACAACAACAACAACAAACCCATCTTTAATCAGGCCCACACCTCCCAGTATTCAAATGGTCTCCATTTCTCTTTCTCTTTGTTTTTCCTTTGGTGGGGGGAGATGTACTTCCAACATTCACATTTGATAAACTAGTACCTTTAACGCAGATAACAAAAGGGCAAAATTGTTTTACTGCACATGGAATAACATGTTTAATAAAAAGATAGGAATACAGTGGCCAAAATGATCATAGTGTTGATAACTATACTATTAATAAAAAAAAAAGATAGTACAGGAAGCAGACCCGGAAACAAGAAGTTTAAAGCAATTGAAAGATATCTTCTTTTTTTTCCCTTATCTAACAGCTACAGATCCTGCCAAGGCACATTCATGCCTTGACTGCCACTAGGAGTGTCCTGTGGCTTGTTGTTACTAGGACATCAGCAGAGCTGGCACAGCAGAAGCATGAAGAGTCCTTGTTTGGGGTCACGCCCTCCCCAATTAACCTGAGACAGATGAAGAAGCCAGGTGAGTTCTCCCTCAAGAGACCTGATGTGTCCAATTCTTTCCCTGATACTCAAGACAAAAGAGGGAAGAGTACACCGGGTCCATCGAATTTTCTAAAAGACATTATCCATTGGTGACTGTGTCTTTCAGAAACCCGATGACCTACCTTTAAAATAGCATTCCTTAAAGAGCTCTTAATCTTTAAGCCAAGTGTGACAGCGCACACTTGTAATCCCAGCACTTGTGAGGCAGAGGCAAGAGGAAGATCTTGCATTCAAGGCTAGCATGGGTTACACTGTGAGACCCTATTTCCCAAAAACTTCAAACAAAAATCCCAAGGACTTGAATTATAGGTCAGATAGTAGAAATACTTACCTAGTAACCATGAGGCTCTGAGGCCAAACCCCAGCATTCTCAAAAACAAAATCCCCAAAACTGTTCAGAAAAAAATCCAACAGGGACTGGGGGTACAGCATATACTTAGCACATACAGAACTCTGGGCTCAGTCCCCAGCATCTAAGGGAAGAAGAAATTCTAAGAATAAAGTGACAGCAAGACCATTGGGATATACAATTTATTTCATAGTTATCTTGAAGATAGGTGATATAAACTCAATAACAGAGCAGTATAGAAAACCCCCATGACCAAGAGTCATTGTGTCCTACAGGAATCTAATATTGTCCAAGTTGATGGGAAAAACAACCACCTGCTAGGCTTCAGGAGCTCAGCTGCACTCATGTGTAAGAAGGAACCATCACTACTTGTGTGTGTTCAGCCAGCAAAGGATGGTGCTGCCAAGAACCACCTTTAGATAAACACGTTCCTCAGCCCATTTTTCCCCTTTATGATTTGCTGTCTCCAGCAGTTCTCACTTGGGTGAAAGGTTTCACCTTTCCTGTGGACAAGGTACATGTTAAAGGGTGAAGACTTGATTGTGAAACATGATGTGGTGCCCATGCTAGGCTGTGGTCAGTAAGCAAATGTCTGTCCTTAGGTTGACCAGCTGCAGTCTTTAGTTTCAGCTTCCTGCACATGGAGTGCTTTGCCCGTACTTGCCCAGAGTCAGCCTTGGGAGGCTTACAGGTCACGTGACCCATTCTTCTCCCGAACAATTACATTTGAGCCTACCCGTAGGATCCTTTGTCTCTTTTTTGGGGGGGGGGGGGTTGGGGCAGGGGAGATAGATTAGGCAATACCTTGTAGAACCCTAGCTGACCTGTGTCAAAATAGTTCCAAAGATTACCATTACAGGGAAGGAACTGGCCAACCCACACAGATTCCTGATCTGTGCAGTGAGGCTGTTTCACAGGGTTATTATAAATGTAGACATCATCATGCTCACTGGAAACTCCAACTCTTAAACGTGTTGTTCAGCATGACACAGTTCAGCAAGGATCACCCAGATACCCATAATCCTCTTCCTCCTCCTCCTCTTTTTCTTCTTTTGGTGCAGTATTGAGATTAAAGTAAGGATCTTGCACTCTGGTTAGCTATTTGGCTTAAGGCTGATACGCTATCACTTAAGCCACATCTCCACTGCTGCTTTTTGCCAGTACATGGAGACAAGAGTCTCTTGGATTTGTGTGCCTAGGCTGGATTCAACTGGAGATCTTTACATATCAGCCTCCTGAGTAGATAGGATTTAAATATCAATCTTCATTCTTTAACTCCTTACCACATAATGCTTTTGTGCCTTTTAACTACTTCTGTATTGAAGGCATACTCATGATTCTATACTGTGATTCAATTATAAAAGGAAGGGTGGCTTCAGGACAAATTATGACTGAAAGCGGTTATTGACAAAGGAACAATTGTAGTATTAGGGCATAGCATAATCTGCCAAAGAAAGTCAACTAGCAAAAGAAAAAACAAAGCCAGATCCAGGTGGCTTGCATCTGGAATCCTAGCTACACAGAAGGCTGAGATTTGAGGATCATGGTTTGAAGCCAGCCTGGGCCAAAAAGTCTGTGAGACTCTTCTCTCCAATTAATCCCTAAAACCTAGAATTGAGCTATGGCTCAAGTAGTAGAGCACTAGTCTTGGGCAAAATTGCTCAGTGTTAGTGCCCAGACCCTGAGTTCAAGCCCTAGGACCAGCACCAAAACAAACCAAGAAAACAAAAAAGCAAAATCATAAGGTTCACAGAATTCAATGGTTGTTTTTTTTTTTAAGAAATGAATGCTAGCCACCTGTTTCCACATTTTAAAGAGGGAAAAACAATAGATCAATGCAAGGGTGATTGTTAAGAATGAGTAGCCTGATGATACTAAGAAATAATAATAATAAAAAACCCCCTCTAACCTGGAGACACTTTGTACCTCTCACCAGAGCAACAAGAATCCAACGCTGGAATTGCCACCAGCCTAACCAAAGCAGGTTTTAGAGAAGCTGTGTTACATAGTGGGCTGTCCCCAGGCCTCTCTTTCAGCACAGTACTGTCTTGGAATCAGCTAAGTGACAACTGGCATGCTCATCTGGAACACAATGTCCACTACAAGTCTTCAGACTCTGGGATTTTGATGGATTTCTTGCGTAGGGATTCCAAGGAAAAGGCGGTTGGGGAAACAGGTCTTGATTCTGGAATATGCTCCATTCTGTACTTTTCAATGTATGGTTCAGCCACTTCCCAAACCTGGAGAGCAAGGATAGAACAGAGTTGAGAGGGCCACAACCTTGTTTTCCTGTCCTATCAAACATGGACTTCACCCTAAGCGAAAACATCCTCTTCATCTGATTAAACACATAGTGACAGTTTGCTTGTACTTATTGGAAGCTACTTGACACATGATGTGTGTCAATTAGTTTCTGGGTGCATTAAAGGCTTTTTAAAAATACAAAGTTCACGGAGGTGGGGATGTGGTACAGTGGCAGAGCACTTGTGTAGAACTCACAAGCTTTAGGATCAATCTCAAAAAAAAATAGTGTGGAAGCTGGGGTGGTAGTGCATGGATATAATCCCTGCTATTGGGTAGGTTTAAGGCAGAAGGATTGTAACTTTGAGGCCTGCCTGGACAACTCAGTGAGACTCTGTCTCAGAATAAATATTTTCCAATAGGATAAGGATGCTGTGGTACAGTGTTTGCCGACTGCCACAGTCCAAATCTGTTCTAAGGTATTGTTTTCCCTTTCAAAGCAAAAGAAGCAAATGCACAAGAAACAGAACCTAGAAGATTCGGTATGCACAGAGTTAAGGATGCTTGGTTCAAGGGTCTGATATGATGGTGTGCTTTCTAAAGCAAGCCTTGAATGATAAAGGGCAACATGCTGGATTTCCCCAGGGCTTGATTTCCATGCCATAAGCGCTCTGTACTTATGAATGCTTGCCTCTTGCTGCTGAAGCGTGACCTGTGGTCTAGCCCTGTAAATCCTGCCTGGGATGAATCACAATCTCAGCATCCTTCCCCCCCGCAGCCATTTACCCTATCCCAGATCTACCGAATCCAAAGCTGCATTCTCTCAAGGTGGCCAGGAGAGTTACAAACACATTACACCTGAGGAACGTGCCCTGGACTCCTGGTTTTGTTTTGCTTTTGTATTTTCCCCACCTCTACCCATCAATCTCTTTTATTGAAGGCTTAATAAAAAAATAATAGTAAAATCCTCTCAAATTAAGTTTTTAGGATTAAAGTTGCTTTTTTTTTCTGTTGGCCCCTGCCACCCAGGGAGATCTTTCTTTCTCTCGGGACTTACCTCCGAGACTGTATGTTTTGACCAGCTAGCTCCTCCCACACCTTTCTATTAGCCCCAGAGTTGGCAGCAGATAAGTACCTTTTCTTCAACTGAGAGGTTAAGATCAAAGAGAAAATTGTTTCCCTTGAGCAGAGCAACATTCCTCAGAAGGCTGAGATCTGAGGATCATGGGTCAAAGTCAGCCCGGGCAGGAGAGTCTGTGAGACTTTTATCTCCAGTTAATGAGCAAAAATGTGGGAAGTAGAGCTGTTGCTCAAGTAATAGAGCACTAGCCCTGAGCAAAAAAGCTCAGGGCCAGTGCCAGGGGTGGGGAGGGGGGAATCAAGTGATTCTAGACAACATGATATAAATTATTTGAAAGGTTTAAGGTGCATGTGTGCGCATGTGTGCATGCACACACACAATACAAAAGATATTTTATCTTTTCATAGCATATAATATGCACTGTATATATAATGAACCGGCATACTAAGCACTCGTATCATTCAGTTAACTCTATGCTCATAAAATCAGAAGAAAGCCCATACCTCCCCCAGCCATATAGGGGACAGGCTACAGCAGAATATTAGGTGGACTCAAGGTCCTTTGGAGTAAAAATGCCTGGTAATTCCTTGTCCCCAGGTCTATGCAGGCATACACTTTGTGGTGGTACTGTGCTAATGTCACTAGGAGAAAGTACTTGTGAAAGAATGAGGCCATCTTGCAGAGAAGGAATCTGAGAAGCTTTCATTCATTTTCTCTCCAGGAATGCCTATTCCTAAATTCCAGCTACAACTCACTTCAACTTCCAACCCCTATCTAGGCAGTTAGACTTCTTAGTCACGTTGCTTTTGTACCTTTGTGTTTACTTCCAAGGACCCAGAAGGCAATAGACTATGGCAGCATTTCTTCACCCGATTCCCACTTTGATTTCCTATAATAACCCCAATCTAAGAATTAAGCAAGTAGCCATCTTGCCTTCTGCTCAAGTAGCAGCCTGTGTGCCGCCTCAATGTCCGGGGCCATGAAGCGATCTTTAATCCAGGGCCTACGAAGAAAGTATATCAATCATTCAGGTGAACACTGAGCTCTGTCAAGGTTCTTGGTTCTGATATGGTGTGACACCCAGGGACCTGTTGACTTTACCTTACAACAGAGCGCACCAGGTCGTAGACCTTCTCCAGTGGAGTGGTTGTTTTCAGGGGGCGTAGAAACTCTATGCCCTGGCAGGCTGCGAGAAGCTCGATGGCCAGCACTAAAACAAAAATGACAAGGCAGTAGTTGATTGAAGTCTGACTTCATGCTTGAGGAACAGAAAGCACACAAAGTTGCAGCTCTCGTTCACCAACCAACGGATCGCTAGTTCTCTATTGGTAGAAGAAAGACGCCTTGGTATCCTGGCGGCTCTTTGGATCTGTCTTTAATGGTAAGAAAGAGAAAATGGAGACATTTACCCTGGAAAGAATAACAAGCTCCCTAACCATCCTAGGAAGCTGTTCTTTAGGCTACCCTAGCAAAATCTTCCAGTTCCTCCCATTCAGATCCTCCAATCAAAGTTTGTTGGCAGGTTTGTAAATATGAGTAAGGAAGGAAGTCAGCTCAGTTCTGAAGCCCCAGCCCTCTTAACTAAGGTACTTTCTTGCTCATAATTTCCAACTCTGTGTACATGAAGTGAGGGCATTCCAGATCCACAATGGATTCTTCATCCTCTCCTCCTGTGACTTTCTATACTCACCAGAATTCATAATGTGCTTCACAGATTGAAAGACAAGACATCAAATAATTTTACACTTGATTTGAGTTCACCATGTATGTGGTTTAATCAACTTTAAGCTTCTAAAGTATTTCCTTGGAAGCTGGGTGCTGGCGGCTCACTCCTGTAATTCTAGCTACTCATGAGGCTGAGATCTGAGGACTGTGATTCAAAGCCAGCCAGGGCAGGAGTCCGTGAAACTCATATCTCCAATAAACTACCAGAAAACTTGAAGTGGCGTTGTAGCTCAAGTGGTAGAGTGCTAGCCTTGAGCTGAAGAGCTGAGAGCACTCAGGCCCAGAGTTCAAGCCCCATGACACCCCTCTTCCCCCCCCCCCACAAATTTCCTTGGCAAATAATGGAATCCAGAGTGGTTCAATCTTATCTTAAAAATTCTTTTTTTTATAATCTTAAAAATTCTTAATTGCTTAGTATCAAATGTAGAGAAATGTCCATTTTAATAGTCAAGTATATTGCAAGGTATGGTACATTTAATAAAAGTTTTTTTTTAAAGCAAAGGAAGACTATCTAGGTTGCTCTATGGGGAAACAACAGTTGACAAGGTACTAAGTTCTAGAATTTCAGTTCTAGTGGATTTAATGACATGAAATGGTCATTACAGAATTAGTTCCATGGTAATCAGACATCCTTGCTCATTCATTGGCTCATTCCAACTTTAAATGAGGGCAGGTCTCTCAAGCCAAAGGGAATATCAGGTCTAAAAACAACTCACAATTTACATAAAGGTAGAAATAGGAAACAGTTACTTACCTAAAACTAAAGTTGGGCAGGAGTTTGTAAGGGAGAAAAGATTTTTTTTTCACCTACAGCCACTTAGATGATTGTAGTAAATCATAATAAATTGGCAGATTAACTACCTCATTGGCCAACTTCAGGGGCACTATCATATCTGACTCAAATCACACTCTTAAGTTACAGAAATTACATTCTGAGACAGCTGGGACAGGGGCACATAGAAAACGGTCCTGTACATGGAGTTGTAATGAGGCATAAGATGGGGACAGGGGTGGGGTGGGGTGGAGAGACTTGAACCCATTACCTGGGATTAAACCCCAGCACTGGTATTAAAGCTTTCTGGTACATTACATTACAGGAACCTGTGCTTTGGGTATCTGATCTACAAAATGGAACAACAGTCCATACATTCTGGGGTAATGGTGCAGATTAAAGGAGTTATAAGGTTGCCCACAGAGAATTCTCAATGTGTTAGTAATATGTTGCAACCTCAAAAGAGGGCAATCTGACAGATTATGCCAGAGACAGAAAAGACTGAGAGGTAAATATCTACAAGAGAAATATTAAATCCCCAGGTTACCACATCTGTGACCGTTTGCTCTCCATAGCCAGCAGTTTCCCCTAAACTCCCTAAACTCATTTACTGGGACTCAAAAACTGCACACTTCATTATTATGAATACAAAGTGTGCACTGCATTTTTATTTAGCTGGATGCTTTTTCTGTGGCTTTTATTTTGAACTAAGCTGATACCTTGTGGCCTAATAGCCACTTCAACCATCCAAGATTTTTGTTTTGTTTTGTTTTTGTTTTGCTTTTTGGTGGTAATGGGGCTTGAACTCAGGGCCCTTACACTTGCAGTGCAGGTGCTCTACCACTTAAGCCAAGCTCCCAGTCTCTAAGATATTTTTTAATGCATTGAAAATATCCAAAGAATCATGGAAACATCTTCCCCCCTTACATAATTAATTCTTTTCATCTTAACAGCGTAACTCACACGAAATAACCATGCTGAACAAATAAATAACGTTACAACGTAGATATAGTGCAAATATATGTTTGACTCAGATACACTGCAAATATATTCCCAAGTTCTAAAATTTGGATTCTACTTATTTTTATCTTCTTAGGGGGCTAATTTATACCTGTGTTTCTCCCGAGCTTTTGGGTATCTGTTGTTGGATGTCCTCTTGTGAGGATCTTCAACTCAATTTATTTTGTGCCACTGTCTTCCTTTTCCTTGCAAAATTAGTACTCTGTGTGGCGTGTGTGTGTGTGTGTGTGTGTGTGTGTGTGTGTGTGTGTGTGTGTGTGTGTGTGTTGTTCAAGCCTTTACCTAAGACTTCCCTTTGGAAATGCCTTTCTGGTCCCTCCATACTAGATCTGACTTAGTTATATTCTCTTCTACTTCATTCCTTAAAATTTTATCAAGTGCTATAGAGTTACCAAGTTGTCATACAACCTCTGCTTCTCTGTCTAGACTTTAGTGTCCATGAAAACAGAAGCCAAGCACCTCTGATCTCATTCCCTGTTCAATCCACTGGGATCAAATGGTAGATGCCCTTCTGCCCCAGCTTGGTGGATTAAGTCTCATGAAGCTCCCATATTCATTACCAATACTATAAACAATCACTAGTTGCTAGGATAAACAGGTTCTTCATCTTATACTTTATAGCTACTGGATTCCAAGATTTAAATATCTGTAACCAAAGCAAAAGTGGGTAATGAATATGGCAATTGTTTTTAATCGTTTGTTGCCAACTGCACTCTCCTGATATAAATGAAGAGAACAACACGTCATGAATCAGATCTATCTATCATCTTGATGTACAAACATTTGTCACACAAACATTTGATCAACAAGTTTGTGCCAGGTCCTGTTCATATGTTTCAGGCCCATTGAAAGTTGTGATTAAGACAGATAAGATCCCTGACTTTATGTTGGGGCATCTGTGGCTCTCATCTATAATCTGAACTACACGGGAGGCTGAGATCTAATGATAACTGTTGAAAACCAGCTTGGGCAGAAAAGTCTGTGAAACTCTTATCTCCAATAAACTGCCCAAAAGCCAAATGTGGAGCTGTGGCTCAAGTGGTAGAGCACTAACCTTGAGTATAAAAGCTCAGTATCTAGGCCCTGAATTCACACCCTAGACCAGTAAAACTTCTAGGTCAGCAAAGCTCAGGAGCTTCCCGGGGAAAGGAGTGGGAAGACCTTGTAGTTACATAGAGAAGATACATGCTATACCGAGAGCAGGTGGCTCACGCCTGTAATCTTAATTACTCAGGAGGCTGAGCTCTGAGGATTGTGGCTCAAAGCCTTCCCAGGCAGGAAACTCCATGAGACTCCAATCTCCAATTAACCACCAGGAAACAAAAGTGGTGCTGTGGCTCAAAGTGGTAGAGTGCTAACCTTGAGTAAAAAAGCTCAGGAAGAGTTTCCAGGCCTTGAGTTCTAAATTGATTGTGGTGATCATAACATAATTCTGTGAACATATGAAAATCACCAGACTATACAATTTAAATGAATGTTAGCCTCATATGATGGTGCATGCTTGTAATTTCAGTATTTGAGAGGTGGAGGCAGGAGGACTGAGAATTCAGTTAGAGCCAGGGCTGCAAAACAAGTCCTCATCTCAAAACAAATAAACAAAAAACAACCAAGTGAATTGTATCTTGAAATAGCTGCTTCAAAGCAAAGAAATGACATATTTCTCTTAAAATGGTGATATTCTTCATTCCGCAATATTTATGCATTGTTCTTAGACATACTCAGAAACCCAGAGGACCATGTTTAAAGGAAGTCAAGTTCTCTTTCCTTCAAGACAAAAACAAAACAAAAAAACAAACAAACAAAAAAAACACAAGCAACAAAGAAGTCAAAGGGAAAGGGAATTAGTGCAACTCTCTTCGAAAAAAAAATGCTTTTGTCAAACAGTTGAATCTACATCTTATCAAGTCCATCGTCCATTTCAATCTATGAGAAATACTCAGAACAAAATATAAATTAAAAGTGACACAAGAAAGGCAGATGCTGATGGCTCAAGCCTGTAATCCTAGCTAATCAATTGAGGTTCTCAGGAATGGTAGTTTGAAGCTAATCCAGGAAGAAAAATGTGAGACTCCGTCTCCAAAAAAAAGTAGCAAAAAGCATAGCTGGAGGTATGGTAGTAGAGCACTTGTTGAGCAAATAAAGGAGCAAGCTGATCAGGGGAAAAAAAAGAAGTGACAGGAAGAACTTATTATTCCAGAATGTCAGTTTGCTTATAAAACCAAAAAAAAAAACTTTGATTTTCAACTAGTCAAATAGTTTCAGTTTGAACCTTGCTGACTTTCTTTTTGGCTGGGGAGAAGAAACTTGGCCATTTACGTCCTTGCTCCTTAGGAGTGTAGAACTCCTAGGACTTGGGTCAACAATATGGCATTACCTGGGGGGGAGAGGGAGGAAAAAAAGTCTGGGACTGTTCTAAATGAAAAGCATCATTATAATCAAAGCATCATTATAATCAAATTTTGAAAAGAGGCTTCAAGATGGGTGCTTATGGCTCATAGATTCTTAGCTGCTCAGGATTCTGAGATCTGAGGATCCCAATTCAAAGCCAGCCTGAGCAAAAAAGTCTCTGAGACTTTTATCTTCAATTAACTAGCAAAAATCTGGAAGTGGAGATGTGATTCAAGTGTAAAAGCCAAGAAAGAGCTGGAGGCTCAGATTTCAAGTTGTGGAAATAATGCACTCAGGCACATGTGTGTGTCACACACACACACACACACACACACACACACACACACACACACAGTTAAGTTTGAATCCTGATTTGACCCAACCCACTGCAAAGGACTCAATGTGGAATTTTGTTGGGTGTAGTAATGGAGCCCTGTTAAAAAAGAAAACACAAGTATTGAAGACAGAAAAGTAGGTAGGGGCTATTGGGAATTTGATTCAAATAATTTGGAGGGAATAAAAGGTGAATTAGGATGAGGTGTAGGAGGTTGCTGGTACCCTCCTCCCCAATTCTCAGTGTGTTTTGAAAAAACAATTTTCATTAAAAAAGTAAAAGGGCGGGGGGAAGCCAGCCAAGTGTGCCAGTTTAGCTTTTCATAATCCCCAATTCTTAGTCCTCAGCAAGCATCCGAAAGGCCTGGCAGACTTGCTCTGCTCCCCTCCCTAAGGTTTCTAGCTCAGACTTGGGAGGAGGCCCAAGAACCTGTCTTTTGAATGAGAATCCCAGAAATGGGGTGAGACAGGAAGGTCCTCCATCCCTGCCTCACTGGCTTTACCTTGTTCCGCGTGCTCCACCACTCTGAGGGCCTTCCTGGCTGCCCATCCTCCCATGGAGACGTGGTCCTCGGTGGCAGCGCTGGTGGAGAGCGAGTCCACGGACGAGGGGTGGCACAGAGCCTTGCTCTCTGAAACTACAGGAGACCATAGCAAGTTAGGGAGCCCTGGGGGCTGGATGAGCATTTCTAGCTTCTTTCTGTCCAGGAGCTCTGGACTGGACCCAAGCCCCTTTTCCTTTGGGGAAAAGGAAGCAGGTTGATCTCCTTCCCTCTCTGTCCCCTAAGTAAGAAGGGCTGCAACGTTCTATGAGCTCTGACATCAACCAGGGCTGAGGATCTGAAGTCTTCTGATTACACACGGGAGACATTAGACACATTCAGCATGCTGGGGGAGATTGGGAAAGAGAAGCCATCCTGGATGTGCAGCCGGTAGTCAGGAACAACTTGCTTACGTAGGCGAAATGGTGGGATTTGAATTCAGGTGTGACATTGGAGGACTGAGGCCAGAGCTAGAGTCAGCAAGATTTAGCAATTCACACTGTCCAGCACAAGTAGGCGTTTCATGTTTAAGCAAGGGCTTGTGATCATGACCAGAGATCTTACACCGAGACCTCTCGGATTTGACTATGTATATCAATGTCTCAGACATCTTCTTATACTGCCTTACTGATCTTGAGGTGGGGCCTGAGAGCCCATCCTTCTAATTAGCACTCAGGTGATATCATATTGTTGGTTGAAGACTTTAAGTAGCAAGGACTCTAGAATGACAAGTTCTTTCTCCTCTGCTTCAGAAGACTGCAAGGTTCACACTCAAAAGTCTTTTCTCCTCTTCCATCGACCTTGGGTTCAGTTTGGTACTTTTCTGTGCCATCCAGGACTCAGGTTGAAACTAGGGTGATCAGGTGGTTGTGGGTAGTCCAGTATTTGATAAATTCTGGCATTATAAGTCCCAAGTTCTGTGGTCCTAAGCTGAGGGTTATAATAACCAGCACCCTGTAGAGTAAGATGGCTCTTTCTCTGTTGAAGAAACATCTTAATAAATAAACAACTGGGCAAGCAGAATATACTGGACCAGAAAAGAAAGTGAATATCAAGTGGTTCTCTGGTAATTCTTTGAGTTGGGGGTCTAGTGAGATGTTAAGGTGAGAAAAGGTATAAGAATAATATTATTAATAATAATCAGTACCTATTGAGTGCTCATGATGTACTAGGCACAGTTCCAAAGGATGTATTGATTTTATTTAATCCCCCAAATAGCCCCAGTAGATAAATTTACCATCATCATTTTACACAGGGGTTAACTGAGCATCAATAGGATTAAGAAACTTCATATGGAAATGTCAAAATGAAACTCCTTAATTTGTTCAATTAATATACGCTAAGTGAAAAACAAGCAGGGACCTGATGTGATAGTGTTAGTCAATAGCAGAACTGGATTCAAATCCAGCCCGATGCTTTCAATTAACCACCTGCCATGCTGTCCTGCCTTTTGAGGAAGGATCGTTGAAGAAAATGTAGGATGCCTAGATGAATTTGGATTTCTGAGAGAAAAAAAAATCTACCTAAGTCATTTTCTAGTAATTTTTATTGTCCCAGATAATTCAAATGTAACTGGCTTCCTGTATTTTTCCTTATTAAGCTTGGCAACACTGTTATAAGACCAAGTACTGATTATAGTGAGCGCCTCAGTCACTGACGTGAGAGTATAGGTTTGGGAGCCAAATTGTCTGAGTTTGAATTCAGTTCTACATCTGACTGGTTGTGCAATATTAAGTAAATCAATGGCTTTCACAGGTCAAGTATTCTTCTGTAAGTCAAGATAGAATAGCACCTCTCTCCTGGTATCTGTTGTCATGATTAGGTGAGTAAGCACAAGCCATACTCTTTCTTTGTGTCTGACACTGTTCTGATCCTTACTTATGTATCCCTGGAAACTCTGATTCAGAAATCAGCTATGGTGAACTGCATATTGCTATTTATTGACTCATATTGGGGTTTGAACTTGTGAGGTAAGTTATCATTTGAGCCACATCCCTAACCCTTTTTCCTTTCGTTATTTAATTTTCTTCACACAGTCTCATGTTTTGTGCTCAGATTTTCCTACTTACACTTCTTGGGATTACAAATGTGTACCAAGCCCAGATTGTTCTGTAAGACAGATCTTGCTAACTCCCACTCTAACCCCTGAGCGTTGAATAATTCCCTTATCTCTACTTTCTATGCATGACCAGCCACACCTGGTTAGCATATTGCTTCTCATAAACATTTTTCATATGTTGCAATAACATCTTTTTTTTTTTTACTTATAGGTATATTTATCAGAATGTCTTCAAAGTTTAATTGTTCAGGCTGGTTCATAAGCATTTTTGTTTTTTCCCTTTTAATAACTTTCACATTGAGTTAATTGAGTTAGGAAAACAAACTATAAAGATGAAGTCCACACACAGCTGGGTGGTCTGTGTGTGTAATCCAGCCTGGGCAGGAAAGTCCGTGAAGCCTCATCTCCAATTAATCAGAGAAATGCTTAACTGGAGGGATGGCCCAAGCAGTAAAGTGTCAGAGACAGGAACAAGAATGCTAAGTGAATGCTTTGAGTTCAGGCTCTAGTACTGGCACAAAAAAGAAAGAAAGAAAGAAAGAGAGAGAGAGAGAGAGAGAGAAGGAAAAGAAAGGATGAAGTCCCTATACATCGTTAAATTGCTTTCCAAAGAACCATTGTCCATTTACAACCTCATAATTGTATTGTAATTTTTCACTATTGTTGAGGGTTTTTTTCCTCCCCCCTGAAACATGTTAAAAGGGTCATCCTGCTCCATTAGTACTGACGGAGGTAAGAGGGTAAAAATAAAAGTGGAGATCTCATTCAAAGTCAAAACCAGACCGGCCTTTAGCTAGACAGCCTTGTGTTGTGGGAGGAGGGAGAGGCTCTTACCGAGGGCCGCTGCTGTGCAGTGGGCTATCATAAACCCAGAGTTGAGGCCGCCTTCAGCCACCAGGAAGGCTGGCAGCTCACTGAGGGAAGGATTACAGAGCCTTTCGATTCTTCTCTCACTAATTGCAGCTAGCTCATGGACACCAATGGCCAAGTAGTCCAGGGCCTGAAAGAATGCTTCAGTTTAGTTGGCCTATCTTGGATTATGCATTCAGGACCAAGCACATTTTTGAAAAGCTTACTTTGGCTGGGTATTCACCATGGAAGTTTCCTCCAGAAATAGTTTCTCCTCTACTGGCGAAGACCATCTTTCAAAACAGGTTAAGGCTTACTGGCCACTTCAAGTGTTGGCCCTGCCCCACCTGCTTGTTTTGCATAGTGAAGTGGCATTCCTTGTACAGACATGGGGAGGGAAAGGGATGGGTCTTTCCCTAAGTAGTCGTCGGCATAAAGAAGCCCAAAGTAAAAAACAAAATTAAAAATTAAAGGTAAATATATACACCCAAATGGAGACTGATGGAGCACGGAACATGAATTACTGTTTACTCTTCAGATTAGTGATCCCCAAGTACCTTAACTATACTAACCTGGTGATTAGCACCGGAACTCCCAAGTACCGGAACATCTGTTTGAAGGCAAGTTTTGTTGCTTCATTGGGCACTCTGAGTTTGTGCTCCAAAGAAGAATTTGTCAAATAGAAGATGGTGTCTGGTGAATAGCCATTATAATGTCAGGGAATAAGCAATGCTGGGAACATTTTCAGAGTCTGCTCAGTGATCCTGTACAGCATTCAAGGATAGATGAGGGCTGGGAAGGTGGCTCAGTGGTAGAGCGCTTGCCTTGCATGCCTGAGGCCCTGGGTTTGATTCCTCAGCACCACATAAGCAAAAAGAAAAAAGCCGGAAGTGGTGCTGTGGCTCAAGTGGTAGAGTGCTAGCCTTGAGCTGAAGAGCTGAGGGACAGCGCCCAGGCCCAGAGTTCAGGCCCCACGAACAGACCCCCCCCACAAAAAAAAAGGATAAATGAAAGTCACCAAGTTCTCACAAGTTCATTTAAGTAGGAGGCAAATTTAGACTCACTGAGATAATTTTAGACTCAATGATAATCCTCGTCTATCTTAACCTTTACTTAAACCAGCAGGCACCCAGGCAAAGGCAGTAACGGAACCTTCTTCCTGGTTCCAAAAAAATGCTAGTTTTAATTTATTGGTCTAAAGAAGAATTGACTTTCTATAGCCATGGATTTTACATTCATGGCTTCAACCAATGTGAGTTTGAAAACATTCAAGAAAAAAATGTGTCTGTACTGGACATTAAATTCCTTAAGTAATATAGTATAATAACTACTTCCATAGCATTTGTAATATATTAGGTATGACAAGCAATCTAGAGATGACTTAAAGTGTATGGGAAGAAGTGCACAGATTACCTGCAAATACTATAGCATTAAGGAATCAAATTCTCCATCCTTATGAAATGGAAGCATTCATGCTATGCTTTGTACAAATAGGGAAATGCTGACTGGAGTCGAGTTCATGTCAGAAATAAAACTTTGGATGAGGAAGATCTCTCTAAACACTTTTGTAAGCATTGGAATGTTGCAGGGAGGCTGCATAAATAGAGGCCAACCCACCAGGCTTCCTTCAGTCCCATTTGTGACTCTACTGCCAACCTTAGCAGTGGGTCAGTGTCTTCTTGAATCTCTTCAACCAATTCGGGAGATGCCTCTTTTAATCTTCCATGGGTCACTTTTGAAAACATAACATACTGGATTCAGAACCACAGAGCTGGTTCACAGGTCTGCTTATCAAGAGAGTTACTTAGCCTAGGCTTCAAAGACTAATTCATGGAAAAACAGAACTGAGATGCTAAGAAAAAAAAAAAAGATTACCTTGCCAAATCCTAATGTGACCAGCTAGAATTGCATCACTGCAAGTGAGTAGACATTCAAAGGATACAGGATTATCTGTTGCACTGTTCAGTTCTGTGGTAATGATGTCCTTCACAAATGCTATTGTGTCATTCACCACCCCATGGACCTAAAACACAGCCCAAACAAAGATATATGACTAATTGAGTCTGGTAAAGATGACAACATTCTTAGCAGATAACATCTTCAGTCTTTCTCCAGAAATTGCTTTGCAATTAGGACCACAAAGAGTATATTTAACTCATTTAAGAATACAAAGATAATTTCAATGAATTTCCTAGATTCTCATTAACACAAATTTGAATAAATTCATTATAATCTGAATTAGATTGGAATTAGATTAGAACAGGACTTGCTATTTTAGATAGATAGATAGATACGTGGGTGGATAGATATGTAGATAGAAAGAAGCATAGACAGATATAATATATCCTCTCCAATTTTCTGTCATACTCTAGGTTAGAAGCTGGCGTACGTTGATACTTTGTTCCTTGGGATACCTTTTGGGAAGGGTGTGATACTGCACTTGATCTTAGGACCTTGTGCTCTCATTTATCTTTCTTACTCACTGTTGTTTTACCACTTAAGCCATACCTCCACCCAGCTTTTTGCTGGCTAAATGGAGATAAAGTCTTTCCAATTTTTCTGCCCAGCTGACTTTGAATGTTGATCCTCATATTTCGGCTCCCTGAGTAGCTAGGATTCCATGCACAAACTATACCAGTACCTGGCCTTGGGATAGCTTTTAATCTTTCCATCAGTCCACATAATCAAATAGTATACAAAATGGATGCCGAACATCAATTCAGCTTGCCTACATTTTAAAAAAAATTTTGGGTGTTGGTCCTGGGGCTTGAACTTAGGGCCTGGACACTATCTCTGAGTATTTTTTGCTTAAGGCTACTCTCTCCCACTTGAGCCACAGCTCCACTTCTAGCTTTTTGGTGGTTAATTGGAGATGACCATTTCATGGGTTTTCCTGCCTGGGCTTGCTTCAAACTATGATTCTCAGATTTCAGCCTCTTGAGTAGCTAGGATCATAGGCATGACCCACCAGCATCCAGCTTACCTGCATTTTTATATGAATTAAGCCTCACAGGTTAGCTGATAGTAATTTATATCTGATAAAAGTGCAGGCATAGATAGACACCAGAATTTTGAAAGATAGAATGAGACTGTCCTGGAATATCCCTGATGGCTGGCTCTGTTTTATCAATAGGGATAACTAGCAGGACTCTCAACCCTAGCCTTTGCAATAAACCAACATAGAGAGTTGTCTGTGGGACCCTATAGGAGGTTAAGCAAACCAATTCAAAAGAAAAGAAATAATTTGGCATATAGAGTAGAAAGTTTTTAATAACTGAAGGAGTAGAGGTACCTAATTTTAATACAGGCATGAAAGAAAACTGGATTATAATTGGCCATATCATGATTTTCTAACACTTTCCATATATATATATATATATATATATATATATGTACATACACACATGTATATGTATATATGAGGAAAGTGTTAAAATATATATGTGTATATATGTTAAAATATATATGTTTCCCCTCTGAACTTGGCAAAGAACTGCTGTTGTTGGTTTTCTTATTCCCTGTTTTTACCTGGGGACAGCAGCGTAAGGTGTACGCATCCTGAACACGATCGCAGAACCTGTGGCTCTCTGTGGAACAGTGGGAAGATAACATGGAACAAATTACCAACCTTCCCACAGAACACAGAACCAAATGAATTCACTCATATAAACATGGTCAGACCTGCAATTTCTGATGGGTGATGATCTGAGTCCAAGAGCGACCGGAACCGAAAAGCAACTTCAATCTGCCCACGCTGAGGGCGGACGGCATGAATGTCTAGCATTGAGGGAAGAAAGGTCTCAGAAATCCTGATATTAAGGTGAACTACTGTTAGAAGACCAGCCAAGATTCTGACACAGGCTTCAAAAGTCTCAGGGGCCCCTAATCCACCACTCAGAATTGAAACATAATTCCTTCTTGACTATATTCTTTCTACTTCAATTAGCTGAGTGCATACTGTGTGTTTCATACACTAGGACTTGAACTTGAGACATCAAACTTACCCTTGAAGGAACTGGACTGAGGCTAGCTCAGATAGTGACCTAATTAAATTCATTTTTGAAATAGCTTTCTACCCTACTTCTTACAGTACTGGGTCTTAATAAGCTACCTCTATAGTTTCCTTCCCCCCCCCCCCTTTCCTAATCAGGACAATTCTAATCTTACTCTAGGTACCAAGTCCTGCAAAGAGACTTCTAAAACAGTACTGTACTTGACAGGACCAGATTGAGAAGTGATCTGTAGCAGGTCATCCGCTTCTCAAGGTCAGTGGATGTCTGTCATATGGTTGTTGGCAGAATAAAGTGTGGCAGAACTTGATAGATGTAGCTGTACTGGTACTGGGCAAGCCATGGATTCCCAGGTTGTCTCTTTCTTCTCCACCACCTACCCCCGCCACCACCACTCCTGTGCCTAAGGATCTCAATCGACTGCTCACCAACTCTGGATGAATGGACAAATGCACAGAAGCCCCGTGCTGACCTGTATCGAAGGCTTTGGTGGTGCCCTTCAGCACCTCAAGGGTCAGGGCTGCCACAATGTCAGCCTGCCGGGCAATGGCACTGGCTCTCTCCACAGCTTCACAGCCCAAAGAGGTGATCATCTGTGTCCCATTGATTAGTGCCAGGCCCTTTGGGAAGAGAGAGAAAAGTTGTCTACCGTATTTATTGTAATTAACCTACCTACAAGTGGATTTCATGCCTTTTGCTTTTGTAAGAGAAAAAGCAGCCATTCAGCGGAACTAGGGCTAGCCTGTTTTCTCAAGTACAGGGAAGTGGGCGCACGTGAGGAGCAATGCTCTGATAATGGAGTTACTAATACAGATCTGGAAAATGCATGTCTTGAAGAATGTCTCTGTTCTCAGGGCAGCCATGTAACTGGAGAGCAGCTTACACAGGCAATCTTTAATTACTCCACTTCCTTTCTTCTTTATTTTCTCCCCACTATACACAAGACATTCTAAAACAATCTGGTCAATACTTTGTGGTGTGGGGCTTTTTATTTTTATTTTATTGCTGGTACTGGACTTAAACTCTGCCTGGGCACTGTCCCTTAGCATTTTTTACTCAATGCTGATGCTCTACCACTTGAGCCATGGCTCTACTTCTGTCTTTCTGCTCGCTAATTGGAGATGAAAATCTCACAGACTTTTCTGTCCAAACTGGCTTCAAGCCACAGTCCTCAGATCTCAGCCTTTTGAATAGCTTGGATTATAGACATGAACCACCAGCTGACTGGAACATCTTAGTGGCCCTCGGCGGAGAATAGCTTGCTGCGCTCCTCAGAGAACTGGATTTGAAGGTTCAGTTCCTAAGAGAGCCTCCAAGCATTTGTGCCATGAAGAATCTTTGAAATGCTCATGGAAAGGGCCTTTGTTCAGTGAGCAACTTTCTATAAACATTTAAGTCACTTTTGTGTCAAGAATGTAGTAAGACTGTTAAGAATGAAAATAGTACATGAATAAAGACTTCAAAATGTACCAAAATTTTCTTGAATTTCTTTACCTCTTTTGGTTTTAAAACAACTGGTTTCAACCCATGAGCTTCTAGGACCTGTAGAATGATTTTTTAAACAAAATATAAAAATTAGTATCAAATGTTATACTAACCCATTTCTGATTCCTGTGTCATTTAATTAAAGATTTTCTAAGCCAAATGGCCATCTTATAAAAGATTAGAACCACATACATTGATTCTGATCATTTTCTAAAGTCAGAAAGCATATTTAGTTTTCAAATAATGCTTGGGCTTAATCCAGGGCTCGTCTTCTACAGAATCAATCTCAGTTTTGAGTTCCTTTACATTCAGTTTCCACTTTCGTGACTCACCTCTCTGATTGCTAGTTCTTGACACACCTGTGGCTAGATTAAGGCTAGGTTCCTAGCTGACTCTAGAGCTTGACTTAGAAAAGTCATCCACCCTGGTATCTGCTTTTTCTATCACTGGCAGAACTGTGGACCAAGGCTTTCAGGGCAAATGGGCACACCAACAAAAAGGGTAGGGGCTACAGAAACCCCTCAACTGGGTTGAGTGAGAATCCTGAGGGGAAAGAGGCAGTAGAGTCTTCTTCTGAAACAAAAGAGGTTTAAATGAAAAAGAGACTCTATATTAAGGTTCCTCTAGCAAAGAAGGAAAGAGGAGTTACAGTAAGAGAAAGACAGAACGAGTCCCTCTTCACTATGTCCATTTCTCAGGGGGATTTAAGTAACTATCACTTACCAGTTTGTCTTTGGGGTGTTAGGGTGAGGCTGAGGGTGGGAGGAAGGGAGACAGAGGAATCCTATGTTGCAAGACTGAGGGTGAAGGAGGTGTGTTGGGCACAAATAGGAAAATAATCACATAAGCTGCTCAGAGATCGTGAAGGGATTTGGGGGGAGGACAGGGTCAGGAAAAGGCCCAAAGGAGCAAGCAGCACAACTAGAGGACTTTTCAGAAGGAAAGAAAAGCAAGGCAAGAAGAATGTGCTCACTCTGGGCTCTCTGCCCAGCCATCAGCAACCCCCAGATTCTATACTGGAGAGCTGTGGACAGGCAAAGACAACTCTTCGCCACATTAAGTCTGCACTTCATGCTGAGGACAATGGGAAACATTTCAGAACACGCCTGGATTTGCCATTGACTCAGGTCAGGCTGAATGCTGTGTGAAGGTGGTTGGGAAAACACTGTCGATAGAGAAATGATCAAAATCAGGCTGCAGGACAGAAAGATGATCAGGGAGGCTGTCCCTCTAGAAGATGACCTAGTCCTTGAACTTTTTCTCCTCCTTGGCCCTCTGCCTCTTTCACTTCCATTAGGGGTCCTCTAGCACGTAATTCTGATACTTTATGTGATGCTTTGGGACCGGGAATTTGGAGGTTAAAGAAAAACATTAAAACTTTATCACAACATTTCTGATTAGCTACCAGGGAAGAGCATGAAGAAGCTGCTTTTCAGAGAAGACAGAGAGAATGCTAGGAACCACAGCTCTGCACAGGTTAAGACCAGTTCCTAAATCCAATTTGGACAGTGTGAAACCCCTCCCCCAACATGCCCACTGGCAGTTGATAGGTGCCAGATCAATTCCTGGGATTCACACTCCCAGTCGTACCTTTGCACTGAGGTGATACAAAAATCCTGGAGGTTGGTAGTCAAGTATATGCAAGATGATCACCTTGCCTAGTTTGACTTCCAAGCTCCAGTTGTCTCATTTCTAGCTTAAGGATAGGAGTGGCTCCCTCATTGGGATGTTATAACTATTCAGAGACATAACGCATGCACTAATATGTGGGGCCCAGCCTAGGAACGTCACCATCATCTGATCAAGTGGTTATGAAAGTCTTACATATTTCGCATCAGCCCAGCCACTCTTTGGGGACCACATCTTCCCTTCTCCAATTAACCCAAGCGCAAGATGAGCGAGCGGGGCAAGGTCTCCACTGGCACCAACAGTTCCTTTCTCTGGAACGTACGACAGGCAGGAGGCTACGGGAGAAGTAGAAGTAGGTACCAATTACCTCTAGACTACTTATGTCAGTGTGGTTACTTGCTTTGAGTATGAACACTTTCTCCCTCTCCCTCCCTCCTACCAGCAATAGCACCATTCTGTGCTGTAAATACCCGAGGCAGGACAATTCCTAAAGCACATTATTGTTTAAAAGTTCCAGCTGAGCTCCATGGGTAGAAAGAGAGAGGAATGGATGGAGAAGGGGAAAGAGGAAGGAAGGAAGGAAGGAGGGAAGGAAGGAAGGAAGGAAGGAAGGAAGGAAGGAAGGAAGAAAGAAAGGAAGGAAGGAAGAAAGAAAGGAAGGAAGGAAAGAAGCAAGCAACCAAACAAGCAGGAAGAATAAGGAAAGGAAAGAAAGGAGAGAGGGAGGAAAGAAGGATGGAAGTGAGGGAAGGAGAGAGGAAAGGAAGAATGGAAAGGAGGGTGAGAGGGACAAAGGTATGAAACAAGCAAGCAAGTATGGAAGGAAGGAATGGAAGGATGGAGGGAAGGAAGGAGGAACAAATTAAGAAAAAAGGAGGACCTCTCCCTCCAAGTAGCAAAGACTGTAATCTGATCAATACTTCCATTTCTAGAAATTCTAGCTATGTACTTCAAAGCCATAATCAGGACCCAGCTGATGCTCATTACAGCCTTGTTTAGAAGAACATACAGTTAGAAATTATCTAGATATGGAATTAAGGGTCATTTGTGCAACCAAATCATATGATTTTGTCATTAGCAAATGTCTGAAAACAGGTAAATATTGACCATTTAAAAGTAACGTGAGATGGGCTGGGAGGGTGGCTCAGTGGTACAGTGTTTGCCTCACACCCATGAGGCCCTGGGTTTGATTCCTCAGCACCACATAAGCAGAAAAAGCTGGAAGTGGAGCTGCGGCTCAAGTGGTAGAGCGCTCGCCTTGAGCTGAAGAGCTGAGGGACAGCGCCCAGGCCCAGAGTTCAAGCCCCACGACTGACCAAAATAATAATAATAATAATGTGAAATACTTGAGAAGAACATGGCGCACTGAAGTGTTAACACCAGTTCTCTGGGGGTGGTGAGTTCATAGGCAATTTGGTCTCACTATTATTGTTTGTTTGTTTGCCTGTCATTCAGTTAGTCACTTATCACCACTTTTAAGTGACTATGAACTGTTTTATTGAATTTCCCCTGAAAAGTTACCAAAAAAATGTTTCTAAAATGAAATCAGACTCCTGATAGTGATGTTTTTCCCAACTGTTAAGTAGTGTTAATAGATTGGGCATGGTGGTGCACACCTTGTAAGAACCAGCTCTTGGAAGGTGGACAGGAAGACTGAAAGTTTGAGGCCAGTCTGGGGTATATAGTAAGACCCTATCAATAATAGTAATAGTAGTAGTAGTAGTAGTAGTAGTGATGATGTTGATGATGATGATGATGATGATGGTTTGAGTAGTATAAAGCAGCTTCATCTATGCACAGGCCAGCTTCCAGACCACAGTTTACTTTGGGGTATTCTCAGCATAATAGGGAATATAGACTCACCATCAAAGCACAGGGGAGTTCAAGGTTGGAGTTGTACTGTCTGGGATTTAAGGCTTATAGAAGGACAGACTGGGTTGGATGTGCAGCACAGCTCTATCAAGACTGTAGGCTTATATTCAAACTTCACTGGTTGGCCAATCACATGTATGAGTCACGTATGTGCCTATAGCATCTGGAGTGTGTGTGTGTGTGTGAGTGCGAGTGCACATGTGCATGTGTGTTACCAGTCATGGGACTTGAACTCAGGGCCTGGTTGCTGTCCCTGAGTTTTTCAGCTCAAGGCTAGCCCTCTACCACTTTGGACCACAGCACCACTTTTAGTTTTCTGGTGGTTAATTGGAGATAAGGGTCTCACTGAGTTTCCTGTCTGGGCTGGCTTCAAACCACAATCCTCAGAGCTCAGCCTCTTGAGTAGCTAGGATTACAGGCATGAGCCACTGGTGCTCAGTATAATGTGTGTCTTGTCTATGCTGCTGCAAGGCCCTGCTTCTCTTCCCACTCCTTTACCCATGAAGCTCCTGAGCTAGAAGTTTTATCCTTATCTTTGAGAAACAAACAGTGCTTCCCAACCCTTGTCAATCTCTCCTCTTCTAAGAAGAAAGCTCCAGAGTTGAGTTGTATAATGTCCCACCACAAGAATGATTTTATAATTAAGCAAATAATTAACCTCATTATACATTCCACTTTTGTAAGAATTTGGATTTCAGGGTGTGAGTCTAGCTGGTCTATCAGCTAGCAGGCAGCCAGACATACAAAACTAGGCTTCAATATAGATGCCACCCAGCAATCCTTTCATTCTCTACCTACTATGGGGCAATTTCCCTAATCATTTATGGATATCACTGAATGGAAGGTTGTCGAGGCCTGAATTTAAGAGCAGGCTTAAGAAGGGCTCAGTCTAATTTTCCTTTCTACTGTTTTATTTTTTATTTTTTTTGTCCACGTGGTGCTGGTATTTGAAATCAGAGCCTCATGCTTGTTTGTTATGCCACATACTCAGGCCTTTTTTGCTTTAGTTATTTTTCCAGATAGGACCTCAGTTCCAGATATCCTACTACTAACCTCCAATGCCAGCCCCAACTATGATCTTCTAACTATGCCTCCCACTTAGCTGAGACCACACAAGTATACCACCACACTCATCATTTTTGGTGATCTAAAATCTCACTAACATTTTGCTCAGGCCTGCCTCAAACTTTGAACCTCATGATCTCTGCCTCTTGGTTATCTGGAATTACAAGTGTGTACTCATTCTACTCTTAGAGATGCCAAATGTTAAAGTGAGGGTACTATAGGCTAGGCTAACATTCCAAGAAATACTATCTCTGCCTCTCACACCCTCAAACCTTCTTCTAGCTTGTCCTCGCCAAGCCCATTTTCCACTCATCTCAATTAATCTGTCTTCATATCTCAGCTGATATCTTAACATCCACAATGTCACTCAAGTCTACCTTGTAGAATGTACCCAGGCTCCAGGAAAAGTCAGCCTAGGAATCCATTGTCTTACCATTAAATACATCAATGACTTGTTTGAGGGTCTCCAGCGAAATGCCACTGTAACCTTTGGCTAAGACATTGATCCTTAAAGCCAAGAGCATCCGGCACCTCTCAGGGCTGAGTGGTTTTCCAACACCTACAAAACACAATTCATATTTTTTTCTCCAAGAAAACCAAGTATTTTACTACCTTTTGGCTTTGTCCACCCCTCAACTCTTCTCCCAGTACAGCCCAATCTCTAAGTGGCTTTCTACAGTTGCTTCGATCACTCTCCCTGCTACTTGTCTTGCTTCTCCAAAGGCTTGTCCAGACAAAGGTAAGGCCCAGGATTCCCTTCTCCATGCCCCGTCCCTTGAATTCTTCAGTGAACCCCCTACCTTCCAGAAAACCTTTATAATAGTGAAGAGACTCCTCTGGGTTTAATGGGGCCTGCACCTTGACAGATTTTCCCACTCATCTGGCTAACCCTCAATAATTCTCCCCATACTTTCTTCTCTGAATGCGCCACTATCTCTACAGGATGGGATACATGCTTCTATGCCAACCTCACCCCTCCACCTGGAAAGGTGGTCCCGCCTGATGCCATCTGCTGCCTTTTGGCCCCAGCACTCAGTTTCTGGAATGCACTTGGCACAATGACTCATTGTAATATGCTTTTTCATGCAATCAAACAAAATCTGTTGAATCAGTTACCTGAAGAATGGGAACGAACTAGGTTGACCTGAAGCTCCCTGGAAGAAAAAGATACACATCTTACTTAGTAACCTCTGGTTAAAAAAAAAAATCCCCTAGCTCGGGAGAGGAGAAGCATAATTAAATCTTTGGGCAGCCAGCCAATCTGTTTTCATTTCCAATTCAGATATAAGTGAACCCAAGCCTTGCCCTAGTTATCTGTTCACTGGGCACAGGCCAATGACTTGCCTTGTTGAATAAAATCTCAAAGATAGAGAGCTCTGGGACTTGAGTGTATGTGTGTTTGAAACTTACTGTAGCTTATTGACAGGAATTACGGTTCTGGCAAATTTCCCAAAACCTGTAGTAATACCATATACAACTAGAATAAAACAAACAGATATTCCATAATTAGATGTGGCAGATTGCATTTGTCTATAAAAGAATTAGATGGCACCAAGAGTACAAGATACCTGTCTGTTCTTTGATGATGCTATTTATGACTTCTCTGGACTGCTGTACCTTCTTTTCAGCAGTTGAAGTGAGCTGGGAAAATGGTCATCAGAAGTGAGCACATGAAAGACTTCCATATCGGGTGAAAAATGGCCACAGGGCATCCTTCCTTCCCTCTCTCTCCCAATACCTTTATTTTGTAGTGTCCCTTTCCCAAGTTGACCAGGTCTGTGGTGGTCAAACTGTCCCCATCTAAGGCGATAAACTGCACAAGAGGAGAGAATCCCAGTGAGTATGGGGGGCTTCACTGCTCTACTTAATCCAGAAGAATCAAAGTTGACACTTGATTTTACTATGGTTGTAAAATAATACTGTGCTAACAAAAACAGACAGCTTGCTGAAGAGACTATACAAGGAAAAGTTAGAGATGTAGACACTCCATGCCTTTCCCAGCTCCTTTCTCTATGACCCAGGACGAGGCCCTGTCCTAGAGGATAGAGTTTACTCTGAGTGTTGCTGGCTTTCCTCCTCCACTTCCTCCTTAAATGAGAAATGTGACTTTGTTTTCCCCACAAAAAGGAAATGATTTGCTACGTACCTTTTCCGGCTCTTTATATTTGCTGTATCTGATGTCAGGTAAAGGAAAATTCTGGAAGTGTGGGAAAGCCCCAGTCTTAGCCCCGCAAAGGTGGGTAGAACCCTTGGAACTGACCAAAAAGACAGCAGGAAAGGATACAGATAAACTCCTTCTGGTTGTGAGGGAATGAAGTCAGGGGACATTGCATCTCCTTCTATGACTGAAACAAGAAGGCAGGAGACAGCTCTTAGAAATCACAACGTAGAGCTCCACATGTGGATTGTGCTGCTAGATCATCTATCCATTGCCCTTGAATTGTATGGAAATGGCTGCTTCATAATGACTTCCTGTGCTTCCCCATGCCTCAGCATCTTCACACTGGACTCTCAGGCAGAGATGTAGCCAGGCGCTGGTGATTCATACCTGTAATCCTAGCTACTCAAGAGGCTGAGATTTGAGATTACAGTTTGAAGGTAGGAAAGTCTGTGAAAGTCTTATTTCCAATTAACCACCCTCCCCCAAAAAAGCCACGAGTGGACCTATGGCAAAAGTGCTAGAGTGTTTGAGTGCCAGCCTTGAGTGAAAAAGCTAAGTAAGGGGCAATGCCCAGACCCTGAGTTCAAGTCCCAGTACTGGTACTCGTGTGCACACATACACACCACACACACACACACACACACACGCTCGCATGCGTGCACACACGCACACACACACGGAACCATAGACATGAGTTTAACTGGAAGCTTAAGACCTAGTCCCCACCTGCACCTCCACCTCCACTTTGCAATGTTGTCTTTTAAGTCTGAATTCCTGACACCTCTGGGCTGCTGGAAGGATACATTTTTCTTCACAGTGCCTGGGTGATAGCAAAGGGATCCAAACCTGCAATCATGGGTTTCAGTTTGGACCTTGTCACCTACAGCTGCCTGGCTTTGGGAAGTCACCACCTCTGGGTCGGTTGCTCCCTTTGGTGTGAGGACTTGGTCGCTGAGGCTTGACCCAAGGCAAGCACACCTAGCCTCATCTTTTCTCCTGAAACGAGGGTGACCTGCCCAACTCCCTCCAGGCCTGACGGACAAATCTGCGCCACCCCACCCCAGTTTGCCCCCACTTCCTGGCAGCCACTCACCCACTTCCACGAACTCATTGTCCTCCAGCGCTACCTCCAGCAGATCCTCGTTGTCCAGCAAGCCTAGACCTTTGCACCTGCGCACGAGGAAGCGCACGGCGTCCACCGACTTGAAGCCACCGTTGTCCGGCTTGTTCTTCATGTAGCGCCGCACGGCCTCGCGGCCCAGCCAGCCCACTGTGAGCTGGGCATCCTGGCAGGGCACAGCCAGCCATTCTCCGCGCACGTGCACTGTGTACCTGGGCATGGCTCTTCTGTAGGCGACCCCGCTGTCAACCAGGTGCCTGCACCTCCCAGAACACAGTCCCAGGAAGGAAGAGTTTTTATCCAGAGGTGACTTTTCTGGGTGTGTGTGTGAGGGGCGGGGAGGGGGGAAGAGGTTAGGAGCACGAGGATGGACTTTTCAAAACACACCCCTTCTGTCTCCTTTACTCATTCATGCGCTGGACAAATATTTATGGAGGTTTCATGGGGGTGGGGGTGGGGATGTCCTTTTGGCTTTTTCCAGTTGGGCTAGAAGAGGCACACACACACACACACACACACACACACACACACACACACACACACACACACACACACAGAGGTGAGTCACCTGTTTACCTGCAATGCAGTCCTACCTGGAGTCTCACATCTGCAAGGCTCAGCCCTTGCTGGTATCTGCGGTTAGCCCCCTCTGGCTAGGGCCCCCTGCCCCTATTCTCCTCCATGGAAGGCAGCTTTATAAACACTCTGTCCCGGTGACTTTATTGAGAATTACTCAATTGTAAAATACACCCTGGCTAGCCAACTGTGACACCCAGGAGTGGGAGTTTGGCAATTTTCATTCATTTGTTTATTTCACAACCATGTATTGAGCAACTGTTCCCTGCCACCCCAGAAGTGCTGTTAAAGCTCTTGATCCACAAAGGAAGACTGCAAAGGCCAGAGATCATTTTTCCCAACTCAAGGTCATCTGGACCAATGAACTACCAGGGCTTAAAGGATCATTCTTTATTGTTCTTGAGTAAGAAGAGTTATTCGCTTGTTTCTGCATTCAAAGGTGAATGGGATAGCCAACCACTTCAGTAATTTGTAGACAGCCCCTGATACTGGTCCTATGATTTACCAGCTGTTTGACCTTTGGGAAAATTAGTTGACTTTTTTTGGGGGGGTGGGTAGTAGTGGGGCCTGAACTCTGGGCCTGGGCGCTGTCCCTCAGCTCTTCAGCTCAAGGCTAGTGCTCTACCACTTGAGCCACAGTGCCACTTCCAGAATTTTTCTTTTTGCTTATGTGGTGTTAAGGAATCAAACCCAGGGCCTCATGCATGCAAGGCAAGCACTCTACCACTGAGCTACCTTCCCACCCCTAGTTGACTTTTCTAGGCCTCAGTTTCCTCATTGGTAAAACGGAGCTAATGATAACAGCTATTGCAAAGCGCTTCAGGGAGGACAAAATGAATTCACATATGGGAAGCCTTGGCTTCCCCAGCAAGTTGGAAATGCTCTGGAAGTATTTGGGATCGATATCATCAGGACTTTAACACTTTATCACCTCTGGTTTGTGCATATTCTTTCATCATGGTACCTGGATATCCCTAATGCAATTATTCTTTTCCACCACAGATAGCTTCCTGAACCCAATTCATTGCCCGTAGCATGAAGGAACTCTGCGTAGTATGGGAGAAGTTCTCAAAGAAATGCATGTACTCTTTTCACTAAGCACTTTAGCATTAAGCTAGTTTTTAGAAATTGGATTATTACAATAGAAAATCCTGAAAAGTCTCTATTACACCAGACCTCATTAGAAATAGAGACAGACAGTCACCCCACATCCACACCCAGAGGCTCTGTCTACTTCATGCAATCTAATTGAAATTTGCAACCCTAGACATATGCCTACGTGTGTAGGGAAACACACAACCTGGGTCCTCATAAGAAGCTGCAATTTCTGTTTCCTTGAACAGAAGTCTACTGCAGAAAGTCCAGTGATCCATGCATGTCTCCACCCTTTGACCTCAGTGAGTCTCCACACCTCTCCTCAATACACACCCATCCATTTTTTTTTTTTTTGGTCAATTGTAGGGCTTGAACTATTGGCCTGGGTGCTGTCCCTGAGCTCTTCAGCTCAAGGCTAGCGCTCTACTACTTGAGCCACAGTACCACTTCCGGTTTTCTGAGTGGTTTATTGGAGATAAGAGTCTCATGGACTTTCCTTTTCGAGCTGGCTTTGAACCATGATCCTCAGATCTCAGCCTCCTGAGTAGCTAGGTACAGGCGTGAGCTGCCGGCACCCGGCATACACCCCATCCAAGTTTGAGGTAAGCCTATCTCCCACATCTCTGGAAAACTGAAGCCCTCAGATGTGAACTACCTTCACTCCGCCATCCTCCATCTATTCATTCAACAAATCACTATGGGATGATTACCTGTTATGTGCCAAACTCCATCTGAGGCGCCAGCGATGAAGTTAAGACAGTCTCTGCCTTTATGATGCTTCCTGTGTAGCACGATGGATACAGACTTAAAAGACTACAATGTCCAACTACCCCCTAGGCCAGGAAGGGACCTCAAACCACAAGATGACCCAGCTGACAAACCTCAGCTGAGCCCTGTTAAACTGTGAAGTTGAATTTAAGTGATCGAACTCACCTAATGCTATTTGAGGACTCTACACGCAGGCCCTAGACATTGTGGAGATTTACTAATACGATTCTTTCGGTCATATAGTTCCCAACTTCCTTTTCTTGGCTAGATAATTCTTGTTCTTGAAATCTCAATTTGTGTCTTTTCCAAACAGCAGTCCCTAAACCTTTCAGTTGACAGCTTTAGTAAGCCTCACCCTTCTTTTAGAATTATCTACAAATTGCTTATCTTTGTTTGGTAATCATGCGTTCAGCTTTAGCTGACAGTCAGATACTCACTGTATGCTTATTAGCTGAACAGTAAACTCTTCGGCACCCGCCCTAGGTAAACCTAGACAGGATGTTGGTCTCTAGCGCCCTCTACTCTCAATAGTGCCCTCCTACATGACTCAGTACCACCTATTAAATGGCATTAGTTTGTCCTATAAGCTCACAGGGCAGAAGCTTTAAATAACATTATTTTGGTATGTGGATTTGCACTAGTCACGTAGGACATCCTTCTATGTACCAGGGTTTGTTGAACTCTTATCCTGGTAATCTTGGGAAAGAAGGCAAATGAAACCCGAGCCTTGAAAAACAGAATCACATTGCAACACAATGTCCAAAAGAATAGAGCTGCAAGGAGAGAGGGAGCAAGAAGACTCAGGATTCCAGGAATAGGGAGGAGTTGGTTCCTCTGATATCTACCGTATCTCTGGCTGTTCACATCTATCTAAAACAGGAACTATATGAATGACTATATTGATAATGATACCACCCACCCAGACTTCAATTCCCACAAAACTCCTGTTTGTTCATTTGGCAAAGGTGTAACCAATCTGGGTCTGAGTCTCACCTGAGAACTGCCAGGTAGAGATGGAGGGTGTGCAGGCTGGACACGGACTAGAGACACAGAGGACACAAGAGCTGGCGGCTCGGTAGCCCACTTCTGTCAAGTCCACACTTTCTTCTGAGATCCCCACCTCCCCCAGTCCTTATATTCTTTAAATAATCTTCCTCTTCTCTTGTTGTTTTGGGCTACACTGGTTCCCAAACTGTGGGCCGAAGCTTCCTGGGGCATCACACTGCATGCACCCGAGTGCTTTGTTGTACTTGTCTTTTATTTGGTGTTTTTATATGCTATGTGCTCCTTGTGTGTGAAAAGGAGGCGATGAGGCAGACTTGCTGAGGAACTGATGAAAGGCACTGAGGTTCAGTGTGGCCATCTAAACCATGAAGAACAAACCAGGGCAAATCCAGCCGATCAGCAGGCTCCACCCAGGACTGCAGAGCAGAAGGCTCCCGCTTGTGTGGGCATGTTGTAGGGCTTGAACTCAGGGCCTGGGCGCTGTCCCCGAGGTTTTATACTCAAGGCTAGTGCTCTACCACTTTGAGTCACAGGGCAATTTTGGGTTTTGGGTGATTGATTGAAGATTAAAAGTCTTATGGACTTTCCTGCCTGGTCTGGCTTTGAACTGCAATACTCAGATCTCAGCCTCCTAAGTAAATAGGATTACAGGTGTGAGCAACCAGTGCCCGATAGTGTAGGTACTTTGGAAGGGAGTCCGTCCCATTCAGTAGGTGGATAGTAAAGCCAACTAAGTGTTCATTTAGAAGGTTACTTTGAAAGCAAAATGCTAATCATACTAAAATTTTGATTTGCAGCAGATCTGGATAAATTTCAATAAAACATAAGGGAAATAATATGTTTATATTCTTTGTGAACATACTGAGAGACAATTAAGTTAATTGAAACATTTAAACTGGGCTTGATGGCATATGCCTGTAATTCAAGTACTCAGAAGGCTAAGGTAAATTTGCAAATTTGCAGGGAATGTGGGCTCATAGTTAGACTCTATCTCCAAAAAAAAAAAGTTTTTAGATATGCAGATCAAGATTTTTAAAGTTTACTACAATTTACTTAACAAAGAATATACCACTATTTGAAAAGGTAGACAAATATCATAAAAAGCCAAAACTAAAGATACTTTTAATTATAATGTAAGGCAAAGTTTCATATTTCTTCATGACTTTATTTAAAAATAAAAAAACAATGAAGTTTCTGAAGCCATCAACAGATAGGTTCTTAATCGACATTTAAGTCTCTCCCCACCAGCATCGCAGTCACGGGATGCATACTGGCTTTGTGCTCTTGGTAGGTACGAATAGCTTGATCGTGGGATTTGTCAAAGGCAGCAAGATCCCTGCCAATGGGAGGAAAAGAAGAAAAGAAGAAGGAAAGAAGGAAAAGAGAAACAGAAAGGGGGAGAGAGAGATGGAAGGGATTGGAGAACAAGAACATAAGTCAATACTTGAGATCAAATTTAAAATAACAGCATAGGAGATAGCTAAGTATCAGACAAAGCATATATCCCAGCCAATCAGGTGCTCTGTATCAATCTCTGTATGAGCCCTTCAACTAGTGTGTCACAGATATTTTAGGCACTGCAGCACCACTTCTGGCTTTTTTCTTTTCTTTTCTTTTTTTTTTTTTTTTGCCAGTCGTGGACCTGAACTCTGGGCCTAGGCGCTGTCCCTCAGCTCTTCAGCTCAAGGCGAGCACTAGACCGCTTGAGCCCACAGTGCCACTTCCGGCTTTTTCTGTTTATGTGGTGCTGAGGAATTGAACCCAGGGCCTCATGCATGCAAGGCAAACACTCTACCACTGAGCCACCTTCCCAACCCTGGCTTTTTTCTGTTTATGTGATACATGGAAGAATTGAACCCAGGGCTTCATGCATGCTAGGCAAGCACTGTACCACTAAGCCATACTCCCAGTCCCATTGTAAAGTACCTTAACAGCAAATATGTGTAAGAGGTATCTTCCCATTTTTTTTGTATAAGTAAGAAGATTTGTCTTACTTGAATAAGGGTCGTGTGAACTTCATTCTTCCTTGTTCAGTTGCCATTTTGAGAGCCAAAGGAATCGCTTCCTCCCACTTCGATTGAATGCAGAGTCGTAACCATCTGAAAGGAGAATTTTAGGAGGTGTGGAAGAAAACCAAGAGAAAGGAAATGAGTATCACTATCAAGATGAAAAAATCCATTGTGGTGGTTTTGTACTTTACTATGAGAATTTTGA